CCAGACCCCCCACACCATCACCAGACCCCCACACCATCACCAGACCCCCACACCATCACCAGACCACCCACCCCCACACCATCACCAGACCCCCACACCATCACCAGACCCCCACACCATCACCAGACCCCCACACCATCACCAGACCCCACACCATCACCAGACCCCCACACCATCACCAGACCCCCACACCATCACCAGACCCCCACACCATCACCAGACCCCCACACCATCACCAGACCACCCACCCCCACACCATCACCAGACCCCCACACCATCACCAGACCCCCACACCATCACCAGACCCCCACACCATCACCAGACCCCCACACCATCACCAGACCCCCACACCATCACCAGACCCCCACACCATCACCAGACCCCCACACCATCACCAGACCCCCACACCATCACCAGACCACCGACCCCCACACCATCACCAGACCACCCACCCCCACACCATCACCAGACCCCCACACCATCACCAGACCACCGACCCCCACACCATCACCAGACCCCCACACCATCACCAGACCCCCACACCATCACCAGACCCCCACACCATCACCAGACCCCCACACCATCACCAGACCCCCACACCATCACCAGACCCCCACACCATCACCAGACCCCCACACCATCACCAGACCCCCACACCATCACCAGACCCCCACACCATCACCAGACCACCGACCCCACACCATCACCAGACCCCCACACCATCACCAGACCCCCACACCATCACCAGACCCCCACACCATCACCAGACCCCCACACCATCACCAGACCCCCACACCATCACCAGACCCCCACACCATCACCAGACCCCCACACCATCACCAGACCCCCACACCATCACCAGACCCCCACACCATCACCAGACCCCCACACCATCACCAGACCCCCACACCATCACCAGACCCCCACACCATCACCAGACCCCCACACCATCACCAGACCCCCACACCATCACCAGACCCCCCACACCATCACCAGACCCCCACACCATCACCAGACCCCCCACACCATCACCAGACCACCGACCCCCACACCATCACCAGACCCCCCACACCATCACCAGACCACCGACCCCCACACCATCACCAGACCCCCACACCATCACCAGACCCCCACACCATCACCAGACCCCACACCATCACCAGACCCCCACACCATCACCAGACCCCCACACCATCACCAGACCCCCACACCATCACCAGACCCCCACACCATCACCAGACCCCCACACCATCACCAGACCCCACACCATCACCAGACCACCCACCCCCACACCATCACCAGACCCCCACATCATCACCAGACCACCCACCCCCACACCATCACCCACCCCCACACCATCACCAGACCCCCACACCATCACCCACCCCCACACCATCACCAGACCCCCACACCATCACCAGACCACCGACCCCCACACCATCACCAGACCACAGACCCCCACACCATCACCAGACCCCCACACCATCACCAGACCCCCACCAGACCACCGACCCCCACACCACCACCGACCCCCACACCATCACCAGACCCCCACACCATCACCAGACCCCCACACCATCACCAGACCCCCACACCATCACCAGACCCCCACACCATCACCAGACCCCCACACCATCTCCAGATCAATGACCCCCACACCATCTTATTATAAATTTTTGATGTGATTTTCAAAAGAGTAGGAACTACATAATACACCTCACACAAAGATTGTCGATCAACACCCGACTAGACCAGCTACGATCAACACCTGTCGAACAAGTTGGGACACCACCAATTTGTGTGTGTGTCTCTGTGAGTGTGTGTCGTATCCTGTTATTGGTTACCTGGTAGCTATCTCTGACGGCTTAAGTTGAGAAAACACCCACACACATATACACACACATAGACAAATGTGTGTTTTTAACACAGGTTGTCTTTAAAGTAGCCAGATGGCCAGAGATATGTACACATACACACATATACACAAACATATACACGTCAGCACTCAGGCATGTAAACATCAGATTAAAACAGGATGTGACGACACCAGTGTGCTGGCCGCCTCAAGCCAAACGTGACGTCATCAACCAATCACGTGACCAACAGACCCACATGATCAACCAACCGTCTACAAATAGCTGTAATAAACCCCGTGTGCAGTGAATCGTAAAACATATGGTTGACTTGTCACTTGTAGATGTTTTGATTAAATCTGGTGATGCTTGTCGTCAAATTTTGCTCTTGTTGTTCATCTAGGCCCCAGCTCCACTCAGTAAGAAAAACACACATCTGTGTAGGTAAATGCGAGCCGTGTGTTAGATGTCAAACACACATCTGTGTAGGTAAATGCGAGCCGTGTGCTAGATGTCAAACACATCTGTGTAGGTAAATGCGAGCCGTGTGCTAGATGTCAAACACACATCTGTGTAGGTACATGCGAGCCGTGTGCTAGATGTCAAATATAACGTCCACATATTCAAATAGACTCGACACTAGGCAAACAAAGGCCCAGCGACTGATGAAATGTTTTGCCATTTAGAGCTGCTCCCTTTTTAGTCTGACAAATTACGTCATTTATATTCTAGGATATGTATAACATAATGTATACAATTCAGAAGGTTTACTGTGTTATTATTAACTTTAAAAATGAAATAAGTACATTTTAGACCGTCTATTGTCTTTCTTAAGTGACACGGAGGATGGAGCAAAGGTTTTCTTCGACAGTTCCAATTTCTTTTGTAGAGGGCTGAAAGTGAACACTTGGCTTGTATGGTGATGTCTAGTAGTGATGTCACGTGATGTCTTGTGACGTTTTGTGATTTCTGTTGATGTATGGTGATGTTTTGTGATGTATGGGGGTGTCTAGTGATGTTTTGCGACGTCTGTTGATGTTTTGTGATGTCTTCTGATGTTTGGTGATGTTTTGTGATGTTTTGTGATGTTTTGTGATGTTTTGTGATGTTTTGTGATGTTTTGTGATGTCTTCTGATGTTTTATATTGTCTGGTGATGTCTGCCTTTGTTTCCCTTTGGCCCAGGCATCAACAGACTCTACAGCTCGTTAACTAATTGATTGTAATTCCCCAACCCTAAACTGCATGCTGTAGCCATTTAGCAACAAACAAGATTTTTGTTGAGTATTGACAAGGGTTGTACGGCAACTCAACATCATGTCGGCGTCAGATTGAGCCGAAATATATCCGTGCTGACTCACAAACATTGCCGTGCTGACTCATCGGACTCACAAATATAGCCGTGCTGACTCATCTGACTCACAAACATAGCCATGCTGATTCATCTGACTCACAAACTTTATTCTTAGTGATTTCATTTATGCATTTGTATTTATATTTTGTAAAGCCACAAATTCACGGGTCAAAGGGCAATAATCGAATGTCCTTGGAAAATAGTTGAAATTTATGGTCAAAGGGAAATAACCAAAGAAATTTTTTAACATTCAGTATTTTTCTAGTTGCTTCCCTTAAACATCCGTAGAATGTGTTTTATTTTGTTTTCGTAAATTATTACAATTTTATTATTGTCACTTCGAAAAGATTTGGACAATGCGAGGTAAAACTACTTTAAGCTTTAATTTAGTTTTTTTTTCTGAAAAAATATGCTAAATTGAATTACTTCTCATTATTAAAATACACAAGAGAGATAACAAACTTTATGTTATGGCACTTGCAAAGTAGCTCCCCACCGCCTGTACTAGAGGCGCTAAACGCATAAAGTTAGTCTAGATTTTTAGATCAATACACATTTAACTTTCGATTTGCACCCCCCCCCCCCTCAAGATTTCGATTTGCACACCCCCCCCCCCTCAAACTTTCGATTTGTACCCCCCTCAACCTTTCAATTTATTTTTCCAACCCATTTTGGCGCCCCCTAAGGTCTGCGCCCGGGGACATATGTCGTCCCCCCCCCCCCTCGCTACGCTACAGAGCCCATTAGCAGCTTTTTTTCTTCTAAATTTTACGATTGAAAGCTAATTGTGTTTAGTAAAACATCCATTCATGTCGAGGTAGATATGCAATTAAAAAATGCATTTTAAGAATAGTATCAAGGTCGTAAGGCTAGCCTTAACTAACCTATATATCTTAAAGTGTATTTTCTAGCAACTATAAGCGACTATGGCCTAACTTTTAATAAAGGCAAGTTGATGAAATATATATTTTGCCTGTATCGTATCTCTTACCTGTATTGTATTGTACCTCTTACCTGTATCGCGTTCTACATCTCACCTGTATCGCATTCTTTATCTTACCTGTATCGTATCGTATCTCTTTATTTACACATCGAATGAGTGCTGTTTTTAAACGTAAGAAAACAAACATATTTATTCAGGTCAGGATAAATTAACTTTGATAATAATTTTATGAGGGAATTAATATAATATTATGTTCAATAACTAGGCCATAATACTATTTAGAAGAAATTAATAGCCTTTTAGGTGGCCCCGTGTCTATTGGGCACAAAAACTTCCAAAAAAGTAAAGACGATAATAGCCTGTAATCGTGTAGAAAGGGGGACAACTTTGAAAATACTACGCTTAATGTAAATTTATTAAGTTACTTCCCTTAGACCATAAAAGTAAGAGCTTTTTAAATTTTATTTTACTTTAATGTGAATATTTTTTTTTTTATTTTTTTTTTTCACTTTTTCTTTACGTCATGTTTGTATATTGTTCATTATTCTACGACAAAGCTATTAACAGATGAACGAAAGAAAATGTATGCTAAAAGTTTGTTTTTAATTTAAAATATCGATAGTAATTACTAATTACTAATACTTATTATTAGTATAGGCCTATTACGAAATGTTGCAATTAATTCCAGAATAATACTGAAACGACGTTTTTTCATTGAAATTAATAAATTTCTTTAAATTAAATTATTTTAAATGTGTAGATTTTATTTTCTACAAGATTACATTTCACAACAATGTCTATTTCTAGATCTCTAGATCTAGATTCTAGATCTACTTCTATACAATTTCCTGTTCTAGTTTTAACATTGATTTTTCCAAAACATGGCCTCTGTTATGAGTTTTAGGATAGGAAGAGAAATCCTGAACAGTGGTGTAAAGCGTCTATGCTCAAACTATGCACCTGTCGCTGTAAGAATTACAAAATTTTACAAATTTTAGCTTCTGGCCAGAGTACTCTTGATTAGAATCTAGATTAGATCTAGATCCAAATCTAAGTTGTTTTTTTTTTAAATCGCTATTTAATAAAACTATATTTTTAATTTTCTCAGTAGTGTCAGTAGTCAGTAGTTTAGTCTAATTACTAATTACTAATTAGTAACTAACTCATTTGTCATTTGACCGTCAGACTCATTAATTAGGCCCTACTTTAGCTAAGGTAAGGCTACTAAAGTAGTACTAAAGCAACTTGAGAGGTCAAAGGGGGGTGGCCGCAGCTTGGATAACGATTCGGGTGGTTTATCCTCGCCGCGTAACCAATGACTTGAGCTAGACTAGCCTAGATCTAGATTCTAGATCATCTAGATGCTCTAATATAAAAACTAGATCTATATTAATATTTCATTTCAAGCTAAGTCTAGAATCTAGAATCTGTAGTGTATAGATCTACTAGTGTATAGTTAATACATTTTTTTGTTGTTTTAAATTATTTCGATCATCTACTTCTTCTAGAACTAGTTTGTGTCTCCACATACAAGCATGTCTAAACAAATGTTAGGTTTTGTCTTGTTAGTAATTATTACGTCCCTTTGTTATGATTATTAAAGTTGCGTTCCTTGGGTTATTACTGGGTCATCCGTAATGTGTAGTTAATAAATTTAATTAAAGTGTATTTTATTTGGTTTTGCAGTCTATTAATTAATAATACAATCAACAACACGTTTAAAGGTGTCAATTAATTTTAGCTATTAAAATTGGATTAAGACATATAAAATATGATCGTTACTTGAGCAGGAACAGGTAACCCCGGGCTAGAAAATAGGGGAAATATATCGCAAGAAGGCTCGTCACTAAAACATGAATATCTCAAATACTATGCGTAGGAATACAAAATGACTCATACATATTAGAGTAGAATGGCAGCGGAATAATACGATACTTTCAGTTTGTTTCTCTGTGAAACGGTTACAAACTAGCGCCCGATGAAAATCTGGAGTTCCGAATTTCACAGTGGGAGAGAGGAGTGGAAAGTAAGGGTGAGGATAATCGTCCTTCACTAGCTACTGCTAGTGTTTAAAGCAAAATATTTTCCAATGCATTATTAGTAGTGTCGAATTGACAAATTATAAATTACTGAAAAATAGGAATTCAAACAACTAAATAGTGGCGTATGCTACGTCGCGGGTCAGCTCGTAATAGTTTATAATAAGTACTATACTTGGGATTTGAACTTGGAGCTTCTTGGTCAGTCATATCACTGTTCTGCCATGCCGCGAAGTGTTAGAATTATTGGGCATTTTTAATCTATAGACAGTTAAAACCAAAGGAAATAAACACTGCTTCCTTTTCCAAACATAATTTATTAATTGTTTTGAAAAAGTAATCATTACTATTAGGGCCTACAATATAGAATTATGTATAGGTTATTTAATTTCTGTTTAAGGGCGGGTCACCCATAAACAACATCACACAGCCAGGGGAGAATTTCGTAATTACGGGTGGGTGTTCAGAAAGTGTTAAGACACACTTTTAGCATTCTTAAGTGTCAGAAACCAAATTTTTGAAAATGTTTTTTTTTTATTATTATTTTAATCCAGCATAAAAAATGTTTTAGAAAGAAATATTTTTTTTAAACTAAAAATACAATCAGGGGTTTTAGGCTGATGTCATTTTAGGGGTGGGGGTCTGGCTTTTCGTTACACTGGTGGGAGGTGAGAGGTAAAACAATATTTAAAAAGTATGTTATGTTTGGATGAAACCTTACCTATGTACAATGTACATTCAAATGTCACCCTGACATTTAAATTTTTGGTCACATAATCTTTGTATATAACATTTGATTGGCTATTATATCAAAGGCATCCTTTCCTTTGAACTATAATCTTCACTCAGATAAAAAAATTATTTAAAAGTTAAACCAAATATACCTGTCCTACTATTTTAAGATTTTGTCAAATATCATCGCCATTAACTACTTAGTTTGTGTGCAGTAGCGTACGCAGGGGGGGAGCAGGGGGAGCGGCCGCTCCCCCTCTGGCCATTTTCAGCAAAGTGGCGCCTTTTTGGAAACTTTTTAAACTCAAAGATTTAAACAATGATATTTGTTAAAAAAATATTTTTGGTCGGCACATCTATGTAAATCACAAGTTTTCTTTTCATGCAGCAATTAAGCATTATTGTACTAGTCTAGTAGTGTCTACGTTTACAACACCCGACCTCGCTACACCACTGTATATATGTATGTTTAGGAAAGTCATCTAAAAACTGACGCTATATTCACTCTGAGTTGGTTATCTCCCCCCCCCCCCCCCACACACACTTCACCACCACAATTGTGTAGAGCGACATTAATGTCACACCTAGGTATACACTGGGTTGAATAATTGATCTAAAGTGACCGGACAGTGGTGAATGAAGTTGAACCCACCCCCCCCCCCCCCCCTACCCACCCCGAACTGATCTGTTAAGTACATGTAGAAAAACACGTAATGATGTACCAAAGTACCATGCCGCCAGAAAATTAGCTTTTTAAACGTAAAACTCTGAGAATATTGTTTTTGCAATTACCAGTAAAAAGGTGTGTGATCAATACAGTGATCTAACCCATACCTATCACTATGTTAAAAAATGTTCTTTAAAGAACACAAAGAAGCAGTAGTTAATTAAAAATATATGATCTGAACTACAAGACCGAAATTTAGTTAATTGTAGACTGTTATTCCGAATGTTTTTCTATGATAACGAAAAGTGTGGTTTTATACAATCTCTGATTTAAAAAAATTTCCATTATGCTGTAATACTTTAGCATTTATGATGACGATATATTAAATTTTGATTATAGACAAAAAAAAAATTGTAAACACGAATAGTGTTAAACAATTTGAGTATATTCTAAAGTAACTATTTATTTGTTTTGAAATTTATAATTAAATGTGTAGATAATACATATTTATACTAAGAGAGTGATTATTTCCCCTATTTCACTTGTCTTAAATAATTTCCCAGGAATTATTTTGTAAGAAATTTTTTTACAAGAATTACAAAACAGATTGTGTTACGTTCATTGTTTTTGGTTGTAGTGTGTGTATATTTTTTTGTTCAGATTGATACAATTTTTGTTTTGTCGGCCTACATTGTGTGTTTTTTCTTATTTCTTAAAAGTGCTACTTTCAGTTTATTTTACATCATAGCGAAGAAATAACATACAGCTAGTAATATATATATATATATATATATATATATATATATATATATATATATATATATATATATATATAAAATACACGTATATAGAACGTGTTAAAAATTAGGCGCCTTTTTTTGCTCTTTTCGCTCCCCCTACAACGAAAACCTGGATACGCCTCTGTTTGTGTGACATTGTGAGACTAAGACTGGGGTTGTATTGTTTCTATTTCAGTTTGCTGGTCTCCCAAGCTTTGTCAAAATAGTTGAGGTTGGTCCCAGGGATGGCTTGCAGAATGAAGCTGTAAGTTGAGAGACTTGGCATAATCTGATTTTAAAACTTTTTACAATTGTTTTCAGTTGGCTCAAATCTTGGAAATGTTTATATTGTTTGTAGGCTAGATCTTATCTAGGCTTTAAATCTAGGTATTATATCTGAAGCACCAAACCCTTTAGCTAGTCTTACCTCTCACGTTATATTCCAACAGGGACTTGTTCCAACAGAGGTCAAAGTTGAATTTATCAACAGACTGGCAGACGCTGGGCTTACAACAATTGAAGCTACAAGTTTTGTCTCACCCAAGTGGGTTCCTCAGGTACCAGATACTACTAGACCACCTCATTCACAGAAAACATAATTCTAGATGTACAGCTCTTTTTCCAACTTGTTCATTGCCCCATTATATTTTTAGATGGCAGATCACAACGAAGTAATGAAATGCTTAAAACGTCGACCTGGTGTAGTGTTCTCTGCTCTCACGCCAAATTTAAAGGGCTTTCAGTCTGCGGTAAGTCTTCAAACTGTTAGACTGGAGGATTTTTCTCTCCTTTTGTTCTTGATGTATATCTATCTAAAAAAGTATTCATGCTGTGAACATGTGTTCTAATATGTGTTTGTGATTTACAGCTGGCCGCAGAAGTTCAAGAGGTCGCTATATTTGGTGCTGCGTCAGAATCGTTTAGCAAGTGAGTTCATTAAGTTCACAATGACTGTTCCCTGATAGTTGACTTATCCAGATACTGTTCCCTGATAGTTGACTTATCCAGATACTGTTCCCTGATAGTTGACTTATCCACTGTTCCCTGATAGTTGACTTATCCACTGTTCCCTGATAGTTGACTTATCCAGCAACTGTTCCCTGATAGTTGACTTATCCACTGTTCCCTGATAGTTGACTTATCCAGCAACTGTTCCCTGATAGTTGACTTATCCAGCAACTGTTCCCTGATAGTTGACTTATCCACTGTTCCCTGATAGTTGACTTATCCAGCAACTGTTCCCTGATAGTTGACTTATCCACTGTTCCCTGATAGTTGACTTATCCACTGTTCCCTGATAGTTGACTTATTCACTGTTCCCTGATAGTTGACTTATCCACTGTTCCCTGATAGTTGACTTATCCACTGCTCCCTGATAGTTGACTTATCCACTGTTCCCTCATAGTTGACTTATCCAGTTCCCTCATAGTTGACTTATCCACTGTTCCCTAATTGGGTTCTATAAAACTATTTAGATCCATCAATTTCCCTAGTTGTGTTACATTTCTCTACAAACATGTTCAAAGAAAATCTCTAGCCTGGATGTTAGTGTGCTGCAGATTTAAGTGTTTCAGTCTAATTGTGACTTTTGCAATAAACTCATTTTTTTTTTGGCCAAATTAATGATTAATTGTATTAATTTTAGAAAGTAGGATTTATTCCATAGTCAATGTATTGATTTCAGGAAGAATATCAACTGCTCGATTGAAGAATCTGTTGAAAGGTTTAAGGAAGTTACACAGGCAGCGAGGTCAGCCAACATTCCAGTGAGGGGGTGAGTTCATTACCCAGGTCATAATCACATTCAATATCTGTAGACTACTTAAATCATTACCATGGATACAAGTTTGTGTATTTAATGATATATTTGTCACAACCATATTTCAGAACATCTGCAATCTGTGTAGTTTTATAATGTGTAGAAAAAATATATTCTGTTTAAAGTGAATGTATAAAGCAAATTTTATTGACAGATGGAAGTAAAATTGACAGATGGTAGTAAAAGTGACACATGGTAGTAAAATTGATAGATGGTAGTAAAAGTGACCGATGGTAGTAAAATTGAATTCATTCAAATATTAATGCACACCACAGGACAGCCATTTTGTATTACTTATTATTTACTGAAGAAAGCGCAGACCACAAATCAATCGTTGTTGTTGGGAAAAAAATGTTTTCTGTGTTATTGATCTCAAATTTCTAATGAATTTATTTATAAGTGTTGGGTTAGCTATTTTTTTTACCTGCTTTTTTATGTACGCATGTATGTGTCAAGTATACTATAAATTCACCTACACAGGTATGTCTCATGCGTGCTGGGTTGTCCGTATGAAGGTGATGTCAAGCCAGAAAAAGTGGCCCAGGTAACCTTAAGAACTCTTGTGTTATTGTGTTAGCTGATGTTGACCACTGTTGTATTGGCTGATGTTGACCACTGACTGTTGTATTGGCTGATGTTGACCACTGTTATATTGGCTGATGTTGACCACTGACTGTTATATTGGCTGATGTTGACCACTGACTGTTGTATTGGCTGATGTTGACCACTGTTATATTGGCTGATGTTGACCACTGACTGTTGTATTGGCTGATGTTGACCACTGACTGTTGTATTGGCTGATGTTGACCACTGTTGTATTGGCTGTTGTTGACCACTGACTGTTGTATTGGCTGATGTTGACCACTGTTATATTGGCTGATGTTGACCACTGTTATATTGGCTGATGTTGACCACTGACTGTTGTATTGGCTGATGTTGACCACTGTTGTATTGGCTGATGTTGACCACTGACTGTTATATTGGCTGATGTTGACCACTGTTGTATTGGCTGATGTTGACCACTGTTGAATTGGCTGATGTTGACCACTGACTGCTGTATTGGCTGATGTTGACCACTGTTGTATTGGCTGATGTTGACCACTGACTGTTGTATTGGCTGATGTTGACCACTGTTGTATTGGCTGATGTTGACCACTGTTGTATTGGCTGATGTTGACCACTGTTGTATTGGCTGATGTTGACCACTGTTGTATTGGCTGATGTTGACCACTGTTGTATTGGCTGATGTTGACCACTGACTGTTATATTGGCTGATGTTGATCACTGTTATATTAGCTGATGTTGACCACTGTTGTATTGGCTGATGTTGACCACTGACTGTTATATTGGCTGATGTTGACCACTGTTATATTGGCTGATGTTGACCACTGACTGTTGTATTGGCTGATGTTGACCACTGTTATATTGGCTGATGTTGACCAGTGTTGTATTGGCTGATGTTGACCACTGACTGTTGTATTGGCTGATGTTGACCACTGACTGTTGTATTGGCTGATGTTGACCACTGTTATATTGGCTGATGTTGACCACTGACTGTTGTATTGGCTGATGTTGACCACTGTTATATTGGCTGATGTTGACCACTGTTATATTGGCTGATGTTGACCACTGTTATATTGGCTGATGTTGACCACTGACTGTTGTATTGGCTGATGTTGACCACTGTTGTATTGGCTGATGTTGACCACTGTTGTATTGGCTGATGTTGACCACTGACTGTTATATTAGGTGATGTTGACCACTGACTGTTGTATTGGCTGATGTTGACCACTGACTGTTGTATTGGCTGATGTTGACCACTGTTATATTGGCTGATGTTGACCACTGTTATATTGGCTGATGTTGACCACTGACTGTTGTATTGGCTGATGTTGACCACTGTTATATTGGCTGATGTTGACCACTGACTGTTGTATTGGCTGATGTTGACCACTGTTGTATTGGCTGATGTTGACCACTGTTGTATTGGCTGATGTTGACCACTGACTGTTATATTAGGTGATGCTGACCACTGACTGTTGTATTGGCTGTTGTTGACCACTGACTGTTGTATTGGCTGATGTTGACCACTGACTGTTGTATTGGCTGATGTTGACCACTGTTATATTGGCTGATGTTGACCACTGACTGTTGTATTGGCTGATGTTGACCACTGTTATATTGGCTGATGTTGACCACTGACTGTTGTATTGGCTGATGTTGACCACTGTTGTATTGGCTGATGTTGACCACTGTTGTATTGGCTGATGTTGACCACTGACTGTTGTATTGGCTGATGTTGACCACTGTTATATTGGCTGATGTTGACCACTGACTTGTATTGGCTGATGTTGACCACTGTTATATTGGCTGATGTTGACCACTGTTGTATTGGCTGATGTTGACCACTGACTTGTATTGGCTGATGTTGACCACTGACTGTTGTATTGGCTGATGTTGACCACTGACTGTTGTATTGGCTGATGTTGACCACTGTTATTTTGGCTGATGTTGACCACTGACTGTTGTATTGGCTGATGTTGACCACTGTTATATTGGCTGATGTTGACCACTGTTATATTGGCTGATGTTGACCACTGTTATATTGGCTGATGTTGACCACTGACTGTTGTATTGGCTGATGTTGACCACTGTTGTATTGGCTGATGTTGACCACTGTTGTATTGGCTGATGTTGACCACTGACTGTTATATTAGGTGATGTTGACCACTGACTGTTGTATTGGCTGTTGTTGACCACTGACTGTTGTATTGGCTGATGTTGACCACTGACTGTTGTATTGGCTGATGTTGACCACTGTTATATTGGCTGATGTTGACCACTGACTGTTGTATTGGCTGATGTTGACCACTGACTGTTGTATTGGCTGATGTTGACCACTGTTATATTGGCTGATGTTGACCACTGACTGTTGTATTGGCTGATGTTGACCACTGTTATATTGGCTGATGTTGACCACTGTTGTATTGGCTGATGTTGACCACTGACTTGTATTGGCTGATGTTGACCACTGACTGTTGTATTGGCTGATGTTGACCACTGACTGTTGTATTGGCTGATGTTGACCACTGTTATATTGGCTGATGTTGACCACTGTTGTATTGGCTGATGTTGACCACTGACTGTTATATTAGGTGATGTTGACCACTGACTGTTGTATTGGCTGTTGTTGACCACTGACTGTTGTATTGGCTGATGTTGACCACTGACTGTTGTATTGGCTGATGTTGACCACTGTTATATTGGCTGATGTTGACCACTGACTGTTGTATTGGCTGATGTTGACCACTGACTGTTGTATTGGCTGATGTTGACCACTGTTATATTGGCTGATGTTGACCACTGACTGTTGTATTGGCTGATGTTGACCACTGTTATATTGGCTGATGTTGACCACTGTTGTATTGGCTGATGTTGACCACTGACTTGTATTGGCTGATGTTGACCACTGACTGTTGTATTGGCTGATGTTGACCACTGACTGTTGTATTGGCTGATGTTGACCACTGACTGTTGTATTGGCTGATGTTGACCACTGTTATATTGGCTGATGTTGACCACTGACTGTTGTATTGGCTGATGTTGACCACTGTTGTATTGGCTGATGTTGACCACTGACTGTTATATTGGCTGATGTTGACCACTGTTGTATTGGCTGATGTTGACCACTGTTGTATTGGCTGATGTTGACCACTGTTGTATTGGCTGATGTTGACCACTGACTGTTATATTGGCTGATGTTGACCACTGTTGTATTGGCTGATGTTGACCACTGACTGTTGTATTGGCTGATGTTGACCACTGTTGTATTGGCTGATGTTGACAGGTGGCCAAGAGCCTGCTGGACATTGGCTGTTACGAGATATCTCTGGGTGACACCATTGGGGTGGGGACCCCTGGGGCCATGAGGAATCTGATCTCTGTGGTGTCCAAGATGGTGCCTATTGACCGGCTGGCCATACACTGTCATGACACGTACGGTCAAGCTTTGGCCAACATATTAGCGGCCCTACAGGTGGGTGTTACTGACTGTATTTTCTACACACATCCACATGGGAGCTACAACTAGAGTTATTTCTGGAGCATCAACATTGGGTTTGTTTCTCTGCAGATGGGGATAAAAATATTTGACAGTTCAGCTGCTGGTCTTGGCGGATGTCCATATGCTAAAGGTGCCAGCGGGAATGTCTCGACAGAAGATGTTGTTTACATGATGAATGGGCTAGCCATTAAAACAGTGAGTTTAATGTTTACATGATGAATGGGTTGGCCATTAAAACAGTGAGTTTAATGTTTACATGATGAATGGGCTAGCCATTAAAACAGTGAGTTTAATGTTTACATGATGAATGGGCTAGCCATTAAAACAGTGAGTTTAATGTTTACATCATGAATGGGCTAGCCATTAAAACAGTGAGTTTAATGTTTACATGATGAATGGGGTGGCCATTAAAACAGTGAGTTTAATGTTTACATGATGAATGGGGTGACCATTCTGAGGGTAAGGTCTCTGGGGGTGTTTGAGGATTAGGTCTTTGGGGGTGTTGTTTGAGGGTTAGGTCTTTGGGGGTGTTTGAGGGTTAGGTCTCTGGGGGTGTTGTTTGAGGGTTAGGTCTTTGGGGGTGTTGTTTGAGGGTTAGGTCTTTGGGGGTGTTAGAGAGTCAGGTCTCTGGGGGTGTTGTACAAAGGTTATTGTCATTGTGTAGGGGTGGGTAGGGCTTGTGTTTACCACCACTAGATGTAGCTCAACAAATGTCTTGCCTACTGTTAAAACAATTTTTGTCCCCCCCCCCCCCCCCCACAGGGTGTAGATATACACAAGCTGATTGATGCCGGCCAGTATATTTCTAAAGCCCTAGGAAGAAAGTCAGGGTCAAAGGTCACTCAAGCCACCAAATCATCACTCTAAGAAATGTGCAATAAACAAAATATTTATTTTACTGCATTTGGAAAACTTACCAGGCCAAGCAAACAAAATATCCAGTAATAAAATGCATAAATTGTAGCCAGTTGTTGCCTAAACTGAACATTTATTTTGTTAATGTTAGTTATATTATTTATTTTAAATTTGTAAAACAAAATTTGTGTAGAATTGTTAAACCATTTTGGTCTGTAAGTCATATAAAGTTAAAAGTGGACCTTTAGTGCTTTCATTCAACTGGTCTGTGAGATGCTGTCAACTGAACCAGTCTGTATATTAGGCTCAACTGATATTCTAGATCAATGGATATAGACCATGCCATTATCAAAGGAAAATGTTGGACCATAAATTTGTGATCAAAAAACATTTTGAATGTACCATTTGTATTATTGTTGTATGTTACAAGACCATTACCAGTGTGTAGCCAAAACTAGTGGTGCTTTACCAAGAATAAATTTAAAAAATCACCAGTAAGTAATTGTTGTCAGGTTTCTTGAAATTGTTTGCTAGTAAGGATTGAAACTTTAAAATATATCCAGTTACTAGACTAAAACAAATTGTAGTTATATTTTTCTGAAAAGACAAAGGTGGTCTAGTTTTCATATAACAGGTTCCTCTTGTTAAAATTGTCAACTTTCTAGCATTGAGATGGGACACAACTCCCATTACAAGGGGTCTGTTTTGGATTGTTCCTCTTAGTCCTCAAAATACTGTCTGTGGTGCCATTGTCATGCTATTTTAACTCCACAAAAAAAACAGGAATTCAGGGATTCAACAATAATTTATTTACAAAAAATCTGTATAAAAGTTTCATCTTTTGAATGTACAAAGATTATAATGGAATGTTAGAGCAAGTACAAGGCGGGAATCTGACAAATATTAAAATATGCCTCAGTTTTTAAAAATGTACAAACTTTAGGTATAAAATATGCCTGTGTTTAAAAATATACAAACTTTAAAAATATATGAACAAAAATCAGGATGATTGTAAACTGCATAACCTGCTGCTTAGTGAAGGTAACACAAAGTATTTCATAAGGCCCTGTGATCTACACAATACTTGTATACATCTTAATTTTTTGCTGCAAACTTTGAAGAACACTTTCTAATTTTCACAGGAAAATGTTTTTAATAAAAGTTTCATATGCAAGCAAAAAAAAAAACTGAATAAATAAAGGAGCTCATTTTAAAAGCTACAGAATATTAAATTAGGGGGAAATCTCTAAAAAAGTCAATGCACATTGACAGGTACACTAATTAATTGCTCAAAATGATACGATATTCTAATTAAATTTTAATGTTAATTATATAGTGTATGATTGTAAAGAAATTAATTAAAACATTTGCATTCAAACATTTTATAAATAACAATAGTGTAAAATTATGAATGTTTTTACCAAAATATATAGTTTTGTACAAATTTGAGAAATGGAATGTTTAGTTTGTGTAGGCAATTCTGATCTAGAAGTCACATTCAAAGTGGTGGTGTGTATTAAATGTTAAAAACAAAAATATTTACAAGAAAACATTCTATACAGATCATTAAATAGTCACCAACATTTTACAAGAGCCATAGCCATAGATCACACATTAGAGTATTCTGTTCCAAATGTTCGTCCACTATGTACACGCTTGTATGTTTGACGCTGGTTTATACATGCCTATGTACAGTACATGTTTCTGGTTGGATAAAACTGAAGACACTAGTCATGAAATACTTTTGGTTTTTTTAAGCTTAGCCTAGCCTAACAATGGCAGGTAGTGTTACACAATCTTAGCCTAACAACAAAGACATGTTTTTAAGAGCTTCAGTAAAAACAAATAAATCTGAACAACCAGAATGGCTACAGTCTGTTGGTTAATGTACAAGTAATGAGATCATTGATGCTATTGTAAGTCACTGTAAGGATTGTGGCTCAACTACCAAAAACATTTTCTCTAGACTCAGGCCCTAACCTGTTTAGGATGGTATACAAAATGTAATGAATGCTTTAAAAACGAAGGAAAAATTACATGGTCTTTTTCTATTGGGAATAAAAATCCAAGACTGAAAATATCCAACAATTTGTGCCACTCTTTCAACAAAAACATTTTCACAAAATACTTTCACTAGTTGAGCCATTCTTCAACGAAAACATTTAAACAAAATACTTTCAACTAGTTGAGCCATTCTTCTACAAAAACATTTACACAAAATACTTTCAACTAGTTGAGCCATTCTTCAACAAAAACATTTTCACAAAATACTTTCACTAGTTGAGCCATTCTTCTACAAAAACATTTACACAAAATACTTTCAACTAGTTGAGCCATTCTTCAACAAAAACATTTACACAAAATACTTTCACTAGTTGAGCCATTCTTCTTGTCTATGTACAACAACATTCATAAAAAACTCATTGAGCAAGATTAGGTTAAAGTTAAAACCTTACCAATAATTAATTGTAATTAAACATTTCATTAAATCTATTTCATAGTGATATTGAACCAGCAAAATAAAACAGTACATTTGTTTTACAGAAATTACATGAGTTTTTTTACATTAGATTTCATGCCAAAAATAGAACAAAATGCTCACATACACAAAACTGCCTTTAATTAATGTTCACTAAGTTAGTACTCATAGTAGCTGGAGTACGTCCCCTTTGGTTTATCAACTGTACGTCTACTCTGTTTGCTCTGAACACTTTCATTATCAGAAAATTCACGAGACCTGGACTTTTTTACCCGTCCTGACTCGCTGCCGTGTGATTTGGTCTTACGTCTGCTGCTGTACTCTGACCCAGATATATCATCCTCACTGTAGTGGCCTGGCTTTTTGCTTTCTCGTCTTGAATGTTTTTTTTTACTTTTTGATCGATCTTCTGAAGCAGATCGTCTTTTGCCATCTTTCCTACTGAAGGCTTCATCCTTGTCGTGTCTGCGACGTGACCTACTGCGTACAGACCCAGCATCAGAGTCGGAATACGTTGAATTTAAGTCTCTTGAGCGACTTCGGTCACGTGATCGGCTACTGCGTCTCTTGGAGTGGGGTGAACTTCCCTTGCTTGACCGCCTTCGACTTCTTGACCTTGACCTATCTTCATCTGAATCCTCATCTTTACTTCTGTGTTTTTTAGATGAACGCCGTTTATCGTCCTTCTCATCAGACTTCTTTTTCTTCTTCCTGTTCTCGGAATCTGACCTGCTCTTGGATTTGGATTTCTTACTCTCTGAACTTTTCTTTTTCTTGACACTGGAAACATTCATTTTCTTTTTTTCAGCCTCACCATCACTAACGTCTGAACCTTCTGAAGAGTCGCTGAATGACTTTTTCTTCTCATCACCTTTTTTAACATACTCAGGCAATACGGGCTGCTTGATTTGTTTTGATTCCTCGTAATCATTGCCGCGGCCTGCGCCAGATTTTTGTGTCCCGTTCTTGTCTACAGCTCTCTGGGAGTCAGGGTCATCGTACTGTCGCCTCTGTGAGTAGGTGGACGAGCGTGGGTTGGTCCTGGGGGAGTGGTAGGCTGGCGGAGGGTTGGCCAGCCCATTGATGTACACCTCACCCCTGCCACTGACTGCAAATGTTGTGTCAGGAGGTCTGGCATTAATGGACGACTGCGACCCTTGGTACCTGCTGGCATAGGCTGGGGACTTGAGACTGTGGGCAGTGTTGATGCTGGACTGGGAGTTGTTTTGATGAGAGTACGCGTAATTAGTGGCAGGTGGGGGGTCCTTGGTGAAGTAAACCTTGGGCTCGTCAACCTGACCGTGCTCTAGGCGGTATCTGAAGAACTCCAAGAACTGGAACATCATGGCTATGATGGCCAGAAAAACTGCTAGCACACAGATTCCAAATGACCAGGAGAGATAATTCTGGTCCGGTTTCTCAAGCCATGTCCTGGAGTTATCAGCCCTTGCCCCAAACATGATGACAGCAACAGCAAGAAGGATCCCTAAGGGAGACAATCAAATGTAAGAATTGCTTTAGAAAGAACAATGAATGTGTGAAAGTTTGTATAAATGGTTGAAGTTTGCTGATAAACTACAACCAACAGTGCAAAATAATTGACACAAAATAAACTCCACCCACCTACTATGCCATGTAATGATGGACATGAAGTAGACTCCACCCACCTACTAATTCATGTAATGATTGACACAAAATTATCTCCACCCACCTACTAAGCCATGTAATGATTGACACAAAATTAACTCCACCCACCTACTAAGGCATGTAATGATTGACATGAAGTAGACTCCACCCACCTACTAATTGATGTAATGATAGACATGAAGTAGACTCCACCCACCTACTAATTCATGTAATGATTGACATGAAGTAGACTCCACCCACCTACTATGCCACGTAATGATGGACATGAAGTAGACTCCACCCACCTACTAATTGATGTAATGATTGACATGAAGTAGACTCCACCCACCTACTAAGTCATGTAATGATTGACATGAAGTAGACTCCACCCACCTACTAAGGCATGTAATGATTGACATGAAGCAGACTCCACCCACCTACTATGCCACGTAATGATGGACATGAAGTAGACTCCACCCACCTACTAATTGATGTAATGATAGACATGAAGTAGACTCCACCCACCTACTAAGGCATGTAATGATTGATATGAAGTAGACTCCACCCACCTACTAATTGATGTAATGATAGACATGAAGTAGACTCCACCCACCTACTAAGGCATGTAATGATTGATATGAAGTAGACTCCACCCACCTACTAATTGATGTAATGATTGACATGAAGTAGACTCCACCCACCTGTGAGTCCATGTAAAATGGCAGCTGACATAGACAGGCCCCTGGTGATCTGAAGCTTGAGAGGGTGGTAAAGAAAACAGTTGATGATGTTGACGATGAGGATGATGGTGGCCAGTAGTTCAAAGAACAAACTAATGGACACCAGAACCTGCGTGCCCACAAACCAGCCTGTGGAACAAGAGGTTACAGCACATCAGAAGATGTTTAACTTATGGTTACAGCACATCAGAAGATGTTTAACTTTAGGTTACAGCACATCAGAAGATGTTTAACTTATGGAACAAGTATTAGTATTGCAACTATACATAGAGGCCTATTATATATATATATATATATATATATATATATATATATATATATATATTTATATATATATATATATATCCCATATAGAGGATATACATTTTTTCTTTGGTGGTGGAGGGGTGACACCATGAGGTGCTGCACCGGGTGACACCATGAGGTGCTGCACCGGGTGACACCATGAGATGCTGCACCGGGTGACACCATGAGGTGCTGCACCGGGTGACACCATGAGGTGCTGCACCGGGTGACACCATGAGGTGCTGCACCGGGTGACACCATGAGATGCTGCACCGGGTGACACCCAACCTAGCGATGCCACGGGTTGACATACAGGATTTTATTGAAAATTGTCCCCCCCCCCCAACAATGGCACATTCATTCATACATTCACAATAATGACTCTTAATTAAATTAATGAGTAGGCCAATTAATAAAATATTAATAATACATGTCACTATAAGACATATGTCATAAATGCTTGCAGTAGACAACTAAAAAAAAAATTATCTAGCCCTTCTTCAAGTCTACTGAATCTAGCAGGTCCCTCCAGGTAAGACATTTCTGAAGAAATAGGTAACCCAATCAAAACCTTACCTGTCTCAGGTGAGACAAGCTACATTAAGGTTACAGTCGAGTTATCACGGACATCCTAGTAGATCTAGATCTAGATCTTCTAGGACTTTGGCAGAAGATTGGAAGTCAGTAGAGAGCAGATCAACTAGACAACTAGGCCTACTAGGAACATCAACAAATACTAACCCGGAAACAGGAACACTCTCAGATCGTCCATCTCTCTGTCTAGAACCCACCAGCAGCCATCGTAAAACTTGTCCACCAAGGCGTATGCAGGCGGCCTGTACCGTGAGAAACACGCTGACCACAGTCCAATATTTTTAAAACCGGACACCTCTTTCTCCGTGGACACAACCCACCGGTCAGAAGCGAACGACACGACAATGGCCACGACACAGAGGACAGTGCAAGCCAGGCCTGCCAGAGAGAATGTTTTGGTCTTGATCGCCATCTTGGCGACATGAAGCGTTCGTGCGACAACGTGCGATTGGTTGGCAGCGACTACAGCTTATCGTCCATTGGTTCACCAACCGTAGCGGGGTCAATATCTTACCTGGTTAGGTTTTGTAGGTTCAGGTTGACCTACTTCTCTTTCATTTCTGGTTCGTGCAATAAAAAATCATTTTAGAAGACGTCTTGGGAAAAAAGAACTTCTTTTAAAATTTAATTGACACCTTGACATGGCGCTTATTAAGAAAAATAGGCCTATAGATCTAGATCTATATCTAATTCATCTAATGTGACAATGTAATGTCTTTTCCTGATTATGCCATTTTATTGTCAGACATTTAAAAGTCTGTAAATTGGGTGGGGGGAGGAGTTTTAAAAATACCTCTGTAGAAACTCACATATTATTGATACACAATACACTCCCTGTGTTTCACCTTCATATTCCAGTTTGCAGGTATCATAGGCCCACAGGTATTATAGTCCCACAGGTGTGATAGGCCCACAGGTAAGTCAAAAGTTGGGCTAGTGACAGAACTGAAATCGCATGCTCGCAATGGCGAGGGTAGTGTAACCTCGGGGCGCCGAATGAGTAATGATGGAGGAGGGTGGGGTTGAGTTGAAAACTTTTGTTTAAAACTTGCAGACCCCCCCCCCCCCCCCCCCCCAAAAAAAAACCACGCGCAAATTAATAAGGGGAAATAACCAACATAGAATGATTTTCGCCGAAATTACTCAGTAGTTTCCCTTTGTATATGAATCTACATTACTGTTGTTATTAATATTTAAATACTGTAATTTTTAGCAAATTTAGATCAATTTTCATAACAATATATTTTTTCTTTAATGCTAGATTCTAGTCTAAAAACCTTTTTTAAAAGCCCACCTTCACGATTCTTCACACATCAAGACATCCGGACCTCCTCTCCCCCCCCCTCCACAATGAGTGTCACGGCATTTATAGATGACCACCACTGACCGCTAGAGTGTATTTTATCATGGAAAACAATTCTTCTGACTTTCATTGTTTCCATGGCAATTCCGGATGATTTCGAGGAGATGTTGAGGGCGTTTTTTTTATATATTTGATTTGATAAAATAATACTAAACTGTTTTTACTGTAGGGCCGCTACTGTATGTGTTTAAAGCTTCTATTGAATGTGTTAAAAGCACCTATTGAATGTGTTAAAAGCACCTATTGAATGTGTTAAAAGCACCTATTGAATGTGTTAAAAGCACCTATTGAATGTGTTAAAAGCACCTACTGTGGGTGTTTAAAGCCGCTATTGAATGTGATTAAAGCACCTACTAAAGGTGTTAAAAGCACCTATTGAATGTGTTAAAAGCACCTATTGAATGTGTTAAAAGCACCTACTGAAGGTGTTAAAAGCACCTACTGAAGGTGTTAAAAGCACCTACTGAAGGTGTTAAAAGCACCTACTGAAGGTGTTAAAAGCACCTACTGAAGGTGTTAAAAGCACCTACTGAAGGTGTTAAAAGCACCTATTGAATGTGATTAAAGCACCTACTGAAGGTGTTAAAACACCTACTGTATGTGTTTAAAGCCGCTATTGAATGTGTTAAAAGCACCTATTGAATGTGTTAAAAGCACCTATTGAATGTGTTAAAAGCACCTATTGAATGTGTTAAAAGCACCTATTGAATGTGATTAAAGCACCTACTGAAGGTGTTAAAAGCACCTACTGTATGTGTTAAAAGCACCTACTGAAGGTGTTAAAAGCACCTATTGAATGTGTTAAAAGCACCTACTGAAGGTGTTAAAAGCACCTATTGAATATGATTAAAGCACCTATTGAATATGATTAAAGCACCTACTGAAGGTGTTTATGGCCATGTACGAGTCGCACAGTTGAACCACTTGTCCACCTGTAGGACGCAGGTTGTGGCTCTTGAGCTGCTCGTAAAGACGTAGGGGGGACACGTCACTCGGTATGTGGTGGTGGGGGGGGGTGGGGTGCTCACAGGAGCAGGGGGTTGAGGGGACTACAAGACACGTCACATGGTATGTGGTGGTGGTGGGGGGGGGGGGGTTGTGCTCACAGGAGCAAGGGGTCGAGGGGACTTCTAGACTCGTCACATGGTATGTAGTGGGGGTGCTCTAGGGCATTACTTTAAGCAGCAAAACGCCCCCTTTCAATAAACACTTGAAGCCCCCAGTGTATCTGCAGCAAGGATTAGCCTGAAGTCACATCGAAGACTTCTCCATTCCAATCTTCTGTAACTCTTCACGGATGGACGAACCGACAGACAGACAGACTAAACGAGTAGACAGAAATATCACCAACACCAATGACGCGCTTACGTGAACAGGAGAGCGGCACAAACAGGGACATTATCTTCCTGCACCATTGGATCGTTTACCCAGCCCGCCTTTCGCCTTTTAACTATCTCCACAACTTTTTATTGAATGCCATATTTCCGCCCTATCAAGTCTTTGAATAAAAATCGATATATTTGCTTTGGCCAAAAGCGAAAACTTGCACGCACCGTGACGCTAATATTTTCTTTTGATACCTATTACCAACTGGGAAAACCCGTTTATAGCGTAAATTTATGCCCTTTAAAGCGAATATTTTTTGCTAAATCTTTTACGTGTTTTGACAAATAGACAGGAGGTAATTCAGAATAGTCTAATAACCGAACTGTCACAAAACACCAAGAAACAGATAGGGAATCTAATATCCAGTGGGATAGTTAATACAGATCGGCTAAACACACATACACGTATGATCTAAGTGTGGAGAGTGATTTTTTTTTTTACGTTTTAATACATATATCATTGACGTAGATAGTGGGGTTTAAATATAACGTATAGGAACCTTTCAGTGCAAAATATTTTTCGAACAGGAATAAACGAGAAACTGTTCATGACAGGTAATGTATGATTGTTTAATTTGTGTTAAATATAAGTAACATATGATTGTTTAATTTGTGTTAAATATAAGTAATGTATGATTGTCTAATTTTTGTTATTTAAAAATGTAAATATATTTAAGAGTTGTGAAATACGTGAATAAAGTGTAAAGTATTTGTAAGTGTATGTTAAATTAATGATTGACACGATGTGGATGTTACTGTTATATATATGTTACATATGTAATTGTTATATGTAGCTTACCAGTGGCGTCGCTAGGTCAGGTGTCACCCGGTGTACAAAGTATATATATATATATATATATATATATATATATATATATATATATATATATATATATATATATATATATATATATATATATATATATATATATATATATACATATATATATATATGTGTGTGTGTGTGTGTGTGTGTTTATAGTTTGTACGTTTACGGACGTCATTGTGTCACCTCGACCCCCTTGTAATAATTGTCGATTTGTACTTGAAAGACTATTTAACTTTAATTAATCATTAAAGGAACTGGTAAAAGGCTTTTTTTTTCTGTCCATTCGCAATTTTTTGCCTTGGTGTCACCCCTCTAAATGGTGTCACTCGGTTCGGTCCGCACCCCCGCCCCGCCCTCGCTACGCCTCTGTAGCTTACGTTAGCTGGTGTGTCTGTCTGTCTGTCTGTCTGTCTGCCTGCCTGTCCGTCCGTTCGTCCGTCCGTCCGTCCGTCTGTCTGTCTGTCTGTCAAAATCCGTATCCATTTTTTTATATTTTTATTTTTGCTTGTATTTTAAAAATGTATTGATACATAGGACGTAGTTAGTCTTGTTATAGTTTTGTTTATTGAACATATTTTTGTAAATAAACAGCTTTGTTTATTGAACATATTTTTGTAAATAAACAGCTTTGTTTATTGAACATATTTTTGTAAATAAACAGCTTTGTTTATTGAACATATTTTTGCAAATAAACAGCTTTAAAACATCCTCTTGAACCAATGGGAGGGCGGGGTTACTCGGTTCATTAGACACGTGACAGATTTACATGTCTGAGGCGGAATAAAGGATAAAAAGGTTAATCTAGTAGCAGGATTTAAAATATTTTTAAATTAATTTTTATTTCAAAATATCACATTTTAGATAATGATAATATCTGCCAACAAAACGGCAAACTGCTTCAATCTGGCTGGCTATCTACATAGGCTATCTACACTGGCTATCTACACTATCTACACTGGCTATCTACACTAGCTAGATCTATCTACACTGGCTATCTACACTGGCTATCTACACTGGCTATATACACTGGCTATCTACACTGGCTATCTACACTGGCTATATACACTGGCTATCTACACTGGCTATCTACACTGGCTATCTACACTGGCTATCTACACTGGCTATCTACACTGGCTATCTACACTGGCTATCTACACTGGCTATCTACACTGGCTATCTATACTGGCTATCTACACTGGCTATCTACACTGGCTATCTACACTGGCTATCTACACTGGCTATCTACACTATCTACACTGGCTATCTACACTGGCTATCTACACTGGCTATCTACACTATCTACACTGGCTATCTACACTGGCTATCTACACTATCTACACTGGCTATCTACACTGGCTATCTATACTGGCTATCTACACTGACTATCTACACTATCTACACTGGCTATCTACACTGGCTATCTACACTGGCTATCTACACTGGCTATCTACACTGGCTATCTATACTGGCTATCTACACTGGCTATCTACACTATCTACACTGGCTATCTACACTGGCTATCTACACTGGCTATCTACACTGGCTATCTACACTGGCTATCTACACTGGCTATCTACACTATCTACACTGGCTATCTACACTGGCTATCTACACTGGCTATCTATACTGGCTATCTACACTAGCTATCTACACTGGCTATCTACACTGGCTATCTACACTGGCTATCTACACTATCTACACTATCTACACTGGCTATCTACACTATCTACACTGGCTATCTACACTGGCTATCTACACTGGCTATCTATACTGGCTATCTATACTGGCTATCTACACTGGCTATCTACACTGGCTATCTATACTGGCTATCTACACTGGCTATCTACACTGGCTATCTACACTGGCTATCTACACTGGCTATCTACACTGGCTATCTATACTGGCTATCTACACTGGCTATCTACACTATCTACACTGGCTATCTATACTGGCTATCTACACTGGCTATCTACACTATCTACACTGGCTATCAACACTGGCTATCTACACTGGCTATCTATACTGGCTATCTACACTGGCTATCTACACTGGCTATCTACACTGGCTATCTACACTGGCTATCTGCACTATCTACACTGGCTATCTACACTGGCTATCTACACTATCAACACTGGCTATCTACACTGGCTATCTACACTGGCTATCTACACTGGCTATCTACACTGGCTATCAACACTGGCTATCTATACTGGCTATCTACACTGGCTATCTACACTGGCTATCTACACTGGCTATCTACACTGGCCATCTATACTGGCTATCTACACTGGCTATCTACACTATCTACACTGGCTATCTACACTGGCTATCTACACTGGCTATCTACACTGGCTATCTATACTGGCTATCTACACTGGCTATCTATACTGGCTATCTACACTGGCTATCTACACTATCTACACTGGCTATCAACACTGGCTATCTACACTGGCTATCTATACTGGCTATCTACACTGGCTATCTACACTATCTACACTGGCTATCTACACTGGCTATCTACACTATCTACACTGGCTATCTACACTGGCTATCTACACTGGCTATCTACACTGGCTATCTACACTGGCTATATATACTGGCTATCTACACTGGCTATCTATACTGGCTATCTACACTGGCTATCTACACTGGCTATCTACACTGGCTATCTACACTGGCTATCTACACTGGCTATCTACACTATCTACACTGGCTATCTACACTATCTACACTGGCTATCTACACTGGCTATCTACACTGGCTATCTACACTGGCTATCTACACTGGCTATCTACACTGGCTATCTACACTGGCTATCTACACTGGCTATCTACACTGGCTATATATACTGGCTATCTACACTGATTATCTACACTGGCTATCTACACTGGCTATCTATACTGGCTATCTACACTGGCTATCTACACTGGCTATCTACACTGGCTATCTACACTGACTATCTACACTGGCTATCTACACTGGCTATATATACTGGCTATCTACACTGGCTATCTATACTGGCTATCTACACTGGCTATCTACACTGGCTATCTATACTGGCTATCTACACTGGCTATCTACACTATCTACACTGGCTATCTACACTGGCTATCTACACTGGCTATCTACAGTGCCTATCTACACTGGCTATCTACACTGGCTATCTACACTATCTACACTGGCTATCAACACTGGCTATCTACACTGGCTATCTATACTGGCTATCTACACTGGCTATCTACACTGGCTATCTACACTGGCTATCTACACTGGCTATCTACACTGGCTATCTACACTGGCTATCTACACTGGCTATCTATACTGGCTATCTACACTGGCTATCTACACTATCTACACTGGCTATCTACACTGGCTATCTACACTATCTACACTGGCTATCTACACTGGCTATCTACACTGGCTATCTACACTGGCTATCTACACTGTCTATCTATACTGGCTATCTACACTGGCTATCTACACTGGCTATCTACACTGGCTATCTACACTATCTACACTGGCTATCTACACTGGCTATCTACACTGGCTATCTACACTGGCTATCTATACTGGCTTTCTACACTGGCTGTCTACACTGGCTATCTACACTATCTACACTGGCTATCTACACTGGCTATCTACACTGGCTATCTACACTATCTACACTGGCTATCTACACTGGCTATCTACACTGGCTATCTACACTGGCTATCTACACTGGCTATATATACTGGCTATCTACACTGGCTATCTACACTATCTACACTGGCTATCTACACTGGCTATCTACACTGGCTATCTACACTGGCTATCTATACTGGCTATCTACACTGGCTATCTACACTATCTACACTGGCTATCTACACTGGCTATCTACACTGGCTATCTATACTGGCTATCTACACTGGCTATCTACACTGGCTATCTACACTGGCTATCTACACTATCTACACTGGCTATCTACACTGGCTATCTACACTGGCTATCTACACTGGCTATCTACACTGGCTATCTACACTGGCTATCTACACTGGCTATCTATACTGGCTATCTACACTGGCTATCTACACTGGCTATCTACACTGGCTATCTACACTGGCTATCTACACTGGCTATCTACACTGGCTATCTACACTGGCTATCTACACTGGCTATCTATACTGGCTATCTACACTGGCTATCTACACTGGCTATCTATACTGGCTATCTACACTGGCTATCTACACTGGCTATCTACACTGGCTATCTACACTGGCTATCTACACTGGCTATCTACACTGGCTATCTACACTGGCTATCTACACTGGCTATCTACACTGGCTATCTATACTGGCTATCTACACTATCTACACTGGCTATCTACACTGGCTATCTACACTGGCTATCTACACTGGCTATCTACACTGGCTATCTACACTGGCTATCTACACTGGCTATCTACACTGGCTATCTACACTGGCTATCTACACTGGCTATCTACACTGGCTATCTACACTGGCTATCTACACTGGCTATCTATACTGGCTATCTACACTGGCTATCTACACTGGCTATCTACACTGGCTATCTACACTGGCTATCTACACTGGCTATCTACACTGGCTATCTACACTGGCTATCTACACTGGCTATATATACTGGCTATCTACACTGGCTATCTACACTGGCTATCTACACTGGCTATCTACACTGGCTATCTACACTGGCTATCTACACTGGCTATCTACACTGGCTATCTACACTGGCTATCTATACTGGCTATCTACACTGGCTATCTACACTGGCTATCTATACTGGCTATCTACACTGACTATCTACACTGGCTATCTACACTGGCTATCTACACTGGCTATCTACACTGGCTATCTACACTGGCTATCTATACTGGCTATCTACACTGGCTATCTACACTGGCTATCTATACTGGCTATCTACACTGGCTATCTACACTGGCTATCTACACTGGCTATCTATACTGGCTATCTACACTGGCTATCTACACTGGCTATCTATACTGGCTATCTACACTGGCTATCTACACTGGCTATCTACACTGGCTATATACACTGGCTATCTACACTGGCTATCTACACTGGCTATCTACACTGGCTATCTACACTGGCTATCTACACTGGCTATCTACACTGGCTATCTACACTGGCTATCAACACTGGCTATCTACACTGGCTATCTACACTATCTACACTGGCTATCTACACTGGCTATCTACACTGGCTATCTACACTATCTACACTGGCTATCTACACTGGCTATCTACACTGGCTATCTACACTGGCTATCTACACTATCTACACTGGCTATCTACACTGACTATCTACACTGGCTATCTACACTGGCTATCTACACTGGCTATCTACACTGGCTATCTACACTGGCTATCTACACTGGCTATCTACACTGGCTATCTACACTATCTACACTGGCTATCTACACTGGCTATCTACACTGGCTATCTACACTGGCTATCTACACTGGCTATCAACACTGGCTATCTACACTTGCTATCTACACTATCTACACTGGCTATCTACACTGGCTATCTACACTGGCTATCTACACTGGCTATCTACACTGGCTATCTACACTGGCTATCTACACTGGCTATCTACACTGGCTATCTACACTGGCTATCAACACTGGCTATCTACACTGGCTATCTACACTATCTACACTGGCTATCTACACTGGCTATCTACACTGGCTATCTACACTGGCTATCTACACTATCTACACTGGCTATCTACACTGGCTATCTACACTGGCTATCTACACTGGCTATCTACACTGGCTATCTACACTGGCTATCTACACTGGCTATCAACACTGGCTATCTACACTGACTATCTACACTATCTACACTGGCTATCTACACTGGCTATCTACACTGGCTATCTACACTGGCTATCTACACTGGCTATCAACACTGGCTATCTACACTGGCTATCTACACTGGCTATCTACACTGGCTATCTACACTGGCTATCTACACTGGCTATCTACACTGGCTATCTACACTGGCTATCTACACTATCTACACTGGCTATCTACACTGGCTATCTACACTATCTACACTGGCTATCTACACTGGCTATCTACACTGGCTATCTACACTGGCTATCTACACTGGCTATCTACACTGGCTATCTACACTGGCTATCTACACTGGCTATCAACACTGGCTATCTACACTGGCTATCTACACTATCTACACTGGCTATCTACACTGGCTATCTACACTGGCTATCTACACTGGCTATCAACACTGGCTATCAACACTGGCTATCTACACTATCTACACTGGCTATATACACTGGCTATCTACACTGGCTATCTACACTGGCTATCTACACTGGCTATCTACACTGGCTATCTACACTGGCTATCTACACTGGCTATCTATACTGGCTATCTACACTGGCTATCTACACTGGCTATCTACACTGGCTATCTACACTGGCTATCTACACTGGCTATCTACACTGGCTATCTACACTGGCTATCTACACTATCTACACTAGCTATCTACACTGGCTATCTACACTGACTATCTACACTATCTACACTGGCTATCTACACTGGCTATTTACCTCAGATGTGAAGTCTAGGACTCCACAAAGTTCGAAGGCGTGTTTGCGAAGATTTTTTTCTGTATATAGATCAGGGGTCTCCAAACTTTTCAGGCCGAGGGCCGCATTAACTATCAAATTTCAGTTTAGGGGCCAGTTTCTTCCAGGCATGTCTTTGATTTTTCTGGGCAAAAACCCTCAGCAATCAACGACAAACGATTTTTTCTTGGACAAAAAGATCTCCGCGGGCCGGATGAGAGGACTTTGCGGGCCGCATCCGGCCCGCGGGCCGTAGTTTGGAGACCCCTGATATAGATGATAGAGGCTGAACGATTTAGATTATAGAGGCTAGACAATACTTTTCCTCCTGTTCATGAGAGCTGGAACGGTTCGAAAGTACCTTCACCTGAAGCACGGGAACTAGCTCAGAATTTACACGGGGGGGGGGGGAAGTCTTGTATTGCTGTTTGATGATTTACTTTCATATTTAATTAAAGCATTGTTTTTGTTCAACATTCGAACAGAAAATACAAGTATGTAGGTGCCCAGAGCTAGCCAAAGAAACATCAGCGGGTTTCCATTGTTACAGCTTGTAGTCGCTGGTACCTGAGAAAATAACAAGTGGCTTCCAGAATCGGATTTTTATCTGGCACGCCGAGTGCCATGCTAAACCGGCAGACGGTTTGGGAATGTCTCGCCCTTCTGTTGGTGGCATGTCAGTCAGTCACGGCCGGAACATCGGTAAGTAGATCTGGTCAGTGTCATGTCAGTCGGTCAGTGTCTTCATGTCAGTTGGTCAGTGTCTTCATGTCAGTTGGTCAGTGTCTTCATGTCTCATGCTGTCTTAAGACCTCCATGTCTCATGCTGTCTTAAGACCTTCATGTCTCATGCTGTCTTAAGACCTTCATGTCTCATGCTGTCTTAAGACCTCCATGTCTCATGCTGTCTTAAGACCTTCATGTCTCATGCTGTCTTAAGACCTCCATGTCTCATGCTGTCTTAAGACCTTCATGTCTCATGCTGTCTTAAGACCTTCATGTCTCATGCTGTCTTAAGACCTCCATGTCTCATGCTGTCTTAAGACCTTCATGTCTCATGCTGTCTTAAGACCTTCATGTCTCATGCTGTCTTAAGACCTCCATGTCTCATGCTGTCTTAAGACCTCCATGTCTCATGCTGTCTTAAGACCTTCATGTCTCATGCTGTCTTAAGACCTCCATGTCTCATGCTGTCTTAAGACCTTCATGTCTCATGCTGTCTTAAGACCTCCATGTCTCATGCTGTCTTAAGACCTTCATGTCTCATGCTGTCTTAAGACCTTCATGTCTCATGCTGTCTTAAGACCTCCATGTCTCATGCTGTCTTAAGACCCTCATGTCTCATGCTGTCTTAAGACCTTCATGTCTCATGCTGTCTTAAGACCTCCATGTCTCATGCTGTCTTAAGACCTTCATGTCTCATGCTGTCTTAAGACCTTCATGTCTCATGGACCTCTATGTCTAACCTTTAACCCTAATGATTATGACCCTACTTGTATCGGCCAGTTTTTGACCATCTCTACGTCTGTCTGCAGCCAACAATAACAAACTCGGCAGTGACGACACTGAAGGAATACCAGGCCACGCCCACCACCATCACGTCCATCACGTGCACTGACCCTGACCTTGCAGGTGTTGTGGTCAGCGGCTCCATATCCCCGACAACCAACTGTGTCAGCTGTTTCATCGTCGTGCCAACAGATCTAGGTAAGTCGACATCACGTGGTTCGTAGCAGACAGGTGAGTAGACATCACGTGGTTCGTAGCAGACTACAGATCTAGGTGAGTCAACATCACGTGGTTCGTAGCAGACAACAGACTTAAGTCGTTTCTGACACATTCCGTGTGGTTGTACGAATGGAAATTTTACAACGGGTGGAGTTTTGTTTTAAAGAATTTCCTCACCTTTATTTATAGGCATGAAAAATTCTTAAAAACTATTTTTTTTATATCTCTAAAATGTTTTTATCAGCAACTAAATCGTTAGTTCAGCAAGATATTGAAACGTCGACGTTATTGTTAACTTAATTGTGAGGTTAAAATTGTAATTTTTTTGTAGTGCTGAGTTGTTGAGAAAGTGGTGGTGGTTGTAGTTGTCAATCGATTGGGTTGCTGCTACCACCAGATTACATCTTACCACACCATATAGATGTATGTAACGCAGGGCCGGCGCTACCTATAAGGCGAACTAGGCGGTCGCCTAGGGCGCCATCCCTATGGGCGCGCAAAAAGTTTAATCGATATTATCAAAAATTACCTAACAATTAATAACTTTTATAAAGGAGTAGCGATCTATTTCGGCATCCAGGACGAACTGTCAATTTTGCAACCCCATCCCAATATTAGGTCTATAGGCCTGTATTTATTGATGTAGAAAACGATTAAATAAGTTCGTTATTTAAATTTCGAACATTTCAAACGGTTATTTAATTTTAATAGGGCTTGTAAGTCTCGTTTTCTCTGGCTTTGAATTAGAAATCTGTATTGGTGTACAGAGTTTTGTAATGACGGGATGTTCAAAGTATTGTAATTGTTTGGTAAGTTTTGATGAATCGTTTAGATTTGGGAGTAACGGCGGAAGGCTGTTGCTGATATGGTTTCGTAGGTATAAAGTATCGAAGTGTTAAAGTGGCATAATTTTTATTCGCCTGTTTTGTAGTTGAAGGTCTATTAGAATCTGATTGCTAATAAAGAAATGAGAATGCAGGTGATGAAGTATCGTAGTTCTGGAGTTCGGGAGTATTGATTCTTGTGGTATTAAGGTATCGAATTATATTGACTGTTAAAGTGTAGTAGTAGGTCCAGTTGTTGATTGGGAGTACCGTTTGTAGAGCTTGGTGAAGTTAAACGAGTTGGTGTCGTAGTTCTGGAGTATCGAGTCTAGTTATGTTTAGGTATCGAAGGTTGATATGTGTTGTGAATGTAGTAGAGTATATCGAGTAGTCGAGTTTATCGTAAGCTAGATGATTTCAATTCAGTACGGAACACACGACAAAGAAAGGTAGGCGTTCTCTAGTTGAAAAATGTTTAGTTTTTTAAGAAATCTATATTACCACTCTTAAAGTATTAATATATAATATTAAATAGGATGGAATTTATAATTATATTTATATCTAACCGTAAACTTTTTGTTTTTTCAAATTATATATATTTTTATATTTAATCAATAATTCCAGCAATGCCTAAAATAATTACCCGTGTTTGATTTTTTGCAAGCGACCCTTTTTTAAGGGATCCATAACTTACAAATTAAAGGATACCAGAAACCACAAATTAATGCATGTCATCAAAATTGAATAGAAGTATGTTATAATAAAGCTACCGTTTTTAGACTTTTAAACAAAACCTACAGTTAAGTATTCAATTGGTAAATATATTGTTTTCACAAGGTTACATAGGTAATGTAAAAGATGTATTATAATTATTACGTAGTAAAATTTAGAGTGTTTTATTGTGTATTTCAAGCATGCCTTAGTTACACGTGGTTATATTAGCGATTCTTGTAAAAATTATTTCCCTTGAATAAAATTTTGGTATTTACATTTTCAAAAGGGAGATAATTCGTTGCTTAACTTTACATTCATTTCAAATTCCTACACCTTAGGTTGACCGCTTACTTAAAAATACAACTTTAAGTTATTGTTTGCTATTGTAAAAATTGTATAGAGCTTAAGTTCTAAACAAAATAGTTTGGTAGGTTTTTTTTTTTAGCATTATCAAGTTGAAAAACAAATACATCAGTAGCCGTTACAGATTGCTATACTTAATGTTAGTAGACACAGTCTTAGTCGTAAATTAAACATCTTATTAGTTGTCTTTTCATATTTTTCACCCTCTCCTAAAGGATTCATATATAACAATTTTAGGCTGGAATCTATATTATTTATAACTTTTTATTTTTCAAAAACCGAAAAATCGTTACATATTCACACAATATAGACATTTTACAATTATAACTAAAGACAGTCAAGCTTAAAACAAGTAAGTTCCGTTTTGGAACTCACCTTGGTAGGACTGTAGAGAGCCCAACACTACAAGAACTTTTTTCATTCAGTGGTTTTTTCCAGACTTTTTCTCCCGGGAGGGGGGAAGGGAAACACTTAAAATTTTCTAAGGGGGGGGGGCTATGTTGTAAAGCACAAAGTAGACTCGTGCACTTAGCAACAATTTAATAAAATGTGATTACGCTTGCAAACTGGAATTGAAGGAATTAGTACAAACTTTTGAGATGAAGGAGGCAAGTAAAATTGGATTTTTAATGTATACTTATAGCGTGTATGCAATAGATAATAAATTAATATGTCACTTTTAATTAATTGTTTTCTTATACATATGTTTTAGTAATTAATTTGTGTGAAAGGGGGCGTTTAAATAATTTTTTGCATAGGGCGCTAGATAACCTGGCGCCGGCACTGATGTAATGATAACGACAATGTTTAAACTAACAAGCTGTGACCGAACCAGCAAACATTTGGAGGCTCTGTATAGTGCCACACAAGATGTCAAATGTTTCTCCACACCCTGTAAATGTCCACACACTGTAAATGTCCACCATGTGTCCACACACTGTAAATGTCCACCATTTGTCCACACCCTGTAAATGTCCACCATGTGTCCACACACTGTAAATGTCCACCATTTGTCCACACCCTGTAAATGTCCACCATTTGTCCACACCCTGTAAATGTCCACCATGTGTCCACACCCTGTAAATGTCCACCATTTGTCCACACCCTGTAAATGTCCACCATTTGTCCACACACTGTGAATGTCCACCATGTGTCCACACTAAATGTCCACCATGTGTCCACACCCTGTAAATGTCCACCATGTGTCCACACCCTGTAAATGTCCACCATGTGTCCACACCCTGTAAATGTCCACCATGTGTCCACACACTGTAAATGTCCACCATTTGTCCACACTAAATGTCCACCATTTGTCCACACTAAATGTCCACCATGTGTCCACACCCTGTAAATGTCCACCATTTGTCCACACCCTGTAAATGTCCACCATGTGTCCACACCCTGTAAATGTCCACCATTTGTCCACACTAAATGTCCACCATGTGTCCACACCCTGTAAATGTCCACCATGTGTCCACACCCTGTAAATGTCCACCATGTGTCCACACACTGTAAATGTCCACCATTTGTCCACACCCTGTAAATGTCCACCATGTGTCCACACCCTGTAAATGTCCACCATGTGTCCACACACTGTAAATGTCCACCATTTGTCCACACCCTGTAAATGTCCACCATGTGTTCACACCCTGTAAATGTCCACCATTTGTCCACACCCTGTAAATGTCCACCATTTGTCCACACACTGTGAATGTCCACCATGTGTCCACACTAAATGTCCACCATTTGTCCACACACTGTAAATGTCCACCATGTGTCCACACTAAATGTCCACCATGTGTCCACACTAAATGTCCACCATTTGTCCACACACACTGTAAATGTCCACCATGTGTCCACACTAAATGTCCACCATGTGTCCACACCCTGTAAATGTCCACCATTTGTCCACAAACTGTAAATGTCCACCATTTGTCCACACTAAATGTCCACCATGTGTCCACACCCTGTAAATGTCCACCATGTGTCCACACCCTGTAAATGTCCACCATGTGTCCACACCCTGTAAATGTCCACCATGTGTCCACACACTGTAAATGTCCACCATTTGTCCACACTAAATGTCCACCATTTGTCCACACTAAATGTCCACCATGTGTCCACACCCTGTAAATGTCCACCATTTGTCCACACCCTGCAAATGTCCACCATGTGTCCACACCCTGTAAATGTCCACCATTTGTCCACACTAAATGTCCACCATGTGTCCACACCCTGTAAATGTCCACCATGTGTCCACACCCTGTAAATGTCCACCATGTGTCCACACCCTGTAAATGTCCACCATGTGTCCACACCCTGTAAATGTCCACCATGTGTCCACACCCTGTAAATGTCCACCATGTGTCCACACCCTGTAAATGTCCACCATTTGTCCACACACTGTAAATGTCACCATTTGTCCACACCCTGTAAATGTCCACCATTTGTCCACACACTGTAAATGTCCACCATTTGTCCACACCCTGTAAATGTCCACCATTTGTCCACACCCTGTAAATGTCCACCATTTGTCCACACCCTGTAAATGTCCACCATTTGTCCACACACTGTGAATGTCCACCATGTGTCCACACTAAATGTCCACCATTTGTCCACACACACTGTAAATGTCCACCATGTGTCCACACTAAATGTCCACCATGTGTCCACACCCTGTTAATGTCCACCATTTGTCCACACCCTGTAAATGTCCACCATTTGTCCACAAACTGTAAATGTCCACCATTTGTCCACACTAAATGTCCACCATGTGTCCACACCCTGTAAATGTCCACCATGTGTCCACACCCTGTAAATGTCCACCATGTGTCCACACCCTGTAAATGTCCACCATGTGTCCACACCCTGTAAATGTCCACCATTTGTCCACACCCTGTAAATGTCCACCATTTGTCCACACACACTGTAAATGTCCACCATGTGTCCACACCCTGTAAATGTCCACCATTTGTCCACAAACTGTAAATGTCCACCATGTGTCCACACCCTGTAAATGTCCACCATGTGTCCACACCCTGTAAATGTCCACCATGTGTCCACACCCTGTAAATGTCCACCATGTGTCCACACCCTGTAAATGTCCACCATGTGTCCACACACTGTAAATGTCCACCATTTGTCCACACTAAATGTCCACCATTTGTCCACACCCTGTAAATGTCCACCATTTGTCCACACTAAATGTCCACCATTTGTCCACACCTTGTAAATGTCCACCATTTGTCCACACTAAATGTCCACCATTTGTCCACACTTAATTCCACCATTTTCCCACACTAAATGTCCACCATTTGTCCACACTAAATGTCCACCATTTGTCCACACTAAATGTCCACCATTTGTCCACACACTGTAAATGTCCACCATTTGTCCACACACTGTAAATGTCCACCCTTTGTCCACACTAAATGTCCACCATTTGTCCACACACTGTAAATGTCCACCATTTGTCCACACCCTGTAAATGTCCACCCTTTGTCCACACTAAATGTCCACCATTTGTCCACACAAAATGTCCACCATTTGTCCACACACACTAAATGTCCACCATTTGTCCACACACTGTATGTGTCCACCATTTGTCCACAACCTGTAAATGTCCACTATATGTCCACAAGCTGTAAATGTCTACCATTTGTCCACACTAAATGTCCACTATATGTCCACACCCTGTAAATGTCCACCATTTGTCCACACTAAATGTCCACCATTTGTCCACACCCTGTAAATGTCCACCATTTGTCCACACTAAATGTCCACCATTTGTCCACACACACTGTAAATGTCCACCATTTGTCCACACCCTGTGAATGTCCACCATTTGTCCACACACTGTAAATGTCCACCATTTGTCCACACACTGTAAATGTCCACTATATGTCCACACACTGTAAATGTCCACCATTTGACCACACCCTGTAAATGTCCACTATATGTCCACACCCTGTAAATGTCCACCATTTGTCCACACACTGTAAATGTCCACTATATGTCCACACACTGTAAATGTCCACCATTTGTCCACACCCTGTAAATGTCCACTATATGTCCACACACTGTAAATGTCCACCATTTGTCCACACTAAATGTCCACCATTTGTCCACACACACTGTAAATGTCCACCATGTGTCCACACCCTGTAAATGTCCACCATTTGTCCACACACTGTAAATGTCCACCATTTGTCCACACCCTGTAAATGTCCACCATTTGTCCACACACCCTGTAAATGTCCACCATTTGTCCACACACTGTAAATGTCCACCATGTGTCCACACCCTGTAAATGTCCACCATTTGTCCACACACTGTAAATGTCCACCATTTGTCCACACTAAATGTCCACCATTTGTCCACACACACTGTAAATGTCCACCATGTGTCCACACCCTGTAAATGTCCACCATTTGTCCACACACTGTAAATGTCCACCATTTGTCCACACTAAATGTCCACCATTTGTCCACACCCTGTAAATGTCCACCATGTGTCCACACCCTGTAAATGTCCACTATATGTCCACACACTGTAAATGTCCACCATTTGTCCACACTAAATGTCCACCATTTATCCACACACTGTAAATGTCCACCATTTTCCACACCCTGTAAATGTCCACACACTGTAAATGTCCACCATTTGTCCACACCCTGTAAATGTCCACCATTTGTCCACACACACTGTAAATGTCCACTATATGTCCACACACTGTAAATGTCCACCATTTGTCCACACTAAATGTCCACCATTTGTCCACACTAAATGTCCACCATTTGTCCACACTAAATGTCCACCATTTGTCCACACTCTGTAAATGTCCACCATTTGTCCACACACTGTAAATGTCCACCATTTGTCCACACCCTGTAAATGTCCACCATTTGTCCACACACTGTAAATGTCCACCATTTGTCCACACACACTGTAAATGTCCACCATTTGTCCACACCCTGTAAATGTCCACCATGTGTCCACACCCTGTAAATGTCCACCATGTGTCCACACACTGTAAATGTCCACCATTTGTCCACACACTGTAAATGTCCACCATTTGTCCACACACTGTAAATGTCCACCATGTGTCCACACCCTGTAAATGTCCACCATTTGTCCACACACTGTAAATGTCCACCATTTGTCCACACTAAATGTCCACCATTTGTCCACACCCTGTAAATGTCCACCATTTGTCCACACACTGTAAATGTCCACCATTTGTCCACACCCTGTAAATGTCCACTATTTGTCCACAGCGCAGGGCGAGTATGAGCTCCAGTTCTACCCCTCCGTGGCCACGCTCAACTTTAACGAAGTGCCGGAGTATGACATCACCTTGAGCTGTAACGACGGCACTGATCCCATTACGACCAAACACATCTATGTCAGACTCATACCCAACTCTGCTCCATACTTCACCAACGGTCTCACGGGTAAAGTCTCAGCATTCTGTCTCTGACCTACAAGACTGACCCCCTGACCTACGAGACGGACCCCTGACCTACGAGACGGACCCCCGACCTACAAGACGGACCCCTGACCTACGAGACTGACCCCCGACCTACAAGACGGACCCCTGACCTACGAGACTGACCCCTGACCTACGAGACTGACTTCCTGACCTACTAATCTAACCCCTGACCTACAAGACTGACCCCATAACCTACAAGACTGACCCCATAACCTACAAGACTGACCCCCTGACCTATGAGACTGACCCCTGACCTACGAGCCTGACCCCCTGACCTACGAGACTGATCCCTGACCTATGAGACTGACCCCTGACCTACGAGACTGACCCCCTGACCTACGAGACTGACCCCTAAGACTGACCCCTGACCTACGAGACTGACCCCTGACCTACAAGACTGACCCCTGACCCTGACCCCCTGACCTACGAGACTGACCCCTGACCCCCTGAACTATCTGCCCCACAGATTCCTTCATCTGGTCCAACACGAAGACGACCACCGCCCTGACCCCCCTGTACACCATATCTGCGGCTGACCCCGACGGTGACCCCATCTACTACACACTCAAGACCACGCCCACTTCATCAAACTTCGCCGTCAATTCACGTGAGTCGCGTGCATTATATATATATATATATATATATATATATATATATATATATATATATATATATATATATATATATAATATTCTTTAACCTTGTATTAGTGTTAGTAGTGTTGAAGAAACTCACCATTAACTCGCCATTAACTCGCCATTAACAATCGTGTTGTGTCTACCAGTGGGTCAGATTTACGCGGTCAATGACCTCAGCTCAGAGTGTAACGACAAGATGACCTTTGAAGTCCGGCTGTCAGACGGGAAGATAACAAACGTGGGTCCACAGGTCATCACGGCCACACTCAGCGGTAGGTCCACAGGTCATCACGGCCACACTCAGCGCTAGGTCCACAGGTCATCACGGCCACACTCAGCAGTAGTCCATAGGTCATCACGGCCACACTCAGCGGTAGGTCCATAGGTCATCACGGCCACATTTAGCGGTAGGTCCATAGGTCATCACGGCCACACTCAGCGCTAGGTCCACAGGTCATCACGGCCACATTTAGCGGTAGGTCCATAGGTCATCACGGCCACATTTAGCGGTAGGTCCACAGGTCATCACGGCCACACTCAGCGGTAGGTCCACACTTTGCCACTTGCGTGTGTGTGGTCACGCACGCTAGAGCCATTCTCAGACAAGTAGGTCAACTAAGACCTACACCAGAGGCGTAGCGAGGGGGGCGGGGGGACATATGTCCCCGGGCGCCGACCTTAGGGGGCGCCAAAATGGGTTGGAAAAATAAATTGAAAGCTTGAGGAAGGGGGGGGGTGCAAATCGAAAGTTTGAGGAGGGGCTGCAAATCGAAATCTTGAGGGGGGGGATGCAAATCGAAAGTTTGTACCCGGGCGCCGGGAAGGGTCGCTACGCCTCTGACCTACACTTAACATATACCCTACTTATACAAACATAACACCTAAACTACACACCCAGTCAGACTTAGCAATATGAAACTAGAAAAACACATGCATGAAAAATAAAAGAAGAAATTCAATGCCCCTAATCCCGGCTCTACGAATGTAAACATTTAGCGTGAACCACAGCTCACCAGACTTCCTAAACGTCCCCAAGAAGAGAATTATATATATAGAATAGAAATAAAAATTGTCAACTTCACCACTTTACAAGGATTACAAAACAAGTTTTCCACCGTCCACAAGCCAAGCACGACCTGTCGCTCAGTCATTCAGTGACACACTCAGTCACACACTCAGTCACACACTCAGTCACACACTCAGTCACACACTCAGTCACACACTCAGTCACACACTCAGTCACACACTCAGTCACACACTCAGTCACATACTCAGTCACACACTCAGTCACACACTCAGTCACACACTCAGTCACACACTCAGTCACACACTCAGTCACACACTCAGTCACACACTCAGTCACACACTCAGTCACACACTCAGTCACACACTCACTCACTCACTCAGTCACACACTCAGTCACACACTCAGTCACACACTCAGTCACACACTCAGTCACACACTCAGTCACACACTCAGTCACACACTCAGTCACACACTCAGTCACACACTCAGTCACACACTCAGTCACACACTCAGTCACACACTCAGTCACACACTCAGTCACACACTCAGTCACACACTCAGTCACACACTCAGTCACACACTCAGTCACACACTCAGTCACACACTCAGTCACACACTCAGTCACACACTCAGTCACACACTCACTCACTCACTCAGTCATTCAGTCACACACTCAGTCACACACTCAGTCACACACTCAGTCACACACTCAGTCACACACTCAGTCACACACTCAGTCACACACTCAGTCACACACTCAGTCACACACTCAGTCACACACTCAGTCACACACTCAGTCACACACTCAGTCACACACTCAGTCACACACTCAGTCACACACTCACTCACTCACTCACTCAGTCATTCAGTCACACACTCAGTCACACACTCAGTCACACACTCAGTCACACACTCAGTCACACACTCAGTCACACACTCACTCACTCACTCAGTCACACACTCAGTCACACACTCAGTCACACACTCACTCACTCACTCAGTCACACACTCAGTCACACACTCAGTCACACACTCAGTCACACACTCAGTCACACACTCACTCACTCACTCAGTCACACACTCACTCACTCACTCACTCAGTCACACACTCAGTCACACACTCAGTCACACACTCAGTCACACACTCAGTCACACACTCAGTCACACACTCAGTCACACACTCGGTCACACACTCAGTCACACACTCACTCACTCACTCACTCAGTCATTCAGTCACACACTCAGTCACACACTCAGTCACACACTCAGTCACACACTCAGTCACACACTCAGTCACACACTCAGTCACACACTCAGTCACACACTCAGTCACACACTCACTCACTCACTCACTCACTCACTCACTCACTCACTCACTCAGTCATTCAGTCACACACTCAGTCACACACTCAGTCACACACTCAGTCACACACTCAGTCACACACTCACTCACTCACTCAGTCACACACTCAGTCACACACTCAGTCACACACTCACTCACTCACTCAGTCACACACTCAGTCACACACTCAGTCACACACTCAGTCACACACTCAGTCACACACTCACTCACTCACTCAGTCACACACTCAGTCACTCACTCAGTCACACACTCAGTCACACACTCAGTCACACACTCAGTCACACACTCAGTCACACACTCACTCACTCACTCAGTCACACACTCAGTCACACACTCAGTCACACACTCACTCACTCACTCAGTCACACACTCAGTCACACACTCAGTCACACACTCAGTCACACACTCAGTCACACACTCACTCACTCACTCAGTCACACACTCAGTCACACACTCAGTCACACACTCAGTCACACACTCACTCACTCACTCACTCACTCACTCACTCACTCACTCAGTCATTCAGTCACACACTCAGTCACACACTCAGTCACACACTCAGTCACACACTCAGTCACACACTCACTCACTCACTCAGTCACACACTCAGTCACACACTCAGTCACACACTCACTCACTCACTCAGTCACACACTCAGTCACACACTCAGTCACACACTCAGTCACACACTCAGTCACACACTCACTCACTCACTCAGTCACACACTCAGTCACTCACTCAGTCACACACTCAGTCACACACTCAGTCACACACTCAGTCACACACTCCGAGCAACACATCACCTCGACCAGCCACAGCCGACTGATCTGAATTTCGCGCCATCAGCCGCACAACACCCAGCTACACCAAACACAACACCCAGCTACACCAAACACAACACCCAGCTACACCAAACACAACACCCAGCAACACCACACAAAACACAGCTACACCACACAACACCCAGCTACACCACACACAACACACAACTACACCACACACAGCTACACCACACACAACACCCAACTACACAACACCCAGCTACACCACACAGCTACACCACATACAACACCCAGCTACACCACACAGCTACACCACATACAACACCCAACTACACCACACACAGCTACACCACACACAACACCCAACTACACACACACAACTACACCACACACAACTACACCACACACAGCTACACCACACACAACACCCAGCTACACCACACACAACACCCAACTACACCACACACAACTACACCACACACAACTACACCACACACAACACCCAACTACACCACACACAACTACACCACACACCACACACAGCTACACCACACACAACACCCAGCTACACCACACACAACACCCAGCTACACCACACACAACACCCAACTACACCACACACAACTACACCACACACCACACACAACTACACCACACACAACTACACCACACACAGCTACACCACACACAGCTACACCACACACAGCTACACCACACACAGCTACACCACACACAACTACACCACACACCACACACAACTACACCACACACAACTACACCACACCCAACTACACCACACCCAACTACACCACACACAACACCCAACTACACCACACACAACACCCAACTACACCACACACAACTACACCACACACAACTACACCACACACAACTACACCACACACAACTACACCACACACAACTACACCACACACAACTACACCACACACAACTACACCACACACAACTACACCACACACAACACCCAACTACACCACACACAACTACACCACACACAACTACACCACACACAACTACACCACACACAACTACACCACACACAACTACACCACACACAACTACACCACACACAACTACACCACACACAACACCAAACTACACCACACACAACTACACCACACACAACTACACCACACACAACTACACCACACACAACACCCAACTACACCACACACAACACCCAACTACACCACACACAACTACACCACACACAACACCCAACTACACCACACACAACACCCAACTACACCACACACAACTACACCACACACAACACCCAACTACACCACACACAACTACACCACACACAACTACACCACACACAACTACACCACACACAACACACAACTACACCACACACAACACCCAACTACACCACACACAACACCCAACTACACCACACACAACACCTAACTACACCACAGCCAACTACACCACACACAACACCCAACTACACCACACACAACTACACCACACACAACTACACCACACACAACACACAACTACACCACACACAACACACAACTACACCACACACAACACCCAACTACACCACACACAACACCCAACTACACCACACACAACACCCAACTACACCACACCCAACTACACCACACACAACACCCAACTACACCACACACAACTACACCACACACCACACACAGCTACACCACACACAACACCCAACTACACCACACACAACACCCAACTACACCACACCCAACTACACCACACACAACACCCAACTACACCACACCCAACTACACCACACACAACACCCAACTACACCACACACAACTACACCACACACCACACACAGCTACACCACACACAACACCCAACTACACCACACACAACTACACCACACACCACACACAGCTACACCACACACAACACCCAACTACACCACACACAACTACACCACACACAACACCCAGCTACACCACACACAGCTACACCACACACAACACCCAACTACACCACACACAACTACACCACACACAACTACACCACACACAACACCCAGCTACACCACACACAACTACACCACACACAACACCCAACTACACCACACACAACTACACCACACACAACACCCAGCTACACCACACACAACTACACCACACACAACTACACCACACACAACTACACCACACACAACACACAACTACACCACACACAACACCCAACTACACCACACACCACACACAGCTACACCACACACAGCTACACCACACACAACTACACCACACACAACTACACCACACACAACACCCAGCTACACCACACACAACTACACCACACACAACTACACCACACACAACACCCAGCTCCACCACACACAACAAATAGTCCCACAATGACATCTCCTATAGCCATAAGACACACCAAAACAAAACGTTAAACTTAGCGTGGTAGAAATATAAACAAACATGCACACAAGAAAAACTTAATAAAATTAAAACATGAAACAAATGCTGGCCCAATAAAACAACACTACATCCATATAGCCATCATTCGACAAAAACAACCATTACAAAAACAGAACAATCAAATAAACCAGCCACCCACATCAAGGTGAAATGTTGACGTCTGCAGGCGCCAACCAGACGCCCAAGATCACGAACCTTGACGCGACAGCTCGCTGGCCTGAAGACACGGCCGTGTCGACCTCTCTCATCAACCTTGACGTCGTGGACGACTCGGGTTCAACGACCTTGTCCTTCACCACCAGCCCAACCAGTGCCCTCAGTCTCTTCGATATCAGCGGTAAGTCGGATGTGACGTCACGATATCAGCGGTAAGTCGGATGTGACGTCACGATATCAGCGGTAAGTTGGATGTGACGTCACGATATCAGCGGTAAGTTGGATGTGACGTCACGATATCAGCGGTAAGTTGGATGTGACGTCACGATATCAGCTGTAAGGTGGATGTGATGTCACGATATCAGCGGTAAGTTGGATGTGACGTCACGATATCAGCGGTAAGCCAGATGTGACGTCACGATATCAGCGGTAAGCTAGATGTCACGTCACGATATCAGCGGTAAGCCAGATGTGACGTCACGATATCAGCGGTAAGCTAGATGTGCTAAACAAAAGGTCAGAAAGACGTGACTTCATGATGTAAGTGGTATGACTGATGTAGCGTCATTGTAAGTCGTCATACAGGACTGGCGCCATGCTATAAGAAGTGGTGTAGCTAGGATATTTGCTGTCAGAGCGGACTCGCCTTTGATGTTACGGAAAAATTGGACTTGTTGCCTTTTACCAAATTATCAGTTAACTGGTATCACTCGATCTTTACAACGCTACTGGTTTAAAGTGGTTTTACAATAGATCTGTTTCTACTTTCAAACAGACGTCAATGTTTCAGTTTGACCATAATGCGAGAACTCCTTTACCCCCCCCCCCACCCATGAGTCTAAAACCGCCCGTGACCCACCCCTCCCCAGGTACTTCCGTGGTCCTCAAGTCTAAGTTGGACTACGAGAGCTACCTGCTGCAGCGCCCGCTCCTCATCGTCTCGGCCACCGACGGCTACTGCACGTCCAAGTCCTACACCTACACCGTCAGCGTCACCGACGTCAACGAGCCGCCCGTCATCTCACCCGACAACCAGATCCTAGAGGTGTACGAGGGCGATGTGAGTCGCTGGACCACCTCCACTGCTCGGACAGATATATATATATATATATATATATATATATATATATATATATATATATATATATATATATATATATATATATATCAACTAAGATGGATTTCTGTAAGAGTATATGTGGAGTGATGCGGTCAATAGCTAGTGTACATTAAAGTTACTGGATGTGTTTGGTAATACTTTATGCCAGCCATGACCCAATCGTTCCAGATCAACTTGGACCCCAAGTGGACAACCACTGACCCTGATGCCGGGGACACCCTGACCTACTCCATCAAAAGCTGTGAGTTCAAATACACGTTAGATTAATGCTGCAGTGATTTTAAAGTGCTGACATACACGTTAGATTAATGCTGTAGTGATTTTAAAGTGCTGACATACACGTTAGATTAATGATGTGGTGATTTTAAAGTGCTGACATACACGTTAGATTAATGCTGTAGACATTTGAAAATGCTGACATACACGTTAGATTAATGCTGTAGTGATTTTAAAGTGCTGACATACACGTTAGATTAATGATGTGGTGATTTTAAAGTGCTGACATATACGTTAGATTAATGATGTAGGCATTTGAAAATGCTGACATTTGAAGCATGTGATAAAATCCTGACAGCCAGCCCCACGGGCACATCCACGAGACTAGTGACTGACCCCACCACGGGGGTCATCAAGTCAGTGGTGGACTACGATGTTGACCAGAGTGCCATGTCAGCCACTGTCACACTAACTATGCAGGTCAGTGGCACTAGCAAGCACACACACACAGTCGGATATACGTATATACGTATATACATATATACACACATACAACCATAATTATATACTATACACTTGTATGCACAGACACACAGACACAAGCACAAACATACACATAGACCACCACGCACGTGCACCTCTACTCACCTTTGAACTCTAAGGTCATGAGACAAAGGTCAGGGTGAGGACGGGTCCTAGTGTTGTGTTGGAGTGTTGGCTGAACTAGTAGATTAGATGTCTGTCTCGTTTTAATTCAGATTTTGAAGCACATTACCAGCATTTCAGGTGGGGGCCTGCAATGGGATTGGGTTGGATACATTCTCTTGTTGGGGTGGGGGGGGGGGGGGGGGGCATTGAACTCTGAACTTCCAGCTTCAGTGAAAATTGTAAAAACAAATAAATCCAAAAACGCTAAATTCGGCCACCTTACAAAGACTTCCCGACTGCGTGGGTTAGGTGGAGATGGGAGTTTACGGTAAAACCTACTCGAGCTAGGTTTAACTGGGACAGGTTTAAATGGGACAGGTTTAAATGGGACAGGTTTAAATGGGACAGGTTTAACTGGGACAGGTTTAAATGGGACAGGTTTAAATGGGACAGGTTGAAATGGGACAGGTTTAACTGGGACAGGTTTAACTGGGACAGGTTTACGGTAGAGCCAACTCTATCGCCAACAGGTGAGCGACTCGGGGCTGCTGAATGACACGACAACCTTGACCCTTCACATCCTGGACGCCAACGACAACGCCCCCATCTTCTCCACGGGGCTCGTTGATCAGTTCTTCACGGTCACAGAATGTTCCAGCACAGGCATCAAGCTAGGGGCCGTGTCAGCCACAGACAAGGACTCGACTTTCCAGGTCAGTGGTGGTTAGGGAACATTGGATAGGTAGGGTTAGGGAACATTGGATAGGTAGGGTTAGGGAACATTGGATAGGTAGGGTTAGGGAACATTGAATATGTAGGGTTAGGGAACATTGGATAGGTAGGGTTAGGGAACATTGGATAGGTAGGGTTAGGGAACATTGGATAGGTAGGGTTAGGGAACATTGGACAGGTAGGGATAGGGAACATTGGATAGGTAGGGTTAGGGAACATTGGATAGGTAGGGTTAGGGAACATTGAATATGTAGGGTTAGGGAACATTGGATAGGTAGGGTTAGGGAACATTGGATAGGTAGGGTTAGGGAACGTTGGATAGGTAGGGTTAGGGAACATTGAATATGTAGGGTTAGGGAACATTGGATAGGTAGGGTTAGGGAACATTGGATAGGTAGGGTTAGGGAACATTGGATAGGTAGGGTTAGGGAACATTGAATATGTAGGGTTAGGGAACATTGGATAGGTAGGGTTAGGGAACATTGGATAGGTAGGGTTAGGGAACATTGGATAGGTAGGGTTAGGGAACATTGGATAGGTATGGTTAGGGAACATTGGATAGGTAGGGTTAGGGAACATTGGATAGGTAGGGTTAGGGAACATTGAATATGTAGGGTTAGGGAACATTGGATAGGTAGGGTTAGGGAACATTGGATAGGTAGGGTTAGGGAACATTGGATAGGTAGGGTTAGGGAACATTGAATATGTAGGGTTAGGGAACATTGGATAGGTAGGGTTAGGGAACATTGGATAGGTAGGGTTAGGGAACATTGGATAGGTAGGGTTAGGGAACATTGGATAGGTAGGGTTAGGGAACATTGGATAGGTAGGGATAGGGAACATTGGATAGTACATGGTTTAAGTTTCGAGAACATTGGATAGTTCATGTTGTAAGATTAGGGAACATTGGATATTAAGGTAAACGCACATTTAATAACTGTCGTTTTAAAGACTTGATTTGGTATAAACTTTTTATATAAATTCAGGAAAAATAAGAAAATAAAACAAACTTTATCTTTTGATCTAGCCAAACCACCGATCGTTCACGTCTGACACATTTTAGTGACCAACGCATTTACTAAAGGAAAAAGTTGTTTTATTATTTAACGTATAATTGGTAGCCTTTTGTTATACTTATTTTTATTTGTTTTAAATCGAGATTCGAACATTTAAACTCGTTCTAGATCTATCTTGATATTTTTTCCATATAAATGTATGTACTAACCCTGACGGTAGAAGCCTCAGTTGAATTCTATCGATCAAAAAACAAATGTCATGTACCTGACATTTACAGGACAACAACGTGATCACGTACAGCAAGAGTGCAGGAGGAACTGGCGTGACCATCACGCCTGCTGGTGACGTCATCCTAGACAGTGTGTCTGCAGCAGGGACCAGCGCCACCTACACGGTGGTGGCCACTGACCACGGCGTCTACCCAGGGGCACTGTCCAGCGTCATCCCGGCCACAGTCACAGTCAGCTTCACAGTAAGTCATGTCACAGTCAGCTTCACATTAAGTCATGTCACGTCAGTGTCACAGTAAGTCATGTCACGTCAGTGTCACAGTAAGTCATGTCACGTCAGTGTCACAGTAAGTCATGTCAGTGTCACAGTCAGCTTCACAGTAAGTCATGTCACGTCAGTGTCACGGTAAGTCATGTCACGTCAGTGTCACAGTAAGTCATGTCACGTCAGTGTCACAGTAAGTCATGTCACGTCAGTGTCACAGTAAGTCATGTCACGTCAGTGTCACAGTAAGTCATGTCAGTGTCACAGTCAGCTTCACAGTAAGTCATGTCACGTCAGTGTCACGGTAAGTCATGTCACGTCAGTGTCACAGTAAGTCATGTCACGTCAGTGTCACAGTAAGTCATGTCACGTCAGTGTCACAGTAAGTCATGTCACGTCAGTGTCACAGTAAGTCATGTCACGTCAGTGTCACAGTAAGTCATGTCACGTCAGTGTCACAGTAAGTCATGTCATGTCAGTGTCACAGTAAGTCATGTCAGTGTCACAGTAAGTCATGTCAGTGTCACAGTAAGTCATGTCACGTCAGTGTCACAGTAAGTCATGTCACAGTCAGCGTCACAGTAAGTCATGTCAGTGTCACAGTAAGTCATGTCAGTGTCACAGTAAGTCATGTCACAGTAAGTAACGTCAGTGTCACAGTCAGCTTCACAGTAAGTCATGTCACAGTAAGTAACGTCAGTGTCACAGTCAGCTTCACAGTAAGTCATGTCAGTGTCACAGTCAGCTTCACAGTAAGTCATGTCACAGTCAGTGTCACAGTAAGTCATGTCACGTCAGTGTCACAGTAAGTCATGTCACGTCAGCTTCACAGTAAGTCATGTCACGTCAGTGTCACGGTAAGTCATGTCACGTCAGTGTCACAGTAAGTCATGTCACGTCAGTGTCACGGTAATTCATGTCACGTCAGTGTCACAGTAAGTCATGTCACGTCGGTGTCACGGTAAGTCATGTCACGTCAGTGTCAAAGTAAGTCATGTCACGTCAGTGTCACAGTAAGTCATGTCACGTCAGTGTCACAGCAAGTCATGTCACGTCAGTGTCACAGTAAGTCATGTCACGTCAGTGTCACAGTAAGTCATGTCACGTCAGTGTCACAGTAAGTCATGTCATGTCAGTGTCACAGTCATGTCACGTCAGTGTCACAGTCATGTCACGTCAGTGTCACAGTCATGTCACGTCAGTGTCACGGTAAGTCATGTCACGTCAGTGTCACAGTAAGTCATGTCACGTCAGTGTCACGGTAAGTCATGTCACGTCAGTGTCACAGTAAGTCATGTCAGTGTCAGTGTCACAAAATCATCTTTAGGTGGTAAACGGTAAATCTGTGCAAGTTTGTTGATAAGTGTGAATAAAGTTGATCGATTTCAAGTGAATGTCAAAATCAAACGTTGACCCTTGAACTTTGAAGTTTTTGTCACATAGTGGATGACATGATGTCAGCTAGTGGATGACATCAGCTGGTTAACATCGTGCTACATCACGCCTATTATCACTGCAAATTATTTTCTTCTGATCAAACTAGCCTTGTCCAACGACGACCACCACTACGACAACCACCACAACCACGACGCCAACCACGACTACAACGCCAACGACAACCACCCCCAAGGCATCTTCCTTCTCAACCTCGGATAATCTCTGGTGGATTATCCTTTCGGCTCTCTTCGGCACGGCATTTGTAGGTCAGTCGCAATTTATCCAATCCACCATTATACGGCACATTTCATGGCATTTGTAGGTCAGTCGCATTTTATCCAATCCACCATTATACGTAACATTTCAAGGCATTTGTAGGTCAGTCGCATTTTATCCAATCCACCATTATACGGCACATTTCATGGCATTTGTAGGTCAGTCGCATTTTATCCAATCCACAATTTTACGGAACATTTCATGGCATTTGTAGGTCAGTCGCATTTTATCCAATCCACCATTATACGGCACATTTCATGGCATTTGTAGGTCAGTCGCATTTTATCCAATCCACCATTATACGGAAAATTTCATGGCATTTGTAGGTCAGTCGCATTTTATCCAATCCACCATTATACGACACATTTCATGGCATTTGTAGGTCAGTCGCATTTTATCCAATCCACCATTATACGGAACATTTCATGGCATTTGTAGGTCAGTCGCATTTTATCCAATCCACCATTATACGGAACATTTCATGGCATTTGTAGGTCAGTCGCATTTTATCCAATCCACCATTATACGGAAAATTTCATGGCATTTGTAGGTCAGTCGCATTTTATCCAATCCACCATTATACGACACATTTCATGGCATTTGTAGGTCAGTCGCATTTTATCCAATCCACCATTATACGGAACATTTCATGGCATTTGTAGGTCAGTCGCATTTTATCCAATCCACCATTATACGGAACATTTACACGGATCGAAATCAGTAACTTTTTTTAAAGCAATCAATTTAAAAATAAATAAAAAAACTTCTATCATCTGAGGGGGGTGGGGGGTAGTTGACAGAGGTTTGATGACATTAGAGGGGGGGGGGGGGGGTAGTTGACTGAGGTTGGATGTCAAAAGGGGGAGGGGGTCTGGCTTTTTGTGACGATGTGGAGAGGGGAGGTAAATATCGTCAAAAAAACGTGACGTCATATGCGAATGACCCCTTAGCTAGCTGCAACAGCTGTTTGACAAAAATTGTACGTAGGAGTCCTGTATCAAAGGCCAACCATGTCCGTCCCAGTAAAACAATGCTATAGGAGTCACGTGACTGATTTGTAATGTTCTCTCTGGAATATTCCCCAGGTGTGACTGCCTGGCTGTGCCTGAGTCGGGTCAGGCCTTTCTGTGCTGGCAACATCCCCCGGGGTCACTGGTCACGTGGGTGTAGCGGCAGATGTGGGGGAGACATGTGCAAACGTAAGAAAGTCCCGTGAGTACACATTTTAGCTATTCACTAGCTGACATACACATTTTAGCTGTAGACTGGCTGATGTACACATTTTAGCTGTAGACTGGCTGACATACACATTTTAGCTGTAGACTGGCTGACATACACATTTTAGCTGTAGACTGGCTGACATACACATTTTAGCTGTAGACTGGCTGACATACACATTTTAGCTGTAGACTGGCTGACATACACATTTTAGCTAGTCACTGGCAGACATACACATTTTAGGTGTACACTGGCTGACATACACATTTTAGCTGTAGACTGGCTGATGTACACATTTTAGCTGTAGACTGGCTGACATACACATTTTAGCTGTAGACTGGCTGACATACACATTTTAGCTGTAGACTGGCTGACATACACACATTAGCTAGTCACTAGCTGACATACACATTTTAGCTGTAGACTGGCTGACATACACATTTTAGCTGTAGACTGGCTGATGTACACATTTTAGCTGTAGACTGGCTGATGTACACATTTTAGCTGTAGACTGCCTGACATACACATTTTAGCTGTAGACTGGCTGACATACACATTTTAGCTACTCACTAGCTGACATACACATTTTAGCTGCACACTGGCTGACATACACATTTTAGCTGTAGACTGGCTGATGTACACATTTTAGCTGTAGACTGGCTCACATACACATTTTAGCTGTACACTGGCTGACATACACATTTTAGCTGTACACTAGCTGACATACACATTTTAGCTGCACACTGGCTGACATACACATTTTAGCTGCACACTAGCTGACATACACACATTAGCTAGTCACTAGCTGACATACACATTTTAGCTGTAGACTGGCTGACATACACATTTTAGCTGTAGACTGGCTGACATACACATTTTAGCTGTAGACTGGCTGACATACACATTTTAGCTGTAGACTGGCTGACATACACATTTTAGCTGTAGACTGGCTGACATACACATTTTAGCTAGTCAATGGCAGACATACACATTTTAGCTGTAGACTGGCTGATGTACACATTTTATCTGCAGACTGCCTGACATACACATTTTAGCTGTAGACTGTCTGACATACACATTTTAGCTACTCACTAGCTAACATACACATTTTAGCTGCACACTGGCTGACATACACATTTTAGCTGCACACTAGCTGACATACACACATTAGCTAGTCACTAGCTGACATAAACATTTTAGCTGTAGACTGGGTGACATACACATTTTAGCTGTAGACTGGCTGACATACACATTTTAGCTGTAGACTGGCTGACATACACATTTTAGTTGCAACACTGGCTGATGTACATATTTTAGCTAAACACTGGCTGACATACGCATTTTAGCTAGTCACTAGCTGACATACACATTTTAGCTGTAGACTGGCTGATGTACACATTTTAGCTGTAGACTGGCTGACTTACACATTTTAGCTGTAGACTGGCTGACATACACATTTTAGCTGTAGACTGGCTGACATACACATTTTAGCTAGTCACTGGCAGACATACACATTGTGGCTGTAGACTAGCTGACATACACATTTTAGCTGTAGAATGGCTGACTTACACGTTTTAGCTAGTCACTGGCAGACATACACATTTTGGCTGTAGACTATCTGACATACACATTTTAGCTGTAGACTAGCTGACATACACATTTTAGCTGTAGACTGACTGACATACTCATTTTAGCTAGTCACTGAAGGATACAGTTACCATAGCAAAAAAATGTTCCAACATATTTTATTGAACTATTAAGTTAATGTTTTTCATACACTGTAACATGTAGGCTAAATATATATATTTTTTTAAATGATTCAATTTAAACTTTTTTACAGAAAAGTTCCCAAATCAACACGTGTTATTGACATAAAGCCCAAGCCGGAAGGGTGAGTTTTGTTTTGATCTCATTTTATTATTTTATTCTGTTTTGGTATTCCTGACTTAAGAGCATACTTCGGTCTGCCTGACTTCATACTTCGGTCTGCCTGACTTAAGAATATACTTTGGTCTGACTTAAGAGCATACTTTGGTCTGCCTGACTTAAGAACATACTTTGGTCTGCCTGACTTAAGATTAAGAACATACTTCGAACTGGATTGTTCAGAAAAGACCAGAAGAAAGAAAGTGATGAGATATTTCTAACGACATCCAACCTTTCAGAATAGACCCACAGTCAGTCGGGGGGGGGGGGGGGGCAGACACTTTTGAAAGTATATATTTTCTATATAAATTCCATTTCCTTTGGGGGAGGGGGCGGTAGACTCTCTTCTGTCACCGAATCCTTCAGTGGTTCTAAATTTAGCCTACATGCACTCCTCTAACGCAGGGGTCTCCAAACTTTTCAGTCCGAGGGCCGCATTAACTATCAAATTTCAGTTCGGGGGCCGGTTTCTTCCAGGCATGTCGTGATTTTTCTCAGTAAAGTTCCTCAGCCATCTCCAACAAACGTTTTTTTTTCCGTGGACAAAAAGATCTCCGCGGGCCGGATGAGAGGACCTCGCGGGCCGCATCCGGCCCGCGGGCCGTAGTTTGGAGACCCCTGCTCTAACGCCATGTAATCATTTGTCTCACCAGAATCGCACCCGGCAACGGAAACGCTGGATTCTGGAAAGAAAGTAAGCTTTTATATCTTTATAGTCTACTAGTCAGCCCGCGTTCTCCCTCAGATAACCAGTCATTTGGCAGGAAAGTAGATTAAAAATGACAGTTGTTCAACAATTTATCTTTTTATATTTGTTGATAATTGATGCTAACGAGAATAAACTGCACCAACTAGGCTGCAATTATTCAATTATCATTTCAATAATCTGAAGAAATGTAGTCTTACGCTTATATTATTTATAACATTCGTACATTTCATCTTTTATTATTATAAATAAAATTAAATATAGTAAAAATAGTGCCTACATAGAATAGTTCGTAAATTATCTAAAGTTTATTATTTATTAAGTTGAAATCATGCGACCTAATTTGATCAACTTTTAACGTTAGGATTTCGAGACGAAAACTACAAAAACACCCCAGACAGAGACGCAGTACCTGAGCCAGCAAACTATGAAACGACTGAAGACGATTTCGTGGAGGCCAAACCCAAACATGACGCGTCACTTCCGGATGTGGAGAACCCGGATATTAACAGTGGTCGCGTCTGGAGCAGCAATGTCAACATGAACTACGGCAGGGTCAACCCCAGATATGACGATGGTATCCTGTGATCTGGTCATGCCCATCTGTAGGGAGGGTGGAGAGTAGATCTGTAGAGAGGGTGGAGAGATCTGTAGGGAGGGTGGAGAGATCTGTAGAGAGGGTGGAGAGATCTGTAGAGAGGGTGGAGAGATCTGTAGATAGGGTGGAGAGTAGATCTGTAGAGAGGGTGGAGAGAAGATCTGTAGGTAGGGTGGAGAGATCTGTAGAGAGGGTGGAGAGAAGATCTGTAGAGAGGGTGGAGAGAAGATCTGTAGAGAGGTTGGAGAGAAGATCTGTAGAGAGGGTGGAGAGAAGATCTGTAGAGAGGGTAGAGAGAAGATTGGCGCAACTTGTTACCCTGCCCAATAGTGTCCAGTGATTTAAAGATTTCTTTTTTATGTACAAGTTTATTCACTTAATTTAGAATTTAAGATCATATTAATGCCCATTATTATTTTTAAAAATGTTATTTTAGTTTGAAGATCCTATTTAAGGATTAAGAAAAAAAACTGAAACTTTTAAAGCTGCACCCATACATAACTGTAGCATATCAAGTGATTGTTACTGCACCATTACAACATGTTTGAGATACACAGGCTTTTAATTGTGTTTCTATATGCCAGTTGATTTTTGAAGAGCCATTAAAATGTACTAATAGCTACATTTTAGATCAAACCATAGCTCACATATTTTTAAACTTAGATCTAGAGAACAGAAGCTCTCCAGATAGAAAAGTTTATATTTCAGAACCCAGCAACTGAGCAAGTGAATAATTATTGGCCAAGCTTACAGCTGTGATAAGATTGTTACATAACTTGAAAAGATTTAATTATTGTGTTTGTATTGTCCTATATTTGTACACAAAAAAACAAGAGCTTTATGAAAGATGTATTTTACATTTTAAAAAGAAAATAATGACAAATATGATTTCTGCTTATTGTGGTAGCTTTAAAATTTCGCTTTTTTCAACACACTAAGCAGAAAAATACCATATGCATTAATTAGTTTAATGTTATGTATTTGTTAATTTTTTTTTAAACAAAATTTTTAAAAATTATACATCTCAACATTTTTAATACAATGTTAGTTAAATATACATGCATATATCATTAATACAAGACTTAAGACATCTTTTTTGGTCAATTATTCATTATGTCTGCTGTTATACCAAGTACATTTTAATACAGATAACTAAATATCTCTTTTTGATTTTCACCAATCTAAAATGTACAAAACAACATAAAATAAGCAACAGGATAGGCTTGGCTGAAAATAGAAATGCATTTTATCAGTCTTCAGTTGTAGTAAATAAAAGACTAACTTATAGGCAGAATTGGTCATTATAATTTTTAAATCTTGATTTTAGTAACTGACACACACATATTTACAAATAAAACAAATAACAGTCCTATGTAGCACAATGTATATAACATTACGTCTGTACCTAATTTTTAAATTAAACTTCCGACAATAAAATCTAGAACAAAAACTTATGTCATCTCAACTAGATGCATATCATTGCTATGAAAACCACTTTCATTTTTGATTAGTTTTGAGCTGGTTGTTAGGAATCTTTAAAATATAACTAACAAAATTAATAATTCTGATCTGGTAATAAACTGCACATTTGTATCGTCAGTTATTCTTTGAACCAATAGGCAAGTAAAATCATTTTAAATGAAACATTTATCTGCTGCCACCTGGGGAGACACGAATCACATAGCCACTTCTAGAGAGGTCTAAACATCAGTGGATTAATGCTAATTCACATCTAATCTGTGTTTCACCTTTATTATGGATACATTTTAAATTTGTTTTAAAGTCACTGCTTTGTTGCCACCTCTAGTAGTGCAGTCTGACTCCCTGCATCACAGCACTAGTGTTTCTTCCAGACTTTTTTCTCCAGGGGAGGGTCACTGTTTCTATATAAATTCCATTTTGTTCAGGGGGGGGGGTAGGCTTTCTTTGGGGGGTGCATGAAAGAAACTCTGCACAACACCGTATGACCTGGTCACAGCACCCTATGACCTGGTTGAAAATATAATGAAATTAATAAAAATCTAACGTTTTTAAAATAGAGAGTTAATGTACAAGACACTAACACGTTGTCATTGCCACATTTTAGATAATCCAGTCTGCTTAAGTAGCTATAAGCAACATTTTTCTTTACAACACTAGTTTTGTGCGCTTTCTATTATAAACATGAAGCATTGTTTGATGTTCCACTAGCCTTCAAATCAAGAAAATTTACATTGATTAGTATTAAAAACAAAAATTAAAAATGAAATGAAAACAAAAAAATACTTCCAGATGAATACAGATCAATTATCTACATTCATTACAAAAATGTTGTTTGTCATATTGTCAGACATTATCATTATCACAAAAATGTTGGCCCAAGACAAGATTATGCTTTACATTCAACACCAATCCAATAAATCAACTTTAACCCTATGGATGTGGATTGCTCATCCATATCAGTTCATAAAATCAACAACAAAAGTGACATCACGCTAAGCCTGAACTATGAAAACAAGTCAGCATCTTCTGTGTTTGAGCTCAGGTTTTCTTGTAGATACAGCAATATGTCATCCTGGTTTAAATTGTCTGACGTGCTAGTTGCTGTCTTCTCTGGGCCGGGGTCACTGGTCTGGCTGCTGGTCTTAGTTCTGGGCGCAGGCTTAGGCTTTACTCCCTCGGTGGAAGATTTTGTCCCCAGGCTGGGCTTGCTTGGGATGGAAGGCTTGGCAGCGATGGATGGTCTTAGGGCGGGTGTGGGTCTAGAGGATGCTTGGGGCAACGTGGGTGGTGAGGAAACTACAACATCGTCAGATTTTGTTTGCGTCTTTTTCTTCCCAACATCAACAGTGAGAAGTTCATCCAGATTATCTTCAATTCTATCAGATTAGGAAACAGTTCAAAATAAAGGTATACAGAACATATATTTGTCTAGTTAGGATACAGTAAAAGTATTTCATAAGGTAATCTTATTTGCTTGCTGGACTGGGGATACTAGACAAAACTTTATATTTTGATTAACTTCACCAGCAAAGGGACTTAAATTTCTCACTCGAATAAATCAGAATTATTCTCTTCACTTCCGCCTGTGACCTGAATAAATTCTTTTTTTCTGATGATGGCATCTGGGATAAAACGGAAATCTTTCTCGTCCTCCTCAGTCAGCTCCCTCTTCAGATCCTGCTCTTCAAACATTTGAACACCGCCAGCTGTTGCAACAAGTTAAAATGTAATTTAAAATCATATGTAACTCTTCTGATTACATTTAACCAATTTGTAAAATTTGTAATTACAAATTCTTGCCAAAAAAATTGTTTTAGCAGTTCATACTACAAATAAACATCAATCCTATTCCTAAACTATAGGCCTACTTTTTTATGCTTAATATAATGTACAATTTTTTCACAGTTTCATATTTGGAAAATAACAGTATAATAGTGGAATATCTTAGCACTTGAACACAATTGATATTATACACAAGATTTATTATTCTATCATTACCTCAGTATTTGAACACAATTGGTATTATTATGTAATTACCTGAGTACGTAAATGACCCCCATGACCTCAGTATGTGGAATGACCCCATGACCTCAGTATTTGGAATGATCCCATGACCTCAGTATGTGGAATGACCCATGACCTCAGTGTTTGGAATGATCCCATGACCTCAGTATGTGGAATGACCCCATGACCTCAGTATATGGAATGACCCCATGACCTCAGTATGTGGAATGACCCATGACCTCAGTATGTGGAATGACCCCATGACCTCAGTATTTGGAATTACCCCATGACCTCAGTATGTAGAATGATCCCATGACCTCAGTATGTGGAATGACTTCAGTATGTGGAACGACCCCATGACCTCAGTATGTGGAATGATCCTATGACCTCAGTATGTGGAATGACCCCATGACTACAGTATGTGGAATGACCCCATGACCTTAGTATGTGGAATGACCCATCAGTAATAAAGAAAAATTGTTTAACTCACTGGTTGCACTTTTTAATTCATCACCAAAACCTTGACCTTCTACAGCTAGATCAAATAGATCACTGTCATCACCATCATCAGCTGTTTCTTTGAAAAAATCCTCATCAGCACTAAAAAAATTAATTTTAAAATGTTTTTAACTATTGGTTGCCCAATCCAATTACCAATGTCAATTTTTTTTTAAATAAAGAAAAATTAAAATAGAATGTGAACCATACTTTAAGAATTGTTTGCTAGTTCACAAATAAGATTGCAGACCATTCTATCTGTCCAATGCCAATTATTAATGTGTCAAATGGTTCAATGTTTACACTTTAAAGTCGGATACGCTGTGACAGATATCAAATTGAATATTTACTCATCCTTTGCTGAGGAATCTTCATTGTCCTCTGTGTGGGTGGAGGCAGGTGCTTCAAAAGGTTCTCCTTGACTAAACTTCTTTGCCCTCAAGGCATCAACACCTGAAAATTGTAGTTCTATTGCTAAAACTAATTTGGTACATACAAAATTCTCATGGAAAAACATTCTGGACAAGACTATTATCATCAGCAAAGACAAAGTACATCTTTAAGACAGAAGTATGACTGTTGGGACATGTGAGAGATTTAGACCTACCTAGAAACTCAAGCAGTGGTACACATGTAGCTAGTTTGGGTACCGAGGACAAAAACTTTAACAGATGGTCAAGGCTGTTCCTCCTTTCTCTCAGCACAGCTTCATTAACAATGATAGACTTTTTGTTGATTGTTGGGAGAAGAGTTCCTTGATACAGTTCTCCAATTTTAGCTCGCAAATCTTCAAACTCACCTATTCTTTTTTCAATCTAAAATCACAAGCATCATTTAAAAATAAGTTGTCAAACATCAAAGCATAGTATTAGGGCACAATGTGAAGCATGGTATTAGGGCACAATGTGAAGCATGGCATTAGGGCACAATGTGAAGCATGGTATTAGGGCACAATGTGAAGCATGGTATTAGGGCACAATGTGACCAATGCTCGTAGTTAGATTGCTGGGTTTGTGTGTAAGATGTCTTGAGTCCACTCAGCTTTGGTGGGTACCTGACTCAAGTAGAGGAAAGTAAAGATATAAAGTATCCTACACAAACCCTGCATTTCAATCATTAGTTGACATCAAAGATACTGAAGAGCTCTACTTTATTTACCCTATTAAATATGAAGTCTGTCAGACTTTTTTCAATGTTTTTCTGACATAGAGTGTAGGCCTACTGGATGAATGATGACAGAAAAAAAACAATTAGTCCAACATAATGTGTACTTTTTAGACAGCATGGCCTAGCTGTGCAACTAACCTGAGAGTCTCGAGTTTGAATCCGGGTTCAATTCAGTAGAATGTTGCTCAGTCCACCCAGCTCCGATGTGTACCTAACTCATGTAAAGGAAAGTAAAGGTGGCTGGGCATAGTGTTGACCACACTATCTCTAGGTCACAGAAACAGGTGAACTTTACTTCACATGCCCCATGGACTGTCTACTATGTAGATCAGTTGTATGAATGATGACAAAAATAAAACAAAAAATCTGACATACTGTGTATTGGACGATGTCTGTCTCTTTATGACTTGGTGTCTTGAAACATGCCAAGTTGGACACCAAAACCACCTGGTAATAGACTGTTGATGTCACCATTCCCTTCTGCTCGGAGAAAGATGTCACAGACAAATCAAGACCAGTTTCCTTATTCTTCAGTTCCCTATAATATTCCACACACAAAAGAAGTGTACACTATGTTGTAATAACGGCTTTGTATACTATGCACTCTTTATTGGATTTTTGGAAGTTTTAAGTTAAATATTTTTGTTTCGAAACAAAAAATGCACTACCAGTGATACCAAGTTAAGTACTAAGTAATATGTTTTATACGGGACGGAGTGTTCTAGCGGTAGAGAGCTGGACTGCTAACCAGTAAGTCTCAAGTTCAAATCCGGGTTCAAGTCAGAAGACCATCCCTGAGTCCACCCAACTCTAATGGGTACCTAACTCACTTTAGGGAAAGTAAAGGCGGCTGGGCATAGTGCTGACCACACTATCTCTTCATATGCTGAGGTCACAGAAACATTCGAACTCGTACTTCACTTGCCCCGTAGACCATCAGGTTTGAGAGGGAAACTTTTACTTTACTAATAGGTTTTATGTTTTTAATACAACCTCTTCCCGACTCCACCCCATTATTATATTATAATTAAATAATTATCCAGGCTCCTTAATATATATTATATATTTAAATATTAATCACTGTTCACAGTGGTTAAGTCATACAATACATACATAAGTGTCCTTTAAAATTGTAGTCTTTTTAAATAAGTAATTTCATCTAATTTTTGGTCACTAATTGAAATATAGAAATATAATTTATATATCTATATATAGTATAGTAATTATTATTATAAGTTATTAGTTTAAAAAAAACAAATAAATAGACCTAAAATTTTTAAAATAAAAAAAATTGATTTTACTTTTTTTTTTAAAGCCTACCTGGATGTTAGCGTTGCTTTTGGCATTTTTATACTTAAATATCTTAGTTAGATGTGTTCTACTCTACTATTTATTTTAAACTATTATGCCCTTATGATGTAGCCTTGTATTAATTATTGATAAGCAAACTGCTTTAAAAATGTAAACAGTAGAAAGCAGTCTAGAGTAGAATACTTCAGTAATGATCGACACGCCCACTTCTGTAGTTTACATGTTCGTTTCGTTTCTTATTGAATTTTTAGTCAGGTTTTAGATCTGCATAAAAAATTGAACTACAAATATTAAAAACTAGCATGAAATCAAACGAACAAAACAGTAATCGTACTAGACTAACTGACAGAAAAAAAAAATTACAAAGAAATCCTTTGTAAAAGAGCTATGAAGATAGCGGTAGTTCTTAACCTTTTTTGGGGTGACGAACCCCATCAGCTTTATATGCACATTCGCCGAACCCTGCTTAGTAGGAAAAATAAAATATGATTCTTTTCAAATTCAAAACAAAGTTACATATTTTACTAGTGCACAAAATGAACCCGTGCATCAACATCTCTGTTTCGTACTTACTATTTTCACACAAAAACAATAATATAATAATGTATGTTGACTGCAAATCAGTGTGTCTTCTGCTGTCGCCTTTCAGACACCAGTTCAGAATTGTGCGGTTTCACCTTGTATTCTTCTATCTTCAATCTCCATGCAGATTAAGAAAGTGTTCCCTTAGTTTTGCATATAGTTTCTTCCAGCCCCCCCCCCCCCCCCCGAACGAAGTGGAATTTATATAGAAAACATACTTTTAACAGTGACCACCGCCCCCCCCCCCCCCCCGATAAATGTAGTCCGCCCCCCAGAGGCGTTTCAGGGTGGGGGCGGGATGCGCACCGTCTAGGGGGGTGACACCAAGACAAAAAAAATTGCAAGATGTCTAGAATCAGAGGCGTAGCGATGGGGGGGGGGACAGGGGGGACATACGTCCCCGGGCGCCGACCTTAGGGGATGCCAAAATGGGTTGTAAAAACAAATTTAATTGTCATTTTAGCTGCATTGTTTCTGTTTGACGAGGGGGGGGGGGAATCGAAAGTTTGGGGGGTGGGGTACAAATCGAAAGTTTGAGGGGGGGGGGGGTACAAATTGAAAATTTGCTCCCAAGGGGGCGCCAAATTGAAAGTTTGTCCCCAGGCGCCGGGAAGGGTCGCTACGCCTCTGTCTAGAATACATGTTTTTGACAGGTCAATGAATGATTAATTAGAGTTACATAATGACAATCCCGACAAGGGGAGGGGTGACACCATGAGGTGCCGCACCGGGTAACACCCGACCTAGCTACGCCACTGCCCCACCCCCCCCCCCCCCCCCCCCCCCGGAGAAAAAAGTCTGGTTTTGCCGACTCGATTGGCTCAACTTAACATTTTTAATCATGCATGCGCTGAGTCCAGAGGTTCTTTCATCTCCCCCCCCCCTCCCCCATCAGATTCCGTCATAGATATGAACCATACTGTACATATTCTTCCGACCACATTTTTACTTTCTCGTATATACGTAGTATAGAGAAAGTATTGTAATCGTGCAAAAAAAAATCGAGATTTTTACAAATCTCGACGTTTTACACCTCACTGATACGGAAAAACATAATTTTGCAATCTTGTCCGTATGTCTGTGTGTGTGTGTGTCTGTGTGTCTGTGTGTGTGTCCGTGTGTAAACACGATAACTTGAGTACCGTTACAGCTAGGTTGATGAAATTTCATATATAAGTATTATATCAAAATCGTAGATCCGTATCAACTTTTGAGCGATTTCCGACAACCGGAAGTGGTACTTTTTCTACTTTGAATTTTTCAAAAGCCTATAACTTGAGTACTATTTCAGATAGATAAATGAAATTTCACATGTAAGTAAAAGATCTAATTCTCTACCTTCTGTTAAATTTTGAGTAATTTCCGTTGACCGGAAGTAGTAATTTACGCTACTTCCGATTTCTCAAAAAACTAATGTAAATTTTAAAAGTACTAATAATATTGCGCACTATTATGCGCTTTTTTATTTCGCGTTCACTTGGTGTGCAATTAATTTGTCTACGAGATTTTATTCTATTTTTAAAACTTTAAGTATTTAAAATGGATTAAAAATCATGTCTATAGCCCGAGTTCCCATCCCCTGTTATTTTATATAAAAATATTCGAGAAAGTTTAGGGGAGATCACTCCCGGTTTATTTGTTGTTGTTGCTCGACGTAGTTATATGAGGGGATTAAAACAGAAAGAAATCACTGACTTTTTTCTCAGGGGGGGGGGGGGGGTACTTGATATTTTCGGTGGGGGGGGGCATCATATATGTTTTCTTTATAAATTCCATTTCGTTCGGGGGGGGGGGGGGGGGCGGTGGAGTTTCTTCGGGGGGGGGGGGGGGGTCGGAGAGATGCCTGGAAGAAATTCTGATCCCGCGACGTAATATAACGACTTTCACAAGTGGACTACTGATGAAAAGAATGTTCTTCACAGCACATATATACAACATCAACGCGCGCCTTTATTCGTGGCGTTGACGTGATTCGTGTCGTATGTGTATCGTGACGTCAAGATTTCTACGATAAAGAAATATTACGATACCGATACGTGTACTGTTATCCTGCTCTGGCGCACTTTATTACGCGCTGTTGTTTTTTAACTGCCATTGGCCGCGGTCCGATCGTTCTACTGTCCGCATTGACAAAATCCGATTGCAAATCATATGAGTCGGGTCTTGGGTCCTTGATCTGCGCCAAACTCCTGATACTGACTCACCAAACCGCTTGGGTTCTATCATCCCCAGGCTAAGAACCACTGCTCTATATAGCATCGTGCGGCGTTAAAACGCCCAGTGACAAAATTGCACCTTCAAAACGGCCCTGACAAAAGACCCCGTCAAATCGACCCCATCGAAAGGGCCCCGTCATACATGCTCTCCACAAATAGACTCCCATCATTTAGGCTCCCGTCATGTTGACTCCCGACAAAAGGCTCCAGTCATTAGGCTCCCGAAAAATGTGCTTCTATTTAATATGACCCTTTCCAACAGGATCTCTTCATCAATAGAGTTCACTTAACCAACACCCTTAGATAATACAACGTATGCAGGTCTTGGTCGGCAGGCCTTATTTTACATTATTTTATCTAATATAAGAAATTGTGTGGTTTTTACAAGCTTTTATTTAACTCACTTCCTCGTCAGTCGACAGTCTGTCTGTCTAGACGGAAACGCAGGAGTGAAAATTCGGAAACTTCTACTTGACCGATACGATTCACAGTTGGCACGTGGGTCAAGACATGAAGACAATGCAATCTGAAACTAAATTTGACTTAATTGGATGCCTAATTGATTTTTTATGAATTAATTAAAATTTGGACCGAATTAGTAGGCATGTCTAGCCAACCACACCACACGCGTCATCAATAGCTGCGCCATCACGACCACGTAATGGCTGCGTTCAAAAACCATTGCGCGCCTACTGAACGTGATATTCAGTAGGCGCGCAATGGTTTTTAGTCATGTAACTCTATTGTAGATAAAACATGTAAAGTACTGAAAAAAAAATTCATAAAAAAAAAATTCATAAAAAACGTTTTAATAACAAGCTTTTATGTAATGATGCACTAAAAAGTAGAAAATAAATTATAGACTACTATTTAAATAACTGTAAAGAAAAGCGTGGGTCACTTTAGTATCTATTGGATACCTTTACTAATGTTAAGGAAGACACCCACGCTTTTCTTTATAGTTATTTAAATAGTAGTCTATAATTTATTTTCTACTTTTTAGTGCATCATTACATAAAAGCTTGTTATTAAAACGTTTTTTATGAATTTTTTTTACAAGCTTTTATTTAACTCACTTCCTCGTCAGTCGACAGTCGACAGTCTGTCTGTCTAGACGGAAACGCAGGAGTGAAAATTCGGACAGTTCTACTTGACCGACACGATTCACAGTTGGCACGTGGGTCAAGACATGAAGACAATGCAATCTGAAACTAAATTTGACTTAATTGGATGCCTAATTGATTTTTTATGAATTAATTAAAATTTGGACCGAATTAGTAGGCATGTCTAGCCAACCACACCACACGCGTCATCAATAGCTGCGCCATCACGACCACGTAATGGCTGCGTTCAAAAACCATTGCGCGCCTACTGAACGTGATATTCAGTAGGCGCGCAATGGTTTTTAGTCATGTAACTCTATTGTAGATAAAACATGTAAAGTACTGAAAAAAAAATTCATAAAAAACGTTTTAATAACAAGCTTTTATGTAATGATGCACTAAAAAGTAGAAAATAAATTATAGACTACTATTTAAATAACTATAAAGAAAAGCGTGGGTGTCTTCCTTAACATTAGTAAAGGTATCCAATAGATACTAAAGTGACCCACGCTTTTCTTTATAGTTATTTAAATAGTAGTCTATAATTTATTTTCTACTTTTTAGTGCATCATTACATAAAAGCTTGTTATTAAAACGTTTTTTATGATTTTTTTTTTCTTTTTTAAATTTAAGTGTCATCAAGTTTTATGACGTCCCTCAAATGAGTCGGTTGTGGACTTTGTGTAGGGAGAGACGTGGTATTTCCGTCTTCACTGGTGTCAATAAAACATCACAATTTTAAAATTAGTGTCACTTGCTTTTAAGAGCTCGATTTGTTTCTGAATTGATGTTGGTTAACAGAGGCGTAGCGACCCTTCCCGGCGCCCGGGGACAAACTTTCGATTTGCACCCCCCCTCAAACTTTCGATTTGCACCCCCCACGAACTTTTGGTTTGCACCCCCCCCTCGAACTTTTGGTTTGCACCCCCTCGAACTTTTGGTTTGCACCCCCCCCCTCAAACTTTCGATTTGCACACCCCCTCGAACTTTTCATTTGCACCCCTTCTCAAACTTTCAATATGGCGCCCCCTATGGTCGGCGCCCGGGGACATATGTCCCCCCGCCCCCCCCCCCCTCGCTACGCCTCTGTTGGTTAATGACGAAGCTTTTTATTCAGGCATTTAAAAGAGGTTAATAAATGGAGATGGAGGTAGAAACTGTGTTTTGTTGGTGAATTGGAGAAAATGGTAACGTCTCCATGCCAAATGTGGTCATACGATTTATTTGTCTGGAGCCGATTTGTCGGAAGTCATTTTGTGGGGAGCCCATTTGTCGTGAGCCTAAATGTCGCGGCCATTTTGTCGGAGTTAAGGACCGATTTTTCGGGGCATTTGCTGACCGACTTCCCCTCCCCGAAAGTATCAAATTCAACCCCCCTCCCCCCCCGAAAGAAACAAATACTCTTCCCCCCCCCCCCCCCGGGCCCCGCCATCCGCGTAGTTTTAGGCCATGCCGCGAAATGTTTTCAGACTCGAGAAAAAAATTGACCTTAACTAAAAACTAGTGTAGGCCTACTTGATAAAAAAAAAACTTTAAGGTATACTGATGTCTTTCATGGACCATAAATTTTAGTTGTAAAAAGAGAACACAAAGCAAGTTAATTACAAAATAAAAAGCTACAGATTGAAATTAAATATCATAATTTAAAATAAATAACAGAAAATAACAGAAAACGGCGTGTTTTTCTCTATGCTAAGCCTAATCATCAAAAGAAATTTTCAACCAATGGGCTGGAAGGTCCTTTTCAATGCTGTACTTCAAGCACTATGGCGTAAAAGGCCGTCATTTTGTTGGATTGATTCTCTTACTTCATCGTAAAACCAAGATATTTTAATAATTTTGATGTTTTTAAAACTGGATATTAAATATAATGACATCTCTACACTTTACTGTTCTGCCTCTTCCTGGAAATGACGATCAGCTAATCGAAAAGTATGTGTAATCTTAGTAGATGTTTGATCATCTCTTAGTTCTTAGTCTTGCTTGTCATATAAAAAAATTTAATAAAAAGAAAAAAAATTCTTCAGAATCCACTATCTAGACTACAGACTAGATCTACTTTAGTCTTCTAGATTTAGATGCATTTTTGGAATCGTTTATATAGATAGCTAAATAGAAATCCTTTTTATTATCAAGACAAGAGCACTAAATTTATAAATTTAGACATTCTAGAATCTAAAATTCTAAACTAGATCTAGTGAAAAATAAAACAAAACAGATGTTTTAAGCGGTAACTTCAATTTTACTACACTACACTTTACTCAGTTGGATTAGCTACCTATAGGCCCTAGTCTGAGAACTTTTATAAATAATTTTATGAGGTATCTACTAGACTACTAGGCCTACCCAATTTTAACTAGCAGCCATAAATTAAATCGATTAATCACATACTCTAATAGACAAATACACATCTTTACTTTAAGGAAATAACATTTTTTATTTTTTTTATTCTTTAAAATGAATCCCAGGGTTATAGAATTTAATTTTGCTTCTAGATTACGTGAAGTTTCAGAGCGGTTTAGCCGCCATGGATTCTCTGCTCCTTCAGCATTGAGTAGCTTGAGGAACATTAACATTTCACAGTGTGCTGTTGGTCCTAGTCACATAGCCTTACTCAGAGAGGTTAGTACATTTTTTCATAAATTGAGTTTTTAAAAAGTTTTTTATATTTTTGTTCCATATTTACAATGTTGAATAAAAAAAAATTCTTTCCTAAAAATGCATTTTTGTTTTTAGAAGCGTGACATCAATTTTATAATTTGTTAATGGAATTGTTTAAACATTTATTTATAAAGGATGGCAGAGTATGTCGAGTTCCATACCATGTTGCTACAGATAAACTGGATCTTATCAAGACTGATAATAAACCGTAAATATACATTTTGTTTCATATATGGCCTTGTTAAGATATACCCTGTTCCACATGTTTCTTACACACTATTCACTATTAAATACAACATTTACTATTAACCAACTATAGTTTTCTTAAAATCTTTGTACAAAGTAAGGATATTTTTTGCATCATTAATTAGCCTGGTTAGCACATAATATGTTGTATTGTTCAAAGCTTGCAAATTCTTTTTTTTTTTTATTAAATCTTGTATTAATCTTCTAGTCCTCCCTTTGTTAGAAAACCAAGCAAGTTGGAGAAGCTGGACCGTAACTCCACTGCTCGTAGTGGAACTGTTGTTATGGAAAGTCCAATAGTGCTTGTGTCTGATGCTTTGGGTACTGCAGCTGCTCAGTCCTCTGCCACAGGGTATTTTAAGCCTTTAAAATTATTACAGTCTAGTTCAGGGGTCTCCAAACTACGGCCCGCGGACCGGATGCGGCCCGCGAAGTCATCTAATCCGGCCCGCGTAGATTTTTTTGTCCAATGAAAAATCGTTTGTTGGTGATGGCTGAGGAACTTTGCGCAGAAAAATCAAAGACATGCATGGAAGAAACTGGCCCCCGAACTGAAATTTGATAGTTAATGCGGCCCTCGGACTGAAAAGTTTGGAGACCCCTGGTCTAGTTCATCAAAATTTTGTTTATTTATTCATTTAAATATAGTTTTTAAAATTGTTAGAACTGTTTTTCATCAACGAAAAATAAAATAAAGTTTTGTTGCTTAAGAGTGTTTAATTATTAAATCATATTTAAAATTGTGTTACAGGCGCTGGTCAACAGTGACCTCTAACCCAGCTTCTGTTTCCCGTGGTGGACCAGCTGCTAGTGGCAGTGTCGCTGGCAGCACAGGTAGTGCCAGTGGTGGTGCTAATAACAACCAGCCTACAGGCTTCAGCAGGGCTGTGCAAAGGGCCGTCCATGTCAGCAGGGGAGGTCGGAGGTCAAATGTTATTGTTGGTGGACGACCCCTGGTTCCTGCCTCTGTTGTACCAGAGGATCTGATTAGCCAGGTGAGTGGAGTGGCATTAGAATTTTATTTAAAGACATTTTCTTGATAACTGGTCTGGTACAAAGTTACTCAAACAGTTGTGACATTTAACCACAACTTTTTTTTCAGTGTCAAGTCGTATTACAGGGCAAATCTAGAAATCTCATTATCAGAGAATTACAAAGAACGGTAAGTTATTTATGCCATGTTTTGTAAATTGCATCAGACTGGTATTGGCTTTCTGTTGCATGGTGTCTTTAGCAAACTGAAAATTATTCAGTATTTTTTCATGAATATTTTAAATTTCTAGTGAGTGAATAGTTTATGACTACTTGATTGACGATGGTATTTTGTTATTAGCCTCAAAACTCTATTGTTCTTATGTTGTAGAATCTGGATGTGAACATGGCAGTAAATAATTTATTGAGTCGAGATGATGAAGGAGAGGGTGATGATGATGACAGTCAAGACTCGTATGTACCAGATGATCTGATCTCACTCTTGGACACAGGTGTTCACGGAGAACATCCCTCTGTCATCATAGATGCTGATGCAATGTTTAATGAGGATGTCTTTGGTTACTCAACACTAAGAAGCCGGGGATCAGGGACTAGATCTAGACTAGGTGAGAGAAGTTAAACTTTACCAATTCTTTAGTAATAGTTGATATGTAAAACTAGCACTGTTAGAACTGCTTTTTTAAACTTAAGATAACCATGCTATGAAACCTTTAGGAGACAGAGAAAGAGACTTGGACAGGGACAGAGATTCTATTTTCCGCATCCGAGATCATCGCAGGAGACTTGAGTCATCATTCAGAGATGAAACACTGAAATCTCTAGAGCGAGACAAACCTGACACTCCTGGCTCTGACGGAGTTAAAAAAGGAACCTCTCCAGCACAGAACCCAGTAGTGATAGGGGAGGAGTTGCAGTATTGGCCAGATAAAGTTAGTACATGCTTTGTTTGCCTGTTTACACTTGTGTATAGTTTTGACTGCGCATAGATCTCATAGGAAATGAAAGCTGAATATTTATGGAATTAACTCTGCACACTTTTGATAGCTATTTAAATGCCATTTTAAAAAAAATAATTTAATGCTATGCCAAGGATGTAACCGTTTACATGTAGGAGACTTTTCCTTCATTACTTCTTTAGTTTTTTGTTATAGTAAAATGTATGAACTTAAGAAATCCACGACAAAGTTATATTCTTGATCATTTCATGTCTTAAATTAATTTTATTTTAATGATTCTTATCAGTATGAGCAGGGTAATTTTATATACTAATGCTGAAAACAGCAATTTACTTTGATCCTGTGAGTTGACCAAGTGAATATTTTTCATCATCAGGAGAGTGAACCCCTACTTTTCAAGCACATTGAAGCCATGTTTTCAGATCTAGTTGCTGTAGGCAGGGATGGTCGGCTGTACAGCTGGAGGTGGTCAGACCCAGAACCATACAAAAACACGGAGGTATGGCACTTAGCTGTTTTTGTTGGACATGTCTTAGTAGGTTTTTTTATTACTTGCTGACACAATCTTTTAAATTTTCAGAACCCCAATATTCGCCATCCTAAAGCAGCAACATTAGGGCTTGTGCAAGAAAAAATTACACTGCTGTCAGCTTGTGGAGTGCGAGCATCTGTATTGACAGAATCTGGAAAAGTAGGCACAATTTATAACACTTACCCATTTAGTGCTGTTTTTGTAACAGTATATTTTCAATGACGTTATTTAAGTGATTGACTAGATTGTTCTATCTATAGTCCTTAATTTTCACCAAGATACTGATTTTCCCTTCAGCTTGAACTACAACGCCGTATTAACTATAAAATGATCTTTTCCCTTTACTAGATAGCCTCCTGGCTTGATGAATCCCTGAATTCTGTGTCAGCTAAGTTGGAGCATTCAGCACAACAGTTCTCTGAATTTCAGTCAGATGGAGTGGTTTCCCTTCACACATGCAACCTGTACACCTGTGCAAGGCTAGTCAGTGGGGCTCTCTATTGGTGGTAAGATATTGTCAATGGGGCTCTATTGGTGGTAAGATATTGTCAATGGGGCTCTCTATTGGTGGTAAGATAGTGTCAATGGGGCTCTATTGGTGGTAAGATATTGTCAATGGGGCTCTCTATTGGTGGTAAGATAGTGTCAGTGGGGCTCTCTATAGGTGGTAAGATATTGTCAATGGGGCTCTCTATTGGTGGTAAGATATTGTCAATGGGGCTCTCTATAGGTGGTAAGATATTGTCAGTAGAGCTCAACATTTTATTTATAAGTTAAATGACACTATTTATATTTTAGGGGTGTGATGCCATTTGCACAAAGAAAAAAACTGGTTGAGCGCTCTAGCAAGAAAAAGAAAGCCAAGGAAACCTCCACAGCTTCAGAAATAGTTGCAGGTGCAACAGTTTGTTTGCGCAGTGCTCCTCTGTATAATGCTGGCACAATAGCATTTGCTGAAATCAATGGCGTACCAAAAGTTGGTCAGCTGCTGGAGTCAGCTTGGGTACTGGGTGATGCCTGTAGGTTCAGAATAAGACAACCTGGAGCGTAAGTTGTACATACTTTTTTACATACAATTGAACCATTTAAGTAGTGTAGTTATGTAAATGCCATCAGGAAAATACAACATTGTTCTAGATTTTTCTCGACTGTATGGCAGTTAGGGCTAGCGTAAGAAGAGTAGTTAAGGTAACAATGAAATAACCTGTTGTTTTTTAAAAAGATCACTAGTGTACAGGTACAATGTATAGACAAATCTAGTTACGTTCCTAGCAGTGACTGTTTGAATGTTTGCAGAGACCTAAAAGCTGAGAGCAGTAAAACAGAAGCAGCTAGGAGCAGTGAGATCAAGACAGACATGCCACCACCATCACCAGCCTCCTCTGTTTGCAGTGACCACAGCAGCGCCTCCATTTCATTGAGTAGGTTACTTAGAAAGATTGCTTGTTAGTCAGGACATTGATTGAATTCTACCATTACTATAAGAATTCGACATTTAAAAAGGAAATAAATATTGCTGCCTTTGATATTACCTTACTAAAATAGCAAACTTAGCTATGCAATTTATCTTAACTATGAATAGCCACCATTTGGCATATAAATGAATGACTGCATTGTTTTGTGTCTGTGTTGTCCAGTTGATATTGCTACACTTCAATAATGTCCATTATCTAGAAGTGTGTTTTCCCCCAGAACGTAAAAAGGGCCCAGTCACACCAGTTAAGGATGATGAGAAGGAGGAGAGATGGCTGCTGAAGCATGTTGTTTTTGTTGAAGATGTCAAGACTGTACAGCTGGGCAAGGTGCTAAAGGTGAGAAATTGTGTATAGCCTGACATCTTGTATTTATTAAATTGCATAGATTTGAATGTAATAAATACAAAATTGGTTTGTTCCTAATTTAGTTTTTTTTAATTAGATGTATGTAAACCGTGCCTACTGCATTTAATTTTTCCCAGTTGTTAACAAAATAGCTTCACAATCTCTGCCTCAATACTTTGTCCACGTTTGAACTGACCTTTATAAAATGATGTAAATGTTGACCAGGTGGACGGTGCTTGTGCTGCTGTTCGCTTCAACAGGGAAACTGATGTTGCTGGATCTAGCAAGGATGACGTCTCCTCTCTGTTACAGGACTGCAGGTTGTTGAGGAAAGATGAGCTGCAGGTTGGATTTTATTTTAAAGTTTTTTTCTTTACATCTTAAATATGTTTCTTGCTGAAGGTCAACTCACTGACAGGGGATTGCTTTAGAAAACTTGACCCCACCAGTTTATAGATATGTATGTCTCAAAGACCTTACCAAAAATGAACAGTCAGTCCGTATAAAGGCATGTTTGACATGAGCCTGTGGCAAGAAAATTGGTCATTGTTATGTCAGCTTTTAATTCAGCATTATGTTTTCACCTAATGTTTTTCCCAAAGGAAAAGGCATAAGAGGAAGGGGTTTTAAGAGTTAGGTGCTTCTGTATATTTATGCTTGATCTCAGTATTATTTTCTATATTTTAGGTGGTTAAAACAGCAGCTGGTCCTAGAAATCCAGACTGCTTCCAAAAGTCCCCAAAGAAAGTGGTTATAGCTGAGCATGGCCAGATTGAGGCTGTCACTGTGGATGCTGAAGGTGATGCCAACTTTTTCTACTGCTCTCATTTGTCTTCCTTAGTCTTACTTCAACCACAACATTACCTGCTGTTCCTTTGTTTAGCATAATTCATATCTCAGCTCTCCCCCCCCCCTACTTTCCAAAGTTATGTGCTGTACTGAATTGTTTATCATTGTTGTACTAGGCATCCATATCATCTCAAGGAGTGGATCTCGTCTGTATTATTCTTACCACAACCTGAGCACTGGCAAAATGGACCACAACTGTCTGTTTCCAACTAGTGCTGATGCTTTCTTAGGGACCAAAGCCAGTGATGTTTGTCTTCAAACTTGTGGCATAGTAAGTGGCTAGGATTGACTTGTAGCATATCTCTTTAATCACTTAGCTTGTACATGTGCATCTTGTAAAAGGTGATGATCTAAAGTCTTACTCCTTATTTGTAGAAGCCAAGACAATTTAAGCTTAAAAGTTTCAATATTTATTACCACATCACATGACCGACATGTTTATTATCACAGCCACCACCTCATCATATGATCCACATGTTTACTATTACAGCCACCACCACATCACATGACCCACATGTTTACTATTACAGCCACCACCTCATCACATGACCCACATGTTTACTATTACAGCCACCACATCACATGACCCACATGTTTACTATTACAGCCACCACCTCATCACATGACCCACATGTTTACTATTACAGCCACCACATCACATGACCCACATGTTTACTATTACAGCCACCACCTCATCACATGACCCACATGTTTACTATTACAGCCACCACCTCGTCACATGACCCACATGTTTACTATTACAGCCACCACCTCATCACATGACCCACATGTTTACTATTACAGCCACCACCTCATCACATGACCCACATGTTTACTATTACAGCCACCACCTCATCACATGACCCACATGTTTACTATTACAGCCACCACCTCATCACATGACCCACATGTTTACTATTACAGCCACCACCTCATCACATGACCCACATGTTTACTATTACAGCCACCACCTCATCACATGACCCACATGTTTACTATTACAGCCACCACCTCATCACATGACCCACATGTTTACTATTACAGCCACCACATCACATGACCCACATGTTTACTATTACAGCCACCACCTCATCACATGACCCACATGTTTACTATTACAGCCACTACCTCATCACATGACCCATATGTTTACTATTACAGCCACCACCTCATCACATGACCCACATGTTTACTATTACAGCCACCACCTCATCACATGACCCACATGTTTACTATTACAGCCACTACCTCATCACATGACCCACATGTTTACTATTACAGCCACCACCTCATCACATGACCCACATGTTTACTATTACAGCCACCACCTCATCACATGACCCACATGTTTACTATTACAGCCACCACCTCATCACATGACCCACATGTTTACTATTACAGCCACCACCTCATCACATGACCCACATGTTTACTATTACAGCCACCACCTCATCACATGACCCACATGTTTACTATTACAGCCACTACCTCATCACATGACCCATATGTTTACTATTACAGCCACCACCTCATCACATGACCCACATGTTTACTATTACAGCCACCACCTCATCACATGACCCACATGTTTACTATTACAGCCACCACCTCATCACATGACCCACATGTTTACTATTACAGCCACCACCTCATCACATGACCCACATGTTTACTATTACAGCCACCACCTCATCACATGACCCACATGTTTACTATTACAGCCACCACCTCATCACATGACCCACATGTTTACTATTACAGCCACCACCTCATCACATGACCCACATGTTTACTATTACAGCCACCACCTCATCACATGACCCACATGTTTACTATTACAGCCACCACCTCATCACATGACCCACATGTTTACTATTACAGCCACCACCTCATCACATGACCCACATGTTTACTATTACAGCCACCACCTCATCACATGACCTACATGTTTACTATTACAGCCACCACCTCATCACATGACCCACATGTTTACTATTACAGCCACCACCTCATCACATGATCTACATGTTTACTATTACAGCCACCACCTCATCACATGACCCACATGTTTACTATTACAGCCACCACCACATCACATGACCCACATGTTTACTATTACAGCCACTACCTCATCACATGACCTACATGTTTACTATTACAGCCACCACCTCATCACATGACCCACATGTTTACTATTACAGCCACCACCTCATCACATGACCCACATGTTTACTATTACAGCCACCACCTCATCACATGACCCACATGTTTACTATTACAGCCACCACCTCATCACATGACCCACATGTTTACTATTACAGCCACCACCTCATCACATGACCCACATGTTTACTATTACAGCCACCACCTCATCACATGACCCACATGTTTACTATTACAGCCACCACCTCATCACATGACCTACATGTTTACTATTACAGCCACCACCTCATCACATGACCCACATGTTTACTATTACAGCCACCACCTCATCACATGACCCACATGTTTACTATTACAGCCACCACCTCATCACATGACCCACATGTTTACTATTACAGCCACCACCTCATCACATGACCCACATGTTTACTATTACAGCCACCACCTCATCACATGACCCACATGTTTACTATTACAGCCACCACCTCATCACATGACCCACATGTTTACTATTACAGCCACCACCTCATCACATGACCCACATGTTTACTATTACAGCCACCACCTCATCACATGACCCACATGTTTACTATTACAGCCACCACCTCATCACATGACCCACATGTTTACTATTACAGCCACCACCTCATCACATGACCCACATGTTTACTATTACAGCCACCACCTCATCACATGACCCACATGTTTACTATTACAGCCACCACCTCATCACATGACCCATATGTTTACTATTACAGCCACCACCTCATCACATGACCCACATGTTTACTATTACAGCCACCACCTCATCACATGACCCACATGTTTACTATTACAGCCACCACCTCATCACATGACCCACATGTTTACTATTACAGCCACCACCTCATCACATGACCCACATGTTTACTATTACAGCCACCACCTCATCACATGACCCACATGTTTACTATTACAGCCACCACCTCATCACATGACCCACATGTTTACTATTACAGCCACCACCTCATCACATGACCCATATGTTTACTATTACAGCCACCACCTCATCACATGACCCACATGTTTACTATTACAGCCACCACCTCAAGCCTCTCTAGTCCTATGTGATGGCAATGGTGCCATCTATCCATTGGCCAAAGACTGCAATGAAAATATCAGGGACCCCATATGGCTGGACCTGCCCCCTGTCACTTCAGTGGCCATTAAAGTACAGAAACTTCCTAGCCTGGCTGCAGTAGGCAAGGAATCTGCTCTCATCATGGCATTCACTGTCAAGGTTAGATTCTTCAAGCTAGAAATATAATGCTGGTATAAAAGGGGGATTGTCAGGTTGGTGGAAAGTTGTCGAGGACTGAAATGTGTACAAGAGTACATGAGAATAATAGGACAAAAAATACATGGTGCCATTCAATGTTGAATTTATTTAACTTGTCCTTAACATTTGGGTGGTATTAAGGCTGTAAGAAAGTACAAAAATCTCAATCACCATTTTTAGCTGCACTTATAATTGAAGGAAAAAAGAACAACTTTTTAATACTTTTCCTGCTGGATGTTATGGCAGAAGAGCTGTCATAAAACTTTTTAAAAAGAATGTTGCCATGCTTAAACATACAATATGAAGAGAAACAGAAATAAAATGTAGAAACCAAATAGTCCATTACCTAATTATGAATGTTTTCAATCTTCAGCAATACAATGTAGAGATTCTGACACTTGTGTCAGGTTCTCAGTTTATTATGTAAAACTAGGCATGGAATAAAAGTGAGCACTTGTCTATCTACAGCATCAGTCTCTGATTCCACATATTATAAGAGCAGACTTGAACAAGGTCAAGGCTGTTGTAGCCAGCTTAGAGGAAGAATCAAGTAAGTAATCAATGTATTGTTTTGTCATTTTAAAACAATTTTTATTTTAGAAAAAAGGATTTGAAATTAAATATTGTGTTTTGATAACTTTTTGTTTTAAACTCTAGAAGAAGGCAGCACTTGTCCAAAGTTTGGAGAAGTTTTAAAGGAACATTGTGATGGCAACAGAAATATTTTACATATGTGTGTTGCCTCCTGTATACCACAGTCTAACAAAGAATGTGATAATGGTAAGGCCATGTTAATTTTGTCCCAGTTAAAAGTTCTAGAAAGTTTTCAGTGATAACATCCTCTACAAAACTAAATGCTATATTTTGTCAACAGAGCCCCAGTTAGGTGCCAATTCCTTTAGCTGCACATTAGATGCTGTCACTAGTGCTGTGGATGCTATAGCCTCACTTCAGTCTAGGTCATCAGATGCCTCAGCTAGTAGAAAGTAGGAGTCTTATTATTTTTGTCTTATTTATTGCTAGCATGTGTGTTGGCACAGACTGTCTGAGAGCTATTGTACTAGATTTATCTCATACTAAGGATATATTCTACTCTGAATACAACTTACAATAGTGTGTTAACTTAGCATTAAACCAACCAATTTTTCAGCATGAGTGTGAGAGAGCTGATCAGACGCGCCTCCAATGCAGCAAGGGGAGTCAGTGGGTTGGAATCCAGAGATTTGGACAGGGAGGAGTCAGGACTTACAATGCAATGGTCTGACCCTCCGCCAAGCTATGACTCAACTCCTTCCTGTAGGTTTACTCAGTTTTATAAACCTACTTCACTAAGTTTATATAATGTAACATTTTGCTCAAGTTGCAAATGTTTCTATCATGTTAATGTCTAATATAGATATACTTAAATTTAAACAGAATTATGATAGTTGTATACTGACTTTGTGTGGGCATTGAACCCTATCTAATTTCCTATCAACACTGCTTGGCTATTATGTTTATTGACATTTTAAAATATCTCTGACAGTACTGTCCACAGCTGAGTGGTCATCTCGGCAGTCCAACACCCCAGCCTCAAGCAGTATAGGTGGGTTGGTGGGGGGACCCTCAGGCCTGTCAGGGTCAGAGTTCAGCAATGTGCTAGTGGCACCGGTCAAGATGGAGGACAAGGAGAGACGGGCCACTGCCCTACAAGTGCTGGACTTTATCCTGGAGTCTCCAATCTTCCAGCCGTATTTGTTTGAACTGCTCAGCTCCAAGTGAGTTTAGTCATCACGACTAACTTAAAAAAATCACTTTTCTCTATAGATCATCCTCTTTTATTTTAGTACATATAAACAATTTTTTGTCTTTATTATTGAAATGAAAGTAAGCATAAAAAGTGTATTTTATAACTAAAAAAATTGTTACCTATAGGAATGCTGAGGGATGCACACCATTTATGCAAGCAGTTTGTACCAGGGCCTACCCAGCAGCTCTGTCACTGCTGGAGGCTGCCATCAAAGTCAGGAACTCTAACCTGGGTCAGACTGAAGATGGGAGCTCAGAGACCAGAAAAACTGAGGTCCTGATGAACATGATCTACCCACCTGGCTCTAGCCTAGACAACTCACCCATGCATGTGCTCTGTGCTAATGACACTTGCAGCTTTACCTGGACTGGGGCTTATCATATCAACCAGGTACAACATTGATCAAACTCAATTACAATTGATGACCTTTATTGTGTATTCTTTAGTAACAAAGGATAGTTTTTATTTTATTTAAGCCAAAGTTAAAAGTGATACATTTTTGTTGAGCACCTCCATTTTTAAGATAATTATTTCATACTTGAATTGTATTCTAAGTGAACATAGTTAGGTTGAGATTCTGGTACTCCATCCTTTGTGTTTTAGGACATCTTTGAGTGTAAAACTTGTGGCTTGACTGGGACCCTGTGCTGCTGTACTGAGTGCGCTCGTGTGTGCCATAAGGGCCATGACTGCAAGCTGAAGAAGACCTCGCCCACTGCCTACTGTGACTGCTGGGAGAAGTGCAAGTGTAAGGCTCTAGTGGCCGGCGTCCAGGCCTCCAGGATCAACCTCCTGAACCGCCTGCTCATGCACACAGACTTGGTTTCCGCCCCCAACTCCAGGGGAGAGAACATTCTCTTGTTTCTGGTGCAGACGGTGGGCAGACAGTTGGTGGAGCAGAGGCAGTTCCAACCCAGCAGGATCAGGATCACTGCCAGCAGGAAGACTCAGGTGGCAGATATAGGTACGTTTAAAATCCTTGTGTAGCACTACATACAGGCATTTATACATAGGAAAGAAGATTTGTACCGCCAATCTTAGTTATGAAAGAAAAATGTGTACATAAATTTAAACAAAAAAAATAGATTGTAGCACACTGCAGTAATGTAAAACACTGACTAAACTGATCCACCCATTCACAGATGTAGAAGTCCCAGAGCATGACCTTGAGCCACCCAGATTTAGCAGACGGGCCCTGGAAAGGATCTTGAATGACTGGGCAGCTGTGAAGGCCATGCTGATCTCAGGATTGAAGCAGCCAGCAACTGGGTATGTCTTCCTTCTAGAACACTTTGTTATCTTTAGCCCTGTCACATCCTGTGCTATGGTCACATGTATGCTCTTGCTTGACTGCTGGCCATTATTTGAAAGGAAGCACCCAGTCAAAGGATGAAAACAAGTTGCGTATCCTATATATCCCAACTAGAACTAAATGTTCTCTTTTCTTGCACATGATTGTAGTGATGTGAGAATATTCTTGCACATAGATGGTAGTCATGTGACAGGCAAGACTTGCACTAAATTATCTCCCTCTCTGGTGTTAAGACAACACTGTCCATCTAACAGGGGCCCTGATGTTGTGTATGAGGAACAGATCTACCTGGAGAGCCAGAGTGGCACAGCTCGTTTGGACAAGTTCACTCACTGTCTCCTGGTCAAGTGCAACAACGAGGTAGGCAGGTTTCTCTAGCAACTCTGGTCAACAAGGCTTGTTGTACCCAGGGTTGGGGCTTTAAATATTCTGACCTGGGTTTGTCAGCTCCCATGGGTACCTGGCATGAGGGGGACATAAAAGCTGACCAGCTCCTTACTTGCTGTGGTCTCAATATAAATTTTTTTAAATTTGTCATTATCTAATAAAATACCACAAAACTTTCTTGAATCTTATTTTTCACAAAAATTGAGTAATTACATTTTTTAAAACAAAATATGAAGGTAGATCATTTCTATAATAGTATAAACTTGTGAGATTAAAGTGAGAAAGATGTGAAGTACTGCAATGTTTTCCTCAGATGTTGGACACCCTCCTTACAACTCTGATCAGAGAAATGCAGTGTGAGGGGATGCCAGCCAGGCGTGATGAGGCCAGACAGGTCAGCCGCAGATTTGTTCGCTCTGTGGCCAGAGTCTTTGTGGTCTTAAACATTGGAATGTTACCTGCCTCCAGCAAGAAAAGAAAGTGAGTAACTTGTCAGTTAACTGATGTCAGTGGTGTTTATCAGTGAATTTGTCATTGGATCAACAGTAAGAAATAAGGTTCTTGAGGGTTTTTTTTAGCCTTCACTTACATCCCTATACTTTGTAAAGTAATTTAGAGTAAGTTCGGCAACAAACATGAATAATAATACACCAATTCTAAATACAAACCTGCAGAGTTTAAATAAGGACCAATTTTCAACTATTATAAGTAGCAAATTACAACTGGTAAAGGAATCTGCTATAGCTATTCAGCGTCTATTCCCCTCCCTGTAATTTTTCAGGCTCCACTCACCTCCTTCTAATTTTTCAGCCTCCACTCACCTCCCTGCCAGCCACTGATGAAATGTAAGCGTGTGTTCCAAGCCCTGATCACCATTGCTATAGAAGAGCTGTGTCAGATGGCTGATGCTCTGATTGTCCCAGTGAGGATGGGCGTGGCCAGACCCACTGCTCCATTTGCCCTTGTCAGCATCAACTCTGATGCTGTTCAGGTAAAAAGGGCTTCAAGCTTCTTTTAAACTGATAAAATGTGTAGACTAATAGAAATCCCTTTCTCCATGACACAAGAACTTTTACTAAGTACTCAATTCCAATGAATTGACAAGAGTAAAATGTTTTCAGGGAAGTGAAGAGTTGTTTGTTATGGATCCCCTACCCCCAAGACCATCATCAGCTGACACAATAACCCAACGTATGCCTGTTGTAAATCATCGGTCCCTGCGACACAGATCACAGGCAACATCCCGACAGCCTGCTGATGATGAGCGCATGCCTGTTGATATTGAAGAGGTAGTTTCATCAATTTACTTTCCACTTTTTTTTTCACGTAAAATATTTATTCTTACACAATGAAAAAGATGTTATCCTATTTTCATATTTGAACAGTCTATGAAATTATTAAATGTCTCCCACTTGGTGGACCAGGTACTTAAGGCTAGTTACTCCTGGTTTTTTGTCTCACAACCTGTAGGTGGAGGTGGTAGAGAGTATGCAGGTGGAAGATGAACACAGTGACAGGGAGGACAGGGATGACCGCCAGTCTGAGCACTCTGACCATGACCTAGATCATGACCCAGAGCAGCCGCCACCAGATCCTGAAGATGGTGAGTTGACTATCAAAGAGCTGAATGTTTTCATGTCACTTGTATTTATCAAAGAGCTGAATGTTTTCATGTCACATGTATTGTCTTGATGTACCATGTGCTTGAATCTTGTGGGCTGTGATGTGAAATTATCTACCCCAGGTCCTGCTGAGAGTGACATGAGTCTGGTGATGTTGACTGAAGAATCTGACAGTGATAGTGAAAGTAGCCACAGCAACCAAGACAACGTCAGTGTGCAGAGGTCAGCTGTAACCATGGCAACAGCTGGATCAGATGCAGGTCAGTGTTATGAATACTTTAAGTGTTGTTTTAAAGCGCTATGTTTATCTTGTCTACTTGAAAATGTTTGAAGGTACCACAGAGATAATTGTTGTTGTATCACCTTAGGCCTGGGTAGTCTGGCTCACTTTTCTGAAGACTCAGGAGACTCATCCAACCAAGAAGACGACTACGAAAGTGAGGCAGGAGAAAGTGAGGAGAGGGACACGGATGAGTTTATCTACATGGATGAACAGCTTGAGAGGCCAACCACGGCTGGCCCAGGAGCACAAGGCCAGAGAACCTTGCAGGCTCCCCAGGCCATGCAATGGGCCATCAGACAGAGGGACCTGGTGACTACAACCTCGGCCTCCAGACCTCCCACAACCACCACCACCACCAGCACTGCAGGTTGGTCACGTTAACTTTCAACTGACCACAGGATGAAGTTCTTTTACAGTCTGATGGGCCAGTTTTGTTACTGGTCATGAAAAACTGCTACGGACTTTCTGATGGTCGTATATTCAACATAATTACTTCTTTTGAAAGTCATTTATGATTTTTTTTTAAGCTCTAAGATATTAATTTATGAAATGGCAAGGCCTAAGCGGTAGAGCTCTAGGCTACTAATCCCAAAGTGTTGAGTTCAAATCCGGGTCCAAATCAGTAGAATGTTTCTGAGTCCACCCAGCACTGATGGGTACCTAACTACTGTTAGGGAAAGTAAAGGCGGCTGGGCAAATTGCTGACTGTACCTTCCCTTCATATGCCGAGGTCAAGAAAAATATGAACTCTACTTCATCTTCCTAATAGATTGCTAGGTCTAAAGAAGATACTTTACTTCAAGATATTAATTTGCAATTTTTTGGAATCTTTATGCAATGTATGTATAAAAAAAATGTATAATGCTGTAAATCCATTGGTCCACTTTTTCAGGTGGCAACAGTCTAATCTACATTGATCCAACTACACTTAGACGATCTGTTCCTGTGGCACCACCCACTGTTACAAACCAAGACAGCCCAGTAACTATGGCAACCACTGCCAGCCAGCTGGCCAGGGCATTCAGCATCATGATAAGACAGATCACAGACTTGCTGAATGTGATGCCGTACTACCACGCATTGACCCCCAGCCTGCCCAGAGTACTAGAGGTGTCCCCGCAGGAGGAACACAACTTACAGGTAGGAAACACTTTAAGCAGGCTCTGTTTGGTGTGTAGATGTACTAGACATACTAAAGAATGTTGTTACCTCAACCCAGGCTCTGTTTGGTGTGTAGATGTACTAGACATACTAAAGAATGTTGTTACCTCAAGCTCTGTTTGATGTGTAGATGTACTAGACATACTAAAGAATGTTGTTACCTCAACCCAGGCTCTGTTTGGTGTGTAGATGTACTAGACATACTAAAGAATGTTGTTACCTCAACCCAGGCTCTGTTTGGTGTGTAGATGTACTAGACATACTAAAGAATGTTGTTACCTCAACCCAGGCTCTGTTTGGTGTGTAGATGTACTAGACATACTAAAGAATGTTGTTACCTCAACCCAGGCTCTGTTTGGTGTGTAGATGTACTAGACATACTAAAGAATGTTGTTACCTCAACCTAGGCTCTGTTTGGTGTGTAGGAGATGTACTAGACATACTAAAGAATGTTGTTACCTCAACCCAGGCTCTGTTTGGTGTGTAGATGTACTAGACATACTAAAGAATGTTGTTACCTCAACCTAGGCTCTGTTTGGTGTGTAGGAGATGTACTAGACATACTAAAGGATGTTGTTACCTCAACCCAGGCTCTGTTTGGTGTGTAGATGTACTAGACATACTAAAGAATGTTGTTACCTCAACCCAGGCTCTGTTTGGTGTGTAGATGTACTAGACATACTAAAGAATGTTGTTACCTCAACCTAGGCTCTGTTTGGTGTTTAGGAGATGTACTAGACATACTAAAGAATGTTGTTACCTCAACCCAGGCTCTGTTTGGTGTGTAGGAGATGTACTAGACATACTAAAGAATGTTGTTACCTCAACCTAGGCTCTGTTTGGTGTGTAGATGTACTAGACATACTAAAGAATGTTGTTACCTCAACCCAGGCTCTGTTTGGTGTGTAGATGTACTAGACATACTAAAGAATGTTGTTACCTCAACCTAGGCTCTGTTTGGTGTGTAGATGTACTAGACATACTAAAGAATGTTGTTACCTCAACCTAGGCTCTGTTTGGTGTGTAGATGTACTAGACATACTAAAGAATGTTGTTACCTCAACCCAGGCTCTGTTTGGTGTGTAGATGTACTAGACATACTAAAGAATGTTGTTACCTCAACCTAGGCTCTGTTTGGTGTGTAGATGTACTAGACATACTAAAGAATGTTGTTACCTCAACCTAGGCTCTGTTTGGTGTGTAGGAGATGTACTAGACATACTAAAGAATGTTGTTACCACAACCCAGGCTCTGTTTGGTGTGTAGATGTACTAGACATACTAAAGAATGTTGTTACCTCAACCTAGGCTCTGTTTGGTGTGTAGGAGATGTACTAGACATACTAAAGAATGTTGTTACCTCAACCCAGACTCTGTTTGGTGTGTAGATGTACTAGACATACTAAAGAATGTTGTTACCTCAACCCAGACTCTGGTGTGTAGATGTACTAGACATACTAAAGAATGTTGTTACCTCAACCCAGGCTCTGTTTGGTGTGTAGATGTACTAGACATACTAAAGAATGTTGTTACCTCAACCTAGGCTCTGTTTGGTGTGTAGGAGATGTACTAGACATACTAAAGAATGTTGTTGCCTCAACCCAGGCTCTGTTTGGTGTGTAGATGTACTAGACATACTAAAGAATGTTGTTACCTCAACCCAGGCTCTGTTTGGTGTGTAGATGTACTAGACATACTAAAGAATGTTGTTACCTCAACCCAGGCTCTGTTTGGTGTGTAGATGTACTAGACATACTAAAGAATGTTGTTACCTCAACCCAGGTTTACCTTGAACAACACCTGCGGCCTACCTGGCAGTGGCTTGTGGCAGTCATGGACTCAACAGAGGCACAGCTGCGATTTGGTTCAGCCCTCAGCAACAACAGCGACCCCTCTTGCCCACAGCATCCCTTACATGCAAGTTACACAAGGTCACAGAGAGAGCGTGCAGCGCCACCTAGAGAAGAAACCAGAACTCTACCAGTCATAGATCACAACAGGAGACGTTTGAGATTTGGCACCATTGGTGAGACTGCCTTGTGCTTCATAGCTAGGAAATATATATAAGCATTTTAAGGGTTGTATGAAATGTATCTTTTTAACAAGAAATTTGTTTTTATTATCAAATAAGTTTAGAAAGAAAATAATTTCTGATTTCAGCAACAAGCACTGATGGTAATTCAGCTCGTAGAGATTTTCTCAGTTACGCTCTTTCCCTGATGCGTAGCCACCATGATGAGCACTCGGACTCCTTGCCTGTAATGGACATCACAGCCCTCAAGCACATTGCCTATGTGTTTGATGCACTCATCTACTACATGAGGACAGCTCCAGACTCAGATGTTGAGGCTTTGAGGGATGGTGTGTCTGTCACATCATGGCAAGATGGGGAGGAAGGGGAAGAGGAGCATGATGAAGAACTGCCTGGCGCCTCCTCTTCTTCTGGCCTCAACATGGAGTCTGAAAGTTTAGATGGGGACAGTGATAGTGCCACCAGATTAGGGCGGCGACACCCCTTTTTCCAGAGGTCAGATTCAACCATTTTTATGGGGTGCCCGCCACCAGATCCCTTTCACACTCCTCTTGTTGAAGCCTTGCCTCTTGCTGATCAGCCGCACTTGCTGCAACCTAATGCACGCAGGGAGGATTATTTTGGTATTGCCAAATCAACTGTTGCTAAAACAGCTGAGGGATCATCACTAGCCATTGGTCAGCAGCTACCTTTAAGTCTTGCCCTGTCTATCAGACCAGATGATGAAAGGATTCAGCTAGCTCAGACAATAAGAAATGCCGCTTTCCAACCTATTTCAGCGGCACCGGTCAGCTCGACCAGCAGTACTGGCCGCACAAGTTTGGCCACCAGCACAAATCTGGTCTCATCTCGGATCAGCACAGGTGACCTGCGGTCATCAGACCTGTTTCCCCAGAGTGTTGCTGTCAACCTGTCATTGTCAGGGCCCAGCGCCAGCTTCAGCCATGAGGCAGTAGACAGCGCAGTGGGGATCCCCATTGAGCCAGCACCACCTTCATTCCAGTCAGCATTTATCTCTGCTTTAATTCCAGAGCCATCCAGCGGAGTCATCGTAGGAACCTCATCTCCAGCTTCCAGCTTTAGCCTGGCACATCCCCCTCTCATACCCTCAACTCCATCAACACCAGGTCAGCTTGCTCGAGCTAACTTGTCAGCTTTTTCAGAAATAGCCACAAGCCGCGAAAGGATGTCCACAGCAGTGACCGCAAGCATCAACAGCACTCCACTGGTCAGTTCCCTGCCCTCCTACCAGCTCCACCTTCACCAGGCAACAGCCTCCATGCCAGATGTCCCCCAGACCAGCGTCATCGTACACACAGCATCCACCCCCTCCTCCTCGCTAGCCACCACGCCAACTGCCCTGGTGGCCACCACTACAGCATCAAGTCAGCCCAGCCTGCTGACCCCCTCCACCAACCTGGTGACACTACCTGCCAGCTCTGCCACTGGGAGCAGACCACTGGTCAGTGAAGAGAATGAGGACAATCATCCACCTATCAGGCCTAAAATACATTTTGCATTCCTGGCATGGTCTCAGAACCAAGCGGCATCTGCGGCAAGTTCTACTTCATCACAAGGTGGGTGCTTTTGTTTCCATTGAAACCTTTGTTTAGATACTTGAAAAGATTCCATGATGCAGTAAAACATTTGTATTGTGTCAATATACCAGCAGCCACCAGCAGTCCAGCCAGTCAACACCCCCCTCATGAGCCTGTGGTCACACAGGCCACCACAGAACAACCCATGGAGAGTGTGGACTCCCAGACTACACCAGCCCACCCCGTCTCATTGGTGGCTGTCGTACCAACACCTGCACATTCTTCAGCTCTGCCAGCCATGTAAGTGCTACTCACACCTGTACTTTCACTGTTTATATCTAATGGTGATCAGTTGCTAAGTTGAATTGCGTCTAAGACTGAGAATAGCTGAGTAAAATAGCTATCAGTATGTGGTAGAATGAAATGTTGCAATAAATAAAGATTTCTAGATTTCCATGATGTCTAGACCACTGAATGCAATCAATGTTTGCTTCTATACAGTGTAACAGATAGCTCAGCTGGGCTAGAAAGTGCACCCATTGACTTGGTGGGGGCTAATGAAAATGTGTCCAACACAGTGGACATAGAAACCAGTGACCAGTCAGCTCACCAAGTCCCACCCCCACCTCCTGCACCTCCAGTCATCCTCCCCCCTCCTCCCATGTCCATGTCAGCTGTCAGGTGAGTCTTCTCTCCCTTGTGGAGTCCATTGTTGTAGTGCTGGTTGAGTTCCTTGAGAGCAGTTCTATTATTTTACTCAGCCTATTATTTTAAAACTTCTTCAAGTGTGAACATATGTTTTACTAATTAAATATGGAAATGTTTTGCATTGTAAAGACAATTATTATTAAGTGGTTGTGTTTTCTATGCTTAACACATCTACCTGCCACCGGTGACTATTTTTCTAGTCTCCAAATGAATTACTATCTAACCCTGTGACTATTTTTCTAGTCTCCAAATGAATTACTATCTAACCCTGTGACTATTTTTCTAGTCTCCAAATGAATTACCATCTAACCCTGTGAACTTTTGTCAGACACCAAGGTTCTGTCGGCCAGATAGTCTCACATGATATTTTACTGGGCCGCTGGCGACTATCTCTGGACCTGTTTGGCCGTGTCTTCTGTGATGATGTGGGGGCAGAGCCAGGCTCTGTGTTAACAGAGCTGGGAGGGTTTCCTGTTAAAGAGAGCAAGTTCCGCAGGGAAATGGAAAAATTGAGGAACTCACAACAAAGGGATTTGACTCTAGAGGTGCTCAATTGTTACTTTATATGTTTACTTTATTTATACAAGCTGCTAAATCAGTTAAAAACTATTTACCTTTAAAATTTTAATACTTTTATAATTTAAAAATAAATACTGTGTAAGAAGTGGTTTAAAAATTTCTAATAGTGATTTAAAACTGTTTGTTGAGCAGGTGGAAAGAGATCGCAATGCATTGCTGAGCCAGACCTTGAAACAGCTCAACACCTACTTCAACAGGCGCAACAACTCATCAGGTCCACCAATGTGTGTTCATAGAGTCAAAGTGACATTCAAGGATGAGCCAGGGGAGGGCAGTGGTGTAGCACGGAGTTTTTACACTGCTATAGCTCATGTAATTATTTATTTCTTGTCTTGTTTCTGTGTTGGTGAGAAAGTGATGCAAAAATAGGAAGAATGCGTGAGTTAATGTTTGATGTACAACATGTATCTCACTCCCTTCAGGCTGCCTTATCCCAAGAAAAACTGCCATCACTGGACTCAATACTTGTGGGAGGGAAAAGTCTTCAGTACACCAAGTCATTAGGTATTAGTAAGTTCCTTTCCTTATCAATTATTTCTATTGTTTTATTTCTTAATCTGATCTAGTTTTTGCTTATTACTTGTTGTTTATACAACACATGAGTAGATCTTGGGGTGATTAAAGAAAGTCTGGAAACATGGTATTTCTATTGAGTCAGCACATCTTTGTTATAAACATAATTTGTATGATATTTGATATCAATTGTTCTGTTAATTATTAATTCTGACTTAAGTCCTATGTGCCCTCATTCACCTGACTTAAGTCCTATGCGCCCTCATTCACCTGACTAAAGTCCTATGCGCCCTCATTCACCTGACTTAAGTCCTATGCTCCCTCATTCACCTGATTAAAGTCCTATGCGCCCTCATTCACCTGACTAAAGTCCTATGTGCCCTCATTCACCTGACTAAAGTCCTATGTGCCCTCATTCACCTGACTAAAGTCCTATGCATCCTCATTCACCTGACTAAAGTCCTATGCGCCCTCATTCACCTGACTAAAGTCCTATGTGCCCTCATTCACCTGACTAAAGTCCTATGTGCCCTCATTCACCTGACTAAAGTCCTATGCATCCTCATTCACCTGACTTAAGTCCTATGCGCCCTCATTCACCTGACTAAAGTCCTATGTGCCCTCATTCACCTGACTAAAGTCCTATGCATCCTCATTCACCTGACTTAAGTCCTATGCGCCCTCATTCACCTGACTAAAGTCCTATGCGCCCTCATTCACCTGACTTAAGTCCTATGCGCCCTCATTCACCTGACTAAAGTCCTATGTGCCCTCATTCACCTGTGAATTTTTCTGTGCGGCTGCCCAAACTATGTATAATATATTTATTGACGTGTAGTAACAGAAGTCTCATTGGTAAAGAGATTTTTGAAGATACCAGCTAAAGCGGGAAATAATAAATTTTATTTAAATTGTTTTCTTGTTCTATCACTAAAGGTTAATTTTCTACAATTTTTCTAAAATTAACCTTTTTTTTTTAAATTACAGGCAATATAATAAGTGAAATTAAATCTCTGCCATTGAATCTGGCTTTTTTTTATAATATAACTAATACAGTGAAATTGAAAAAGAACGTAGCTTGGAGACTAGTTTCAATTTTTATTTTTTTTCCCAAAATACATTTCTTAGAGAAATAGGAATAGAAGTAGCGTTTTGTTTTTCTGGTATTCCATAGATAAAGCAGTCAAAGAGTATGTGTTTGAGTTGTTTCAAAGCTACACATAAAAGGTTTACACTGAAATCTTTGTTAAATCTGGCCTACATTGCACGAAATTAAAGAAAATTGTTTATGCAATGTGGGCCCGTGTGCTTGATTTGAGATAGACTCAAACTTTGAAAGGTAAAATGAGAACTTGTTGACACCTGTTTTTGTATCAAGTTTCTCCCCCCTACACACCCCACTCTCCAGATCTGATCAACCGCCTGAGGTCACGTGACCGTGAGAGACAGAGGAGCACCATCAGACAGCGGAGTCGAGACAGGGAGATGCGGAGAACCTTGTCATATGACGCCCCACCATTCTACATGCCAACAGATGCCCCTCCAGGGAGCTCCACCAGTGGGGTGCCCAGCACTGAGAACCCTGACAGTGGGACAGAGGCCATCTCACAGTACAGGCGACAGCTGGGGGAGAGGCTTTACCCCAAAGTTCGTGCTCTCAGACCAGTAAGTAACAACAAAGTTCACACTTTCAGACCAGTAAGTAACAACAAAGTTCACACTTTCAGACCAGTAAGTAACAACAAAGTTCACACTTTCAGACCAGTAAGTAACAACAAAGTTCACACTTTCAGACCAGTAAGTAACAACAAAGTTCACACTTTCAGACCAGTAAGTAACAACAAAGTTCACACTTTCAGACCAGTAAGTAACAAATAAATCTAACACTTAAAGATTCTATTTGAATGTTCTGTGAAGCCTTGAGTATAGAATGTACTGTGAAGATTAAAGCCATGTGTATTTTTACAGGCCTTGGCTGCAAAGATAACTGGCATGCTTCTGGAGCTGTCACCTCCACAACTGGTCTTGTTGCTGGCATCAGATGAGAGCTTGAGACAAAGGGTGGATGAAGCTGTGGAGATTATCTCCTCACATGCTAGGTAAACTCACACACCTGATATAAACATACACCCCAACCTGATATAAACATACACCCCACACACCTAATATAAACATACACCCCACACGCCTGATATAAACATACACCCCACACACCTAATATAAAAATACACCTCACACACCTGATATAAACATACACCTCACACACCTAATATAAAAATACACCTCACACACCTGATATAAGCATACACCTCACACACCTAATATAAAAATACACCTCACACACCTGATATAAGCATACACCTCACACACCTGATATAAGCATACACCCCACACACCTAATATAAACAAACCCCTCACACACCTAATATAAACATACACCCCACACACCTGATATAAACATACACCCCACACACCTAATATAAACAAACCCCTCACACACCGAATATAAACATACACCCCACACGCCTGATATAAACATACACCTCACACACCTAATATAAACTTACACCTCACACACCTGATATAAACATACACCTCACACACCTGATATAAACATACACCTCACACACCTAATATAAACTTACACCTCACACACCTGATATAAACAAACCCCTCACACACCTAATATAAACTTACACCTCACACATCTTTCAACAAAAAATTCTGTCATTAGTTTGACAATTCTCCTCCCTAACAATATTCTTGAGGTCCCAATCTAGGGGGATATAACTCTTTAGAAATAAGTAAGCCCTTTGTTTAGTTATTCTTTAGATGTTTTTTATAACATCTCACACCTTAAAATACTTTGTTGACATAACTGGCATTTATAGTTTTTTTTTTTTTACCAACTTTAAATAATAAAGCAATGTTAGTTTTGTTAACACTGCTGGTATTTCTCCTTTAAATTTAAAAAGCTGACATGTTCTCTTGAAAAAGTATTCTCACTAAAAATATTGTGTTTAACAGAGAAATGAGCACAGACAGTTTCCTTGACCTTGACATCTTCAACCTGTCTGAGAAATCCAAGACGCCCCCATCAGCCTCCTCAGTGAGTGGGACTAGAGGAGAGGGCCTCAGCTGTGACCTGCTGATGGAAGAGGACATTGAGGACAACGCTCCATTGTTCTGGCAACCTGGCAAGCGAGGATACTACTCCCCCAGAATAGGAAAAGCTTCACCTGAAAGGCTAAATGCTTTTAGAAATATTGGAAGGTAAATGGATGTCATTTTCAAACACTAGTTCATAATAATATAATTATTAAGCACTTTTAATTACTCTTTAATACATAACTTATTTAAAAAAAAAATTTGCCAAACCAAGATAAAAGGACTGTTACTATACAACTAAAGACAATTTTTTTTTGTCTGCAGAGTTATATTTCTAAATTTTTTAAATAAATTTTTTTATTTTAAAAAATGTATATAAACTAAAATGTTTTGTTTGCTATGCACAGAATAATCGGGCTTTGTTTGCTTCAAAATGAGATCTGTCCAATGTTCTTCAACCGTCATGTTTTGAAATGTATTCTTGGACGTCGTATTGGCTGGCATGATCTGGCATTCTTTGACCCTGTGATGTATGAATCATTACGATCATTAGTGGAGGATGCAGAGACTAAAGATGCCCAGCTTATTTTCACTGCTTTAGATCTGAACTTTTGCGTGGAACTTGGCACTGAGGAGGTGATTTACTTTGTTTTACACTTTAGTTATACAAACTTGTTTATCTGAATGTGATGCCCTCAATATCACATGTCATCTGTGCATGTGAAACATGTTAGGTCCTACCAATGTTTGTTTCATGACCTGCCAATGTCTGTGTTTCATGACCTACTAATGTCTGTTTCATGACCTACTTATGTCTGTGTTTCATGACCTGCCAATGTCTGTGTTTCATGAGCTGCCAATGTCTGTGTTTCATGACCTGCCAATGTCTGTGTTTCATGACCTGACAATGTCTGTGTTTCATGACCTGACAATGTCTGTGCTTCATGACCTGACAATGTCTGTGTTTCATGACCTGACAATGTCTGTGTTTCATGACCTGACAATGTCTGTGTTTCATGACCTGACAATGTCTGTGCTTCATGACCTGACAATGTCTGTGTTTCATGACCTGACAATGTCTGTGTTTCATGACCGGACAATGTCTGTGTTTCATGACCTGACAATGTCTGTGTTTCATGACCTGACAATGTCTGTGCTTCATGACCTGACAATGTCTGTGTTTCATGACCTGACAATGTCTGTGTTTCATGACCTGACAATGTCTGTGTTTCATGACCTACTAATGTCTGTGTTTCATGACCTACCAATGTCTGTGTTTCATGACCTGACAATGTCTGTTTCAGGGTGGAGAGCCAGTGGAGTTGATCCCTGATGGAGCTGAGGTGGAGGTCTCAGCCCAGAATGTCCACAACTACGTGAGGAAATATGCTGAGCATCGCATGGTGGTTGTTGCTGAAAAGGCTTTGCGGGTATGTCATTGCAGTTCATTTAAAACAGTAAGATTTATCTGCTTGCTTTTGCCAATGTTGTACATTGTGCAAACTTGTGCTTGAATGTCCCCAGAACCTGCGCCTTGGTGTGTTTGATGTCATCCCTTCCAACTCTCTGGATGGTCTGACAGCTGAGGATCTCAGGCTGCTACTCAATGGTGTGGGAGACATCAATGTTCAAACCCTCATCAGCTACACCTCCTTCAATGATGAGTGTGGTAGGGATGGCTTGTTTTTCTCTAAATGTACTTGCCTCAAGTTTTTTTTTTTACATTAGTATAATGTGTGTTGAGTAGATTATCAGTGTAAGTCTTCATGTTAATATTTATAGTATCAGTATTAGGCTACACAGTATGATTACTTTTTAATTTTAATAAACACCACAACTAATTAAATAATGCAGTAGATTTATTTTTAGCACATTATATTTCTTGTCTTTTTATTTACTTCGGCATTGTATTAATTAGGAGAAATAAGATACAATTAATTTTGTTTTTGCACTTGACATGTGTTTATTTGCTGGTCTGGGTATCATAAGGTGGCAAATGGAGGTGGCGGTGGGCATTTGGTGGGGTGGTTATGTGTTATAATAGGTTATTATATGTTATTCTTACATCAATTTTTGGACCCGTCAAAACAGCCAGACAAATTAGCCCTTTCAAGGGCCAGCAACAAATAGATTCTGTCATTAAAATATGTCTGTCTGCAAAAAGGGTCACATTATTTTGGCTCCCAAAAACAAATAAAAGAGCTCATAGGACCCTTCCAGTAGGACTGTATCAATGCACCAGAGTTAGCTTAGCCAACAGCCCTAAATGGTAACACATTTGGCTCTAGGTTACCATATTATATCTTCTATTAGAAGCCTTAAAGTCTGGGGCTATTTTGACTGGGTCTTTTTATCAGAAGTTTGTGTATCAGAAGAGAATGTGGGAAAGGTGTGGATGGGCATGGTGGCATAGCACAGATGACTCTTTTCCAATGGTGAATCAAGTAGTCTAGTATACTACTAAAACTAACTGGGGTTTGATTTAAATTATTGATGATGGGGAAATGTAAATATTAATAAGAAAATATCAAATTTCAATGAAAGATGGTTATAAATCAAAGTAAAGGTTTATTCAGAAGTACAAAAACTACTTGAAGCTTTTCAGAACTGTTTTCTATTTATCAATTGTGTTTGTAAAGTATCATTTCTAATATTTGTATAGATGAGGTTTCTGTTTGAATTTGTTTTCTTTATTTGAAAGTTTTAGTTTAGTGTATGAAGTTTTGAGTTGAAATGTTCTCATCAGGTGAAAACTCTGAGAGGGTCCAGAGATTCAAGCGCTGGTTCTGGGCTGTTGTGGAGAAGATGAACAATTATGAGAGACAAGATTTGGTAGGTCAAGTTTCTCATCTTAGTTAGCCATTGTTGAGAGACAAGATTTGGTAGGTCAAGTTTCTCATCTTAGTTAGCCATTGTTGAGAGACAAGATTTGGTAGGTCAAGTTTCTCATCTTAGTTAGCCATTGTTGAGAGACAAGATTTGGTAGGTCAAGTTTCTCATCTTAGTTAGCCATTGTTGAGAGACAAGATTTGGTAGGTCAAGTTTCTCATCTTAGTTAGCCATTGTTGAGAGACAAGATTTGGTAGGTCAAGTTTCTCATCTTAGTTAGCCATTGTTGAGAGACAAGATTTGGTAGGTCAAGTTTCTCATCTTAGTTAGCCACTATGATTAGTTAGGCCTGGACTGAAGAAGTACAAGCTTGTTGACTGTATTTTCTAGAGGTCAAAGCTTTTGTTGATGACCACAGGTTTATTTTGTGCAGGGGTCAAACATAATGTTGTCTTATCTCAGGTGTACTTCTGGACATCCAGCCCAGCTCTGCCAGCAAGTGAAGAAGGCTTCCAGCCAATGCCCAGTATTACCATACGTCCAGCAGATGACGAGCACCTACCCACAGCCAACACCTGCATCTCCCGGCTCTACATCCCACTCTACTCAACCAAAGCTTTGCTGAAAACTAAACTCCTTCTGGCCATCAAAACCAAGGCTTTTGGCTTTGTCTGATGTGGATGCTGGGGGGGAAAAGGTTCTGGGTGTTGTCAGCAAGAGTTGGGAGATTTGTCTTGCAGCTTTCTCAAGGCCATGTCCTACAAACAAGCTGGGGTTTTCTTACCTGCCACAATTGTCAAGTTTTTTTTTTTTTAAACAACCTCAGTCAATGCTGATCTAATCAAGGATCCTAATTTAATTGATGAATATTTGTAGAAAGTTTCTCCCCACTGAGTGATGGTTTAGCTGGGGTGTTAGATCAAACGTCAGGGCACAGTTTTTTCTCTCACTCTAATCTCATTGAGGGCATTCTTTCACTTGACCAATCCTTGCCTAACCTCATGGCTAGGCTCAAGTTCAAGGGTCAATTCTCAACTTTAACCTTTGGCACATATGCAATTTTTGTGAGTGGTAAATTGTGTGGTAGGATTAATTAAATCATGGGTGTATGTTTTTAAATGTGTGAGAAATGTGACCAAAATGACTTGGTATTTGACTGGTGTAAGAAATGTGAACAAAATGACTTGCTATGTGACTGTTGTAAGAAATGTGACCAAATTGACTTGGTATTTGACAGTTGTGTCGACATCATTTTGTAGAGCTGATGTTTTGTGAATATCTTGTCTCCATTAGGTTATTTTTTAAAATTCTATTTTATGTGTTAAGTAAGAGTATTAAATACATTCTATGAGTTTGTGTGTTATGTAAGGAAAGTTGGAGCATTAAATAAATTCTACATCTATTCCTTCTATCTGAATGGTTGTTTTTTTTTTTGTAAATAGTTTTAAATTTGAATTGAAGTTGGTGTGAAGTTAGCTGTAAAGAACTTTTTTGTTTCTTTAACTTAGTCATTTTAGTGGGAAACAATCTAATTTTTTTTAAGGGCTAAAACAATTACTGAGTGAAAGTACTTGTTTTTTTTTAATTTTGAAATTTATTTCACGTGTCAAAATATTTTTCAAATCAAGGTCAAGGTGATTGAATTGGGTCACTTTTGATTAGAATCAAGTTCAAGATGTTCCAAAAATAAAATTATTTGAATTGATTGTGTGGTTTTGTTGAAACTTGAATTTCACATGTAGGTTTAACTTTGTCTGTACCACACAATGTTGCCACAGAAAATGTAAGACAACAAAGTGAGGTGTTAGTCACAACATGTTTTCATGTCATGTAGCTTTGTTGTCCCAGTTCAGACTTGAGTGTTATGGTAACACAGATCTCAAACACTGACCTGACCACCTACAGAGTTTAGCTGTAACACAGATCTCAAACTTTTTTTCCACACCTGGACAGTCCTCCCCACCTGGACAGTCACGTTGTCCCTACTTGGACAGTCCTCACCACCTGGATAATCCTATTGTCCTCATCTGGACAGTCCTCACCACCTGGACAGTCCTGTTGTCCCTACCTGGACAATCCTATTGTCCTCATCTGGACAGTCCTCACCACCTGGACAGTCCTCCCCTCGTGGACAGTCCTGTTGTCCTCACCTGGACAATCCTATTGTCCTCATCTAGACAGTCCTCCCCACCTGGACAAGGACAGTCCAAACCTGGACAGTCATGTTTTCTAATTAACTGCTGGTGTGGGGGGGGGGGGGTGATGTATTACCTTTGTGACGTCTGTCAGCGAAAGGTGGGAGCAAAAATCGGCTGACATAGTGTGACGTCATGAAGAACACACCTCACACTTAGTTACACATGAATTAAACATGACTTGTTTTAATCTCTCTTACAAGTGAAACAAACTTTCAAGGTTGACCTATTATTATTGATAATCCCCTTTCATCATTAAAGATACAACATGTAACGCTGTTTATAATTGGACAGACAAGAGCCAATAGGAAGTGAGCTATTTGAACCAAACTTGGTCTGTGTTGAGGTAGGATTAGTCTTGACTGCTTGTCTCGTCCAGGATATTTTCAACCTTCACGTTTCTGGTTGTTCTACTACTCGCGACCTGCCTCGTTACACGGGGAAAAGAATGTTTGGTGTTTTTTGTTTTGCTTGAACACATGTGTTGAATGTATCAAAGGGACCAGACAAACTAATTACAATGAAAGGTAATTACTTACAACTACTTTTGTGATATATGTTGGGATGTTTTCGCATGTTTTTTGTTTTTTTTTTTAATTTAGAACTTACAAAATTGAAAGAATAATATTAACAAGCTACTTAAGTGTTTTATGTAATAGACTAATTGGCCATTACTCCCCCCCCCCCCCCTCTCCACCACATCCGTGGTTGTTGCTTTTAGTGGCTGAAGTACTGTAAGATTGGCAATCCGTCAAGCGATTGCCTCAACTCTTATTGAGGGTGTCCAAAACACATTGATACATTGGTGAACCCAGGTTAAGAACCACTGTTATAAATGTAAACACCATCGGCAAACCGGCCCCTTTACAAGCATCGCCAAACGGAACAGAGAAAATATCCTTACGAAACAGGGGGCTTGACTCAAAGGTGACAAACTGCGTACCTGACTCTTATTAGGGAAAGTTAGACGACTGACCAGTGACCACACCATACCTTTATATGCCAAGAAACTATGAGCTCTACTTCAACTGCCATAAGGATAGTTAGGTCTGAATGGAGAAGTTTATTTAATGAGCAGACATTTTTCTCGGGTGCCGTTTAGGCGAAGGTCATTTGCAGGGGCGGATTAAGCCCCGGGGTGAAACGTTTTGGGGAACCCTAATATATATATATATATATATATATATATATATATATATATATATATATATATATATATATATATATATATATATACACTAATCAACATACTATTCAAGATAATTAATGAATTATTATAACTTATAGCATTCGACACCAATATTTACAAAAAGCTGTCAAAAAGTATGTAGGCATTTGTTTGATCTACAGACGCAAAAAGAAAAAAGATAATTTCAAACCACTCTATGTAGAGAATTATCACTTACAGGTTAAACTATGCCCAACTAAAAACAGTAAGCACGACATACGCGTGACAAAAAACCCTCCATCTTCTAGCTTAGGTGTCATCCATTTATCAGGCCACTAAAAGTTGGATTTCCACAGGCACCCCCTTTTAAAGAACTCCACCCCTGGCCTCTACACGCGATGTAAACGTTCAGTAAAAGTAAAGGCCTAACAGTGTTTTTAAAAGTTTAAGCCATAGACTGTCGACACCGGATTCATTTCCTATATTTCTGTTGAGGCCTATTATAGGCCTAATTGTCGATTACCGTATTGTAGGGCCTAAATAGATCTGCCGTGACTCAATTGCCACATAGACCCTCGCCCTCCCCCCCCCCCCCCATACGCCGTCCACACATAGCCACAATCGTCTTCTAGTTCCATCCATTGATGATTACCTATATTCTCAAGATAAATCTTAGTCGCCAAAGAAAATTACAAGCTATATTATATAGCTATATATCGGAAATATTAGGCCTAAGGGTTTGTGACCTATTGTGATTTTTAAAAATTAAAAGTTACGAGTTTACATCAGGTGGTAGCACAACTGCTAACCCAAAAGTCCTGAGCTCTGATCCCAGGCTCAAATCCTAGAACTCGCAACCTATCTCATATTTTTAAAACTAAAGGCGGCTAAGTCTAGATTTAGAACTGACCAGAATGTCTCATTTGCTCAGATCAACTAAATATGTGAACTCTACCTAATATTCCATGTGATCACCTGGCCTGAATGAACAACTAAAATGAATCTAGGGAGTTTTAATCTAAAATAACAAGATCTAGATATCCTGCACCTTAAAAAAACGACTATCCGAAACCTCACTTCCAATTACAAAAATGTTAAGCATCTATCACACCTTTCTTAGTAGTGTAGTGAGTAAGCAAAGACGTTCAGACAGGTTTTCATTCACTGCTAGGGTTAGGCAACAATGGTTCACAGAAAGAAGCGCAACGGAAAAAAGCGCAACGGAAAAAAAGCGCAAAACAAAAAGCGCACTCAGAAAAAAGCGCAAACAGAAAAAGAGCAAACGAAAAAAAGTGCAAACAGAAAAAAAATGCGCACACAGAAATTTCCGCACACAGAAAAAGTATCGGCGACGGTCGTTAGTTTCGTAAACTGCACTAGACATCTTTTTCTTTTAATGAAAATTCATTGACATCATGGACATATTATGTTACATCTTAACTTAACCCTAAACCTAACCCTAGCCCCAGCCCTATCCCTAGCCCTAACTTTTATCCTAGCTGAACCTTTAAGCTATGAACGAGGGGTAATGTCCTACTGGGCGCGGGGTAATTAACAGGGGGTAATTAGTACGGGGGAATGATGGGAAGGGGGTTATTGACGGGGGTGGGGTGGTAATACCCTGTTCCCATACTGAACAGCATAATGGGCAGCATGTGGCATATATAACAGACGAGCTATGGATGTTGAAATAATTTTGCATTCGTCCGGTAAACATTTTCAGTAAAAGACCTTCAAAAACATCACATAACCTTTTTGTAAAGAAACAAAGAGAGTTTTATTATAACAGCAGGCTTTGACTTAGACCTACTCTAATGGCATCTAAATTGTTAAACTGATTAACTATGTAATGTAGGGCTCAACAGGATCAATTAACTAAACTACGCCAAACCAGTTTGAAAGTTCGAGTTTTTTAACACTGCTACTAAGCTAGTAAAATGGAAATGTGCATAATCTATATAATCTACATTAACACCCAACCACCTACCTAACTACCCACCCTCATATCTACCCACCTAACAACCTACCTACCCACCCACTTACCCATAAATAAATTTAAATTTTTTTTTTATAACTGGGGCTATGTGTCCGGCAACTGCGCAGTGAGAGGGTCTACACTACCATTATATTCTGTCTAGCCATTCAGTAGTTCATCCCAAAGCAAGACGACATCAAGGTATAAAAATGATTCGACAGGACGACATTATTTAATTTTACTATTTATTGCACAATAAAAAATACATAGGACGACTTGAACGAACGATACTAAGACTGTACTACAGTACGACATCACCTTAACACAACAAGAACAAGAGTACTTTTTAACTTCTTTCCCCGATAACAACGAACTAAAACCTCACATTGTAACTATTCAATGCGTAATTAACTTTCGCACTAATATTCGTTCACACAAATCCTCCTTCATTAAACACACATCACAACAATATATATATATATATATATATATATATATATATATATATATATATATATATATATATATATATATATATATATATATATATATATATATATATATATATATATATATATATATATATATATACAGAGCCGGCGTTAGGGGGTGGCAAACGGGGCGGTCGCCCTAGGCCCCGCGCTTGAAGGGGACCCGCGCTTCTGCACTGTCATTGTTATCTGAATTACTTCGTAAACTTAAAAAAATTGTTTCAGAATTCAATTGGGAAAAACTAAATTGTCGAATGCCGACGTTATTGATTGTTATAACTAAGGCCACGGTTGATGTTATTGAGTTATCACCCACCTGAACTGGGAAAGGCCGTAATTCGATACAAAAACGGTGTCACGCCTTCCCTTTGTGTAGGGTACGGTCGCCTGGCATTAGACCTGAGCTGACTGGAGATGGCGGTCTAGAATGAGCCCCCGACCTGACATAGGATGTAGATTTGGGAAACGTAAAGAGATACCCTATTGTATGCGGATCGATGAAGACGTCCTTTTAGTGAGCAGACGGGATGTCTGTAGTAGACAGTTGTGACTTGATGAACTCTAGTCCTGACTTCGTTGTTGTAGATGTCGTATATGTAGGCCTATTTGTGTTTTTTTCTGTGTGCGCTTTTTTCTGTTTGTGCTTTTTTCCGTTTGCGGTTTTCTCCGTTTGTGCTGTTTTTCTGTGTGCGTTTTTTCCTGTTTGCGCTTTTTTCCGTCTGCGCATTTTTTTGTGTGCGCTTTTTTCTGTTGCGCTTTTTGTTTTGCGCTTTTTTCCGTCGCACTTTTTCCGTTGCGCATCTTTCTGGTCACCGGCAACAATGTTGCTTGTCTGAATGCTTGCGAGGAAGAGCTTATTCACAATGCCTAACATATGTATTATTTTAATTTTCTTTTTTGTTACCACCTCAACACACGATCTGACGATATCTGACTAAATAGCTTTCAAGTGCTGTGCATTTTTAAAAAGGCGTCAATCATAAACGCCAAGGAAAAAAAGGAAAATTGCTATTTTATGTTTTGCAATTTAAACACATAACATTAGTATGTGCTCGCGTGCACGCACGTATACACACGCACAATTAAAGCCACTGTAGACTTGCATAAATTAAAATATACGTTTTTTTTTAAGGTTTAGGTGGGGTGGGTTCAGGGGGAATGTATGTCGCTGTAAGCATTAGTAGGGTAGTTATTATAGCACTATTGTTTGGGGTTAAGGATTTCTTTTTGTTGGTCTCTTCCGACATCTCTTTATCTCTTTCATGTGTGTCACTTCTGTTTGTCGCCCTGACTGGCCTATCATGTCTATTTTTATCTGGCATGTTTATTGCCTGCCATTTTATCGCATCCGCCGTTAATATAAATTATTGTAAATCTAAGACACTGACGTAGATCTACTAACTAGCATCTCCTCTTCCTTCTCCTCAGCTCAACACAATGTCCTGCTGGCTACACTTTGGAGATGTCAGACTCGCTACAAGGCGCACTGGTTCGTCATCACTTTCACGGGCTTTCTTATCGCGGCCATCAAGCTAGGTATTTTTAGTAACACTAAGCACCGTGTCCTAGTTACTACGGTTGGTCAAGGCAAAGGGTCAGTGAAAACTGGTCTACCGCCGTTTGTCAACAGTTACCACAATGTGGTGGACAGTAAACAAATCAATACCAGCTTGACTAGTGAAGTAAAAATCTTGAGAAATGTTGTACACAATACTTCAACTGTTGACGAAGCTCTGAGATCAGGGAAGATAAGCCAAATGGCTAGCATAAAAAGCTCAAAGATTGGGATGAGAGAGACTACTTCAGCCAGCACCAAGCGAGTTACCATTCCAGGCAAGGCTAAATTAAGTGCTCCTAAATCAACCACAGCTAAACCTAGCAACAAGAAACACATTGGAAACTTAACAGAAGGGCTGCCTCATGCTGGGCAAGCAACAAAACAGCTTTCCATCACAAACACAAAGTCTTGCCTAGATCTAGCAGCACCGTATCTGGGTAAGCATTTTTGTCATGGTTACATGATTTCTGCCAGACATTATGTTCCAGGTGGGGGGGGGGAATGGTTCAAGTACATGTATATTATTAAAAAGTTAAATAATTTGCTTATACATGCAGAATGGGGGGGAAGGGGGGTGTCAGTGGAAGGCTGTGTGGGTGAAAACATTTTAAGAATATACAGGACACCACATTTTTCAGATTTGACCAACACTTTTGGAATGAAGTAGCTTAAATCACAATCCTAAATGAAGCAGATAACAGTCACAATCCTCAAGTAGTTTACCTGCTTTTACGATCACAATCCTAAACCCCAACCATTTGTTTCTCCTAGTTGGCCGTTTCTACCCGGAGCTCGTAGCCTCTGACCCATGGGAGTTGGCAGCACGCTACCCGTGGCTCAAGCCCGGGGGGAGGTACACACCCGCCACGTGTAATGTGACTCAAAAAACGGCCATCATCATCCCATACCGGGACAGGTGGAAACACCTGCACACCATGCTGCCCGTCCTGCTGCCTATGCTAGTCAGACAGAACGTCGCTTTCACACTCTTGGTTGTGGAGCAGGTATGTTTATTCTCACTACAGCAGGTAGGTGTGATGTCACCAGAGCAGGTAGGTGTGATGTCAGTAGAGCAGGTAGGTGTGATGTCACTAGAGCAGGTAGGTGTGATGTCACTAGAGCAGGTAGGTGTGATGTCACTAGAGCAGGTAGGTGTGATGTCACTAGAGCTGGTAGGTGTGATGTCACTAGAGCAGGTAGGTGTGATATCACTAGAGCAGGTAGGTGTGATGTCACTAGTCACTAGAGCAGGTAGGTGTGATGTCACTAGAGCAGGTAGGTGTGATGTCACTAGAGCAGGTAGGTGTGATATCACTAGAGCAGGTAGGTGTGATGTCACTAGTCACTAGAGCAGGTAGGTGTGATGTCACTAGAGCAGGTAGGTGTGATGTCACTAGAGCAGGTAGGTGTGATATCACTAGAGCAGGTAGGTGTGATGTCACTAGTCACTAGAGCAGGTAGGTGTGATGTCACTAGAGCAGGTAGGTGTGATGTCACTAGAGCAGGTAGGTGTGATGTCACTAGAGCAGGTAGGTGTGATATCACTAGAGCAGGTAGGTGTGATGTCACTAGTCACTAGAGCAGGTAGGTGTGATGTCACTAGAGCTGGTAGGTGTGATGTCACTAGAGCAGGTAGGTGTGATATCACTAGAGCAGGTAGGTGTGATGTCACTAGAGCAGGTAGGTGTGATGTCACTAGAGCAGGTAGGTGTGATGTCACTAGTCACTAGAGCAGGTAGGTGTGATGTCACTAGAGCAGGTAGGTGTGATGTCACTAGAGCAGGTAGGTGTGATGTCACTAGTCACTAGAGCAGGTAGGTGTGATGTCACTAGAGCTGGTAGGTGTGATGTCACTAGAGCAGGTAGGTGTGATGTCACTAGAGCAGGTAGGTGTGATGTCACTAGAGCAGGTAGGTGTGATGTCACTAGAGCAGGTAGGTGTGATGTCACTAGAGCTGGTAGGTGTGATGTCACTAGAGCAGGTAGATGTGATGTCAGTAGAGCAGGTAGGTGTGATGTCACTAGAGCAGGTAGGTGTGATGTCACTAGAGCAGGTAGGTGTGATATCACTAGAGCAGGTAGGTGTGATGTCACTAGAGCAGGTAGGTGTGATGTCACTAGAGCAGGTAGGTGTGATGTCACTAGAGCAGGTAGGTGTGATGTCACTAGAGCAGGTAGGTGTGATATCACTAGAGCAGGTAGGTGTGATGTCACTAGAGCAGGTAGGTGTGATGTCACTAGAGCAGGTAGGTGTGATGTCACTAGAGCAGGTAGGTGTGATATCACTAGAGCAGGTAGGTGTGATGTCACTAGTCACTAGAGCAGGTAGGTGTGATGTCACTAGAGCTGGTAGGTGTGATGTCACTAGAGCAGGTAGGTGTGATATCACTAGAGCAGGTAGGTGTGATGTCACTAGTCACTAGAGCAGGTAGGTGTGATGTCACTAGAGCAGGTAGGTGTGATGTCAGTAGAGCAGGTAGGTGTGATGTCACTAGAGCAGGTAGGTGTGATGTCACTAGTCACTACAGCAGGTAGGTGTGATATCACTAGAGCAGGTAGGTGTGATGTCAGTAGAGCAGGTAGGTGTGATGTCACTAGAGCAGGTAGGTGTGATGTCACTAGAGCAGGTAGGTGTGATGTCACTAGAGCAGGTAGGTGTGATGTCACTAGAGCAGGTAGGTGTGATATCACTAGAGCAGGTAGGTGTGATGTCACTAGTCACTAGAGCAGGTAGGTGTGATGTCACTAGAGCAGGTAGGTGTGATATCACTAGAGCAGGTAGGTGTGATGTCACTAGTCACTAGAGCAGGTAGATGTGATGTCAGTAGAGCAGGTAGGTGTGATGTCACTAGAGCTGGTAGGTGTGATGTCACTAGAACAGGTAGGTGTGATGTCACTAGAGCAGGTAGGTGTGATGTCACTAGAGCAGGTAGGTGTGATGTCACTAGAGCAGGTAGGTGTGATGTCACTAGAGCAGGTAGGTGTGATGTCACTAGAGCAGGTAGGTGTGGTGTCACTAGAGCAGGTAGGTGTGATGTCACTAGAGCAGGTAGGTGTGATGTCAGTAGAGCAGGTAGATGTGATGTCACTAGAGCAGGTAGGTGTGATGTCACTAGAGCAGGTAGGTGTGATGTCACTAGAGCAGGTAGGTGTGATGTCACTAGTCACTAGAGCAGGTAGATGTGATGTCAGTAGAGCAGGTAGGTGTGATGTCACTAGAGCAGGTAGATGTGATGTCACTAGAGCAGGTAGGTGTGATGTCACTAGAGCAGGTAGGTGTGATGTCACTAGAGCAGGTAGGTGTGATGTCACTAGAGCAGGTAGGTGTGATGTCACTAGAGCTGGTAGGTGTGATGTCACTAGAACAGGTAGGTGTGATGTCACTAGAGCAGGTAGGTGTGGTGTCACCAGAGCAGGTAGGTGTGATGTCACTAGAGCAGGTAGGTGTGATGTCACTAGAGCAGGTAGGTGTGATGTCACTAGAGCAGGTAGGTGTGATGTCACTAGAGCAGGTAGGTGTGGTGTCACTAGAGCAGGTAGGTGTGATGTCACTAGAGCAGGTAGGTGTGATATCACTAGAGCAGGTAGGTGTGATGTCAGTAGAGCAGGTAGGTGTGATGTCACTAGAGCTGGTAGGTGTGATGTCACTAGAACAGGTAGGTGTGATGTCACTAGAGCAGGTAGGTGTGATGTCACTAGTCACTACAGCAGGTAGGTGTGATGTCACTACAGCAGGTAGGTGTGATGTCACTAGAGCAGGTAGGTGTGATGTCAGTAGAGCAGGTAGGTGTGATGTCACTAGAGCTGGTAGGTGTGATGTCACTAGAGCTGGTAGGTGTGATGTCACTAGAACAGGTAGGTGTGATGTCACTAGAGCAGGTAGGTGTGGTGTCACCAGAGCAGGTAGGTGTGATGTCACTAGAGCAGGTAGGTGTGATGTCAGTAGAGCAGGTAGGTGTGATGTCACTAGAGCAGGTAGATGTGATGTCACTAGAGCAGGTAGGTGTGATGTCACTAGAGCAGGTAGATGTGATGTCACTAGAGCAGGTAGGTGTGATGTCACTAGAGCAGGTAGGTGTGATGTCACTAGAGCAGGTAGATGTGATGTCACTAGAGCAGGTAGGTGTGATGTCACCAGAGCAGGTAGGTGTGATGTCACTAGAGCAGGTAGGTGTGATGTCAGTAGAGCAGGTAGATGTGATGTCACTAGAGCAGGTAGGTGTGATGTCACCAGAGCAGGTAGGTGTGATGTCACTAGAGCTGGTAGGTGTGATGTCACTAGAGCAGGTAGGTGTGATGTCACTAGAGCAGGTAGGTGTGATGTCACTAGAGCTGGTAGGTGTGATGTCACTAGAACAGGTAGGTGTGATGTCACTAGAGCTGGTAGGTGTGATGTCAGTAGAGCAGGTAGGTGTGATGTCAGTAGAGCAGGTAGGTGTGATGTCACTAGAGCAGGTAGGTGTGATGTCAGTAGAGCAGGTAGGTGTGATGTCACTAGAGCAGGTAGGTGTGATGTCAGTAGAGCAGGTAGATGTGATGTCACTAGAGCAGGTAGATGTGATGTCACTAGAGCAGGTAGGTGTGATGTCACTAGAGCAGGTAGGTGTGATGTCACTAGAGCAGGTAGGTGTGATGTCACTAGAGCAGGTAGGTGTGATGTCACTAGAGCAGGTAGGTGTGATGTCACTAGAGCAGGTAGGTGTGATGTCACTAGAGCAGGTAGGTGTGATGTCACTAGAGCAGGTAGGTGTGATGTCACTAGAGCAGGTAGGTGTGATGTCACTAGAGCAGGTAGGTGTGATGTCACTAGAGCAGGTAGGTGTGATGTCACTAGAGCAGGTAGGTGTGATGTCACTAGAGCTGGTAGGTGTGATGTCACTAGAGCAGGTAGATGTGATGTCAGTAGAGCAGGTAGGTGTGATGTCACTAGAGCAGGTAGGTGTGATGTCACTAGAGCAGGTAGATGTGATGTCAGTAGAGCAGGTAGGTGTGATGTCACTAGAGCAGGTAGGTGTGATGTCACTAGAGCAGGTAGGTGTGATGTCACTAGAGCAGGTAGGTGTGATGTCACTAGAGCAGGTAGGTGTGATGTCAGTAGAGCAGGTAGGTGTGATGTCAGTAGAGCAGGTAGGTGTGATGTCACTAGAACAGGTAGGTGTGATGTCACTAGAACAGGTACAACTAACATCAATGGGCCAGATAGATTGTCATTAACATCTGCTATTAATTGTTTGTTGTGCCATATCATGGGGTCTCTCCCATCACTAACTCTACCCTATTGCCCACTCCTGGATACAGAACCAGCCCACAACATTCAACAAAGGGGCGCTATTCAACATTGGGTTTCTGGAGGCCCTGAAGCTTGACCAGTTTGATTGCTTCATCTTCCATGATGTCGACATGGTGCCAGTTGATGACCGGAACACCTACAAGTGTGACGTCAAAGGCCCCATCCACTTCGCCTCTTCTATCAACAAGTTTGCTTACAAGTAGGTCATCTTGTTAGCTTACAAGTAGGTCATCTTGTTAGCTTACAAGTAGGTCATCTGGTTAGCTTACAAGTAGGTCATCTTGTTGGCTTACAAGTAGGTCATCTGGTTAGATTACAAGTGGGTTATCTCATTTGCTTAGGTAGGTCACCTATTTTATTACAAGAATGTTTTCTGTTTGTTTACAAGTAGGTCATCTTCTTTGCTTACTAGCTGGTCATGTTGACAGAACTGTTATCAAAGAAATCTATAAATGAGTCCAGTCAACTATAAGTTATTGCACTATTAAAGGTGTAAGTATGATGATTCCCACTACCAAGCCATCAATTTTATCAACAGGACGCTGTATGCTGGGTTATTTGGGGGCGTGGTTGGCTTCACACTTGATCAGTTCAAGAAAATTAATGGAGCTTCTAACATGTATTTTGGCTGGGGAGCGGAGGATGATGACATGAGGGACAGGTGAGGTAACAGGTGAGGTGAGGTGACATGAGGGACAGGTGAGGTGACATGAGGGACAGGTGAGGTGACATGAGGGACAGGTGAGGTGACATGAGGGACAGGTGAGGTGACATGAGGGACAGGTGAGGTGACATGAGGGACAGGTGAGGTGACATGAGGGACAGGTGAGGTGACATGAGGGACAGGTGAGGTTAGGTGACATGAGGGACAGGTTAGGTGACATGAGGGACAGGTGAGGTGACAGGTGAGGTGAGGTGACATGAGGGACAGGTGAGGTGACATGAGGGACAGGTGAGGTGACATGAGGGACAGGTGAGGTGACATGAGGGACAGGTGAGGTGACATGAGGGACAGGTGAGGTGACATGAGGGACAGGTGAGGTGACATCAGGTGACAGGTGAGGTGACATGAGGGACAGGTGAGGTGACATGAGGTGACAGGTGAGGTGACATGAGGGACAGGTGAGGTGACATGAGGGACAGGTGAGGTAACATGAGGGACAGGTGAGGTGACAGGTGAGGTGACATGAGGGACAGGTGAGGTGACATGAGGGACAGGTGAGGTGACATGAGGGACAGGTGAGGTGACATGAGGGACAGGTGAGGTGACAGGTGAGGTGAGGTGACATGAGGGACAGGTGAGGTGACATGAGGGACAGGTGAGGTAACAGGTGAGGTGACATGAGGGACAGGTGAGGTGACATGAGGGACAGGTGAGGTGACATGAGGGACAGGTGAGGTGACATGAGGGACAGGTGAGGTGACATGAGGTGACAGGTGAGGTGACATGAGGGACAGGTGAGGTGACATGAGGTGACAGGTGAGGTGACATGAGGGACAGGTAAGGTGACATGAGGGACAGGTGAGGTGAGGTGACATGAGGGACAGGTGAGGTGACATGAGGGACAGGTGAGGTGAGGTGACATGAGGGACAGGTGAGGTGACATGAGGGACAGGTGAGGTGACATGAGGGACAGGTGAGGTGACAGGTGAGGTGGGATGAGGGACAGGTGAGGTGACATGAGGGACAGGTGAGGTGACAGGTGAGGTGGGATGAGGGACAGGTGAGGTGACATGAGGGACAGGTGAGGTGACATGAGGGACAGGTGAGGTGACATGAGGGACAGGTGAGGTGATATGAGGGACAGGTGAGGTGACATGAGGGACAGGTAAGGTGACATGAGGGACAGGTGAGGTGAGGTGACATGAGGGACAGGTGAGGTGACATGAGGGACAGGTGAGGTGACATGAGGGACAGGTGAGGTGACATGAGGGACAGGTGAGGTGACATGAGGGATAGGTGAGGTGACATGAGGGACAGGTGAGGTGACATGAGGTGACAGGTGAGGTGACATGAGGGACAGGTGAGGTGACATGAGGTGACAGGTGAGGTGACATGAGGGACAGGTAAGGTGACATGAGGGACAGGTGAGGTGAGGTGACATGAGGGACAGGTGAGGTGACATGAGGGACAGGTGAGGTGAGGTGACATGAGGGACAGGTGAGGTGACATGAGGGACAGGTGAGGTGACATGAGGGACAGGTGAGGTGACAGGTGAGGTGGGATGAGGGACAGGTGAGGTGACATGAGGGACAGGTGAGGTGACAGGTGAGGTGGGATGAGGGACAGGTGAGGTGACATGAGGGACAGGTGAGGTGACATGAGGGACAGGTGAGGTGACATGAGGGACAGGTGAGGTGATATGAGGGACAGGTGAGGTGACATGAGGGACAGGTAAGGTGACATGAGGGACAGGTGAGGTGAGGTGACATGAGGGACAGGTGAGGTGACATGAGGGACAGGTGAGGTGACATGAGGGACAGGTGAGGTGACATGAGGGACAGGTGAGGTGACATGAGGGACAGATGAGGTGACATGAGGGACAGGTGAGGTGACATGAGGGGACAGGTGAGGTGACATGAGGGACAGGTGAGGTGACATGAGGTGACAGGTGAGGTGACATGAGGGACAGGTGAGGTGACATGAGGGACAGGTAAGGTGACATGAGGGACAGGTGAGGTGAGGTGACATGAGGGACAGGTGAGGTGACATGAGGGACAGGTGAGGTGACAGGTGAGGTGAGGTGACATGAGGGACAGGTGAGGTGACATGAGGGACAGGTGAGGTGAGGTGACATGAGGGACAGGTGAGGTGAGGGACAGGTGAGGTGAGGGACAGGTGAGGTGACATGAGGGACAGGTGAGGTGAGGGACAGGTGAGGTGACATGAGGGACAGGTGAGGTGACATGAGGGACAGGTGAGGTGACATGAGGGACAGGTGAGGTGACATGAGGGACAGGTGAGGGGACAGGTGAGGTGAGGTGAAATGAGGGACATGTGAGGTGACATGAGGGACAGGTGAGGTGACATGAGGGACAGGTGAGGTGACATGAGGGACAGGTGAGGTGACATGAGGGACAGGTGAGGGGACAGGTGAGGTGAGGTGACATGAGGGACATGTGAGGTGACATGAGGGACAGGTGAGGTGACATGAGGGACAGGTGAGGTGACATGAGGGACAGGTGAGGTGACATGAGGGACAGGTAAGGTGACATGAGGGACAGGTGAGGTGAGGTGACATGAGGGACAGGTGAGGTGACATGAGGGACAGGTGAGGTGACATGAGGGACAGGTGAGGTGACATGAGGGACAGGTGAGGTGACATGAAGGACAGGTGAGGTGACATGAGGGCAGGTGAGGTGAGGTGACATGAGGGACAGGTGAGGTGAGGTGACATGAGGGACAGGTGAGGTGACAGGTGAGGTGAGGTGACATGAGGGACAGGTAAGGTGACATGAGGGACAGGTGAGGTGAGGTGACATGAGGGACAGGTGAGGTGACATGAGGGACAGGTGAGGTGAGGTGACATGAGGGACAGGTGAGGTGACATGAGGGACAGGTGAGGTGACATGAGGGACAGGTGAGGTGACAGGTGAGGTGGGATGAGGGACAGGTGAGGTGACATGAGGGACAGGTGAGGTGACAGGTGAGGTGGGATGAGGGACAGGTGAGGTGACATGAGGGACAGGTGAGGTGACATGAGGGACAGGTGAGGTGACATGAGGGACAGGTGAGGTGACATGAGGGACAGGTGAGGTGACATGAGGGACAGGTGAGGTAACAGGTGAGGTGACATGAGGGACAGGTGAGGTGAGGTGACATGAGGGACAGGTGAGGTGACATGAGGGACAGGTGAGGTGACATGAGGGACAGGTGAGGTGACATGAGGGACAGGTGAGGTGACATGAGGGACAGGTGAGGTGACATGAGGGACAGGTGAGGTGACATGAGGGACAGGTAAGGTAACAGGTGAGGTGACATGAGGGACAGGTGAGGTGACATGAGGGACAGGTGAGGTGACATGAGGGACAGGTGAGGTGAGATGAGGGACAGGTGAGGTGACATGAGGGACAGGTGAGGTGACATGAGGGACAGGTGAGGTGACATGAGGGACAGGTGAGGTGACATGAGGGACAGGTGAGGTGACATGAGCGACAGGTGAGGTGACATGAGGGACAGGTGAGGTGACATGAGCGACAGGTGAGGTGAGGTGACATGAGGGACAGGTGAGGTGACATGAGGGACAGGTAAGGTGACATGAGGGACAGGTGAGGTGAGGTGACATGAGGGACAGGTGAGGTGACAGGTGAGGTGAGGTGACATGAGGTGACAGGTGAGGTGACATGAGGGACAGGTGAGGTGAGGTGACATGAGGGACAGGTGAGTTGACATGAGTGTTATACATTCCATCTACAGGGCCCTTCACAAGAACTTGACACTGTTACGTAAACCGCGTGAGATTGGTGTGTACGACATGATCAAACATACAGCCAGTGAGGCAGGCTGGTCCAAGAATAGCAACAGGTGAGTTGGGAACACCTGTCTCCTACAGGTGAGGTGGGGTGAGGTGTAGATGTTATGTTGTGACATCATAGTTCCTCAAGTTGAAACATAGATCTGAGATGACATCAAGACTATAGTCTGTGTATTTAAGATCAGACAAATGGGACATTAGTTGTATTGTTGATGCTGAGGCTGATTTAGGCTCACAAGTGAAATCAGTGGGGGGGGGGGGAAATGAAGTGGTTTAATGACTTTCAGAATTGTGCGTTAGGGTTAGTGGGGGGTGGGGAATAAAAAAACAACCAAAAACCCCTGCCTAAGCTAGTGTACCTGACACCTGTTTCACCCCCCCCCCCCCCCCTTTCTAAATGCCTGACTCATGGTTTAGGCTCCAGGTGTTTTCGCAGAGGTTAGCCAGACAAGACATGGACGGTCTCAACTCTGTTGTGTACAACATTAGCAGGATTCGAACCTTACCCCTCTACACCTGGATCAATGTGTCAATCAATAAAACACAACTACTAGAGGTGGGTGGTTTGGCCAGTTTAAACAATACCAATTCAAAACTTGCCATGTTTCATTTCATCAAGTCTGTTGCTGATGACACCTGGTTTTTTGCACATTTAATTTTGAATTTTGGTGGGGGTGGGGGTAGGTATTTTCTAAATAGGACAGTGATGCCTGAAAAAAACCCTGATGTAGAACTTAGGGGACAGTACTGTAACAATGCTAAAGCATATGGCTGTCGTAGTTGTTCCCCCTGTGTAGTTTAAGAAGTCCCAGCAGCCTACATTATAAATAGAGACATCTTATTGACATCAAATCTTGGACCCCCATTACCTAGCAAGTTTAATCTATGCCTTAACCCTTTGAGCCCTGGCCTCCCTGGCCTAATTTCTCCTATTTCCTGAGCTCCCAGGGCCAAACCAATTTTCACTTATCTGCTTCTAACTTTGCCTATAACTTTTGAACCGTTTGAGATAATCAAGCCAAATTTGGTATCCAGACTCAGGATCAAACAACAATGCAGCAAGATTCTGAAATTCTTTATTTTTTTTACAATGTATGAAAAGAACAATGTATATAAAACGAACACATAATTATTATCAACACGCCAAGGAGACTGAAGTTTTACAGCACCACTTGCATCAGAACGTACTTAAACAGTTTCATTGTCAATTTCAATCTCACTGTATTCAGTCTCAAACTCAACGTCACTATCATCACAATATAGACCAGGAATATTATCTTCTTCATCAGAATCAATTAGAAGTTGTATTGCCTGAGATGCAGTCATTCTACTTCTTTTGTTGATATTTCGGTCTTTTGATTCATCTTTTGCACCAACTTTATGTGCTAAAATCGATGGCTGTGGCTCAGCTTTTCGTTTTGGCAACATTGCTACGAAAATGTAAAAACTTTCACTTTTCCTAAAATCTACTTTTAGAATCATAATCCCGCACTAAAAGACATATGCGCAGTTTTAGTCAGTCTTCCGCTAATTATATTTAATTAGACGGTATACCGGCAGCTAGGAATATGACGCTAGATCATCGGGCTCAAAGGGTTAAGGGTCAACTTGCTCTGTTGTTTTATCAAGCAACTCAGAAAGTTGTGGTGTTCAATGATTATGTTAAATTTTCATTGTTTAGTTTCATGTTAAATTTTGTTCTTCTATTATCATGTTTAATTAACACTTTTATGTTGAATTCTAAAACTGAATGAGCATGTTGAAGTCACCAAGTCAATTGTTTATCAGATTTGTCTGCATGTTTTCCAGACAGTGCCAGAAAATCTGAGGCAAGGCAAAGCAGGTGATACAAACTACCGTGGTAGTGTTAAACAAGTGAACAAAGGTTAACACACCTGTACAAAGGTTAACACACCTGGACAAAGGTCAACACACCAGGACAAAGGTTAAAGCTCCTGACAAAGGTTAACTTACCTGACAAAGGTCAACACACCTGTACAAAGGTCAACACACCTGTACAAAGGTTAACACACCTGGACATTGGTTAACACACCTGGACAAAAGTTAACACAACCGACAAAGGTTAACGCTCCTGACAAAGGTCAACACACCTGGACAAAGGTCAACACACCTGTACAAAGGTCAACACACCTGTACAAAGGTTAACACACCTGGACATTGGTTAAAACACCTGGACAAAAGTTAACACAACTTGCAAGGATTAAGGCTCCTGACAAAGGTCAACACACCTGGACAAAGGTCAACACACCTGTACAAAGGTCAACACTGCGCTCCCAACTTTTGTCGGGATCATCAATTTAAAACTTAAAAGAATTTTTAACTCTAATTTATCGTTAATTAAACTGGCAAAAAACATTTTTCTTCTATATATTTTATTTTCTGTCTTGGTGTCAATCATTAATTGAACTGGCAAAAAACATTTTTCTTCTATATATTTTATTTTCTGTCTTGGTGTCAATCATTAATTGAACTGGCAAAAAACATTTTTCTTCTATATATTTTATTTTCTGTCTTGGTGTCAATCATTAATTGAACTGGCAAAAAACATTTTTCTTCTATATATTTTATTTTCTGTCTTGGTGTCAATCATTAATTGAACTGGCAAAAAACATTTTTCTTCTATATATTTTATTTTCTGTCTTGGTGTCAATTATTAATTGAACTGGCAAAAAACATTTTTCTTCTATATATTTTATTTTCTGTCTTGGTGTCAATTATTAATTGAACTGGCAAAAAACATTTTTCTTCTATATATTTTATTTTCTGTCTTGGTGTCAATCATTAATTGAACTGGCAAAAAACATTTTTCTTCTATATATTTTATTTTCTGTCTTGGTGTCAATCATTAATTGAACTGGCAAAAAACATTTTTCTTCTATATATTTTATTTTCTGTCTTGGTGTCAATCATTAATTGAACTGGCAAAAAACATTTTTCTTCTATATATTTTATTTTCTGTCTTGGTGTCAATCATTAATTGAACTGGCAAAAAACATTTTTCTTCTATATATTTTATTTTCTGTCTTGGTGTCAATCATTAATTGAACTGGCAAAAAACATTTTTCTTCTATATATTTTATTTTCTGTCTTGGTGTCAATCATTAATTGAACTGGCAAAAAACATTTTTCTTCTATATATTTTATTTTCTGTCTTGGTGTCAATCATTAATTGAACTGGCAAAAAACATTTTTCTTCTATATATTTTATTTTCTGTCTTGGTGTCAATCATTAATTGAACTGGCAAAAAACATTTTTCTTCTATATATTTTATTTTCTGTCTTGGTGTCAATTATTAATTGAACTGGCAAAAAACATTTTTCTTCTATATATTTTATTTTCTGTCTTGGTGTCAATCATTAATTGAACTGGCAAAAAACATTTTTCTTCTATATATTTTATTTTCTGTCTTGGTGTCAATTATTAATTGAACTGGCAAAAAACATTTTTCTTCTATATATTTTATTTTCTGTCTTGGTGTCAATTATTAATTGAACTGGCAAAAAACATTTTTCTTCTATATATTTTATTTTCTGTCTTGGTGTCAATCATTAATTGAACTGGCAAAAAACATTTTTCTTCTATATATTTTATTTTCTGTCTTGGTGTCAATCATTAATTGAACTGGCAAAAAACATTTTTCTTCTATATATTTTATTTTCTGTCTTGGTGTCAATCATTAATTGAACTGGCAAAAAACATTTTTCTTCTATATATTTTATTTTCTGTCTTGGTGTCAATCATTAATTGAACTGGCAAAAAACATTTTTCTTCTATATATTTTATTTTCTGTCTTGGTGTCAATCATTAATTGAACTGGCAAAAAACATTTTTCTTCTATATATTTTATTTTCTGTCTTGGTGTCACCCAGTGCTGTCCTCCCCCTCCCGTCCCCGCCTGCAAAGCCACACATACACCATTGGTTATAACAAATAATTCACTCTAAGCACATCCATAAATCAGATGAACATCACTCATCTAAAGAACATTGGAACAAAGTAATTAAGAATCTTGGTAAAATTCAACACGTTTATTTCTGGCCAATGAGATAATGTTACTGTGAAAAAAAAATTATTTACACAAAGAGGAATAGGACAAGTCAAATTTAAATTTTTAGCCAATGATGAGAAAACATTAAACTTGCATAGAATTCAAGTAAATAATTTAATCATTTGATATATTAATACCAGATGATAAATGTTATATGGGGAAAAAACCAGTGCATATAAAGTTTTAAATTATACTGATATGTCACTAAGTGCTATTTTATTTAGTCTTAAAATTACAATATATTTTTTTACTAAAACCTCAGATAATGACTAGTGGCGAGCAAAAACTCAGCCATGTACTGCTTGCAAGTGATGAAAGCTGGTGACTCAAACTGGCTAGCAAAGAGAAACACAAAAATGTGGTGGGGGAAATGGATAGTCTACAGTAGCTGGTGCTATAGGACTGCTATGTCAGCCGCACAGGGAGGGTAGCAATGGTGCTATAGGACCTGCCACATCAAGACAGGGAGGGTAGCAATGGTGCTATAGGACCTGCCACATCAAGACAGGGAGGGTAGCAATGGTGCTATAGGACCTGCCACATCAAGACAGGGAGGGTAGCAATGGTGCTATAGGACCTGTCAAACAGACAGGGAGGGTAGCAATGGTGCTATAGGACCTGTCAAACAGACAGGGAGGGTAGCAATGGTGCTATAGGACCTGCCACATCAAGACAGGGAGGGTAGCAATGGTGCTATAGGACCTGCCACATCAAGACAGGGAGGGTAGCAATGTTGGTTATCTTTAGTTGATGTGAGAACAAATTAAGTCAAAGAAAGACACATCTGGCCGATGGTAGGAGAGAGAAAGTTTTGAAAATGTTCTGATAAATCGCTTCATACATCAAGAAGTTGTGTTGTGATCAATGAAAAAATAACCCAGATCAATCTAAACAGCGAGATCTAAATACTTTGACATAGATCTTACATTATAAAAAATAAGCTTTTATCAGTTTCAGAATTAAAATAGGAACAAATCTCAGTTAACAGAGTGACACAAGTCTTGCCTGAGGTAAACAACATATTTCAATGAATGTCACGCCGACCTTTACACAGATGTCAACATTTCCAATCTCTCCCTGAATGCAACCATAAAAGATGTTAGTTCTAAAAATAGAATGTTGAGCAAGGTTCAGCAGAAAATCTTTTCACAGATAGTTCCTGAAAAATGGGACAAATTCTCAGCCCTGTTGATGTTGCTTCAAATTTTAAATAGCAAATAAAACTTTGCCGTAGGTAGACAGTCATTTCAACATTCAAGGCATTAAGAAATAGAACAAACAGTCTTTAGAATTAAGGCTTTCTATGTTAATCAGCCAATGAAAGGTCAAGTTGACCTGAAGCTATGACCATCAGCCTAAAGTGCTCATTTAAACTCTGAAGTAACATTTTGCATTGCAGTCAAAAGTTGAAAACAGCTGTAGGCCTTACATAATTGACTAAAGATAAACAGAAAAGGTGTTTACAAAACAGGCTCAATGTTGAGATGGATTAGTCATACAAATTGTTAATGAGCGTAATTTGATTGAGTATTGCTCAGCATAATTACCATATGACAATAAGTAGACTTGACATTTGTTAATCGTTGACTAATAGGTAATAGACGTCAGATTTCTGTCCATTTTAGACTAGGCTCAAGTATTGCTTGTCAGGGTACTACATGGTTGTCAGGGTACTACCGGGTTATCATCAGGGTACTACTGGGTTGTCAGCGTACTACTGGGTTGTACTACTGGGTGATTGTGAAACTATTTGCTTCTCCCAGCAGTTTTTCAAATCAATCATAGCACTGCTATACATCTTCAGCTTTCTTTGTTGATGTCAGTTTCAGGACCGGATGTGTCACAGCATTTTTTGGATCTGTCACAGCATTTGTTGATGGATGTGTCACATTTGATGTTGGATGTGTTATTGGATGTGTCACATTTGATGTTGGATGTGTTGTTGGATGTGTCACAACATTTGATGTTGGATGTGTTGTTGGATGTGTCACAACATTTGATGTTGGATGTGTTGTTGGATGTGTCACAAAATTTGATGTTGGATGTGTCACAACATTTGATGTTGGATGTGTCACAACATTTGATGTTGGATGTGTCACAACATTTGATGTTGGATGTGTCACAACATTTGATGTTGGATGTGTCACAACATTTGATGTTGGATGTGTTGCTATCTGTAGACTGTCCTGTTTATCTGATGACCTTTTGACAGCTCTTGCAAGTTTGCCAGGTGATGTTGCATGGATGTTTCTGGCACCTGCATGGATGTTTCCGTCACCTGCATGGATGTTTCTGTCACCTGCATGCTACGCCTGTCAGGATGTTGAGCTGGCTGACCTTGAACTACCACACCTTGAACGGCTTGACCTTGAAGTGTCAGTGACTGATGACCTATGACCTTCCCTTTAGCACCGTCCCCTGCTTGCTGATGAGGCGGCACCTGGTAGAGGTAAGGCGTGGAGACGCAGGCGTCACATGCCTGTGAGCAGGTGAGGAGACACTGCTGGCTGTAGCAGCACTGATACCTGCGACACAGCCTGTAGACCACGACCAGCAGGACGGCGACAGCCAGAAGGCTACAGAAGGGGACCACGATGCTGGTCAGCTGGCCGGTCGTCAGGGGGTCGTCTTGGCTACTGGCAGGTGCTGGGGATACAACAAATATCCAGTTTTTTGTTTTAACCATTTTTTCTTCAGATCTTTCTGTTCATTTTACTTTTGTTGATACAAATTAGTTCAATATTTCTCGACTTACTTGTTTCATTTGTTGATACAAATTAGTTCAATATTTCTCGACTTACTTGTTTCATTTGTTGATACAAATTAGTTCAATATTTCTCGACTTACTTGTTTCATTTGTTGATACAAATTAGTTCAATATTTCTCGACTTACTTGTTTCATTTGTTGATACAAATTAGTTCAATATTTCTCGACTTACTTGTTTCATTTGTTGATACAAATTAGTTCAATATTTCTCGACTTACTTGTTTCATTTGTTGATACAAATTAGTTCAATATTTCTCGACTTACTTGTTTCATTTGTTGATACAAATTAGTTCAATATTTCTCGACTTACTTGTTTCATTTGTTGATACAAATTAGTTCAATATTTCTCGACTTACTTGTTTCATTTGTTGATACAAATTAGTTCAATATTTCTCGACTTACTTGTTTCATCTGTGTGAAAAACCAGCATGTCAGTGGCTGAATGTGCATGGGTGGAGCTTGGTGGCAGGTGGGTGGAGCTTGGTGG